GTCGGTGTACTGGAAGAAGCAAAGATCACCAGTGTTGAAGCAATGATTCTTCAACTTCAACTCTGTTGGACTGGTCATGTTGTGCAGATGCCTGATTATCATCTTCCAAAGTAACTACTCTATTCCAAACTTTAAAATGGAAAGAGTAATGCTGGTGGCAGTGGCGGAGCTTCATGCTCCGGCACCGGTGAGAGGAGAGCAGGCGGGGGCGGGGCTGTCGCCTGCTGGGGGGGTCCTGTCCTGGGGCGTGGTGCACCGCCTGCAGGGGCATGGCATGCATTCTGGGGGCAGGGCATGCTATCTGCAGGGGACAGCCGCGATGGCACCCTACCGGGATCGCACTGCTGGGGGCGGTGCGCTCCCCCCGCACTCCTCTTCTTCCGCCAGTGGCTGGTGGTCAACAAAAGAGGTTTAAAGACTCTCTCAAGGCAAATCTTAAAAAATGTAGGGTAAACACAGACAATTGGAAAACACTGGCCTGCAAGCACTCCACTTGGAGAACAGCCTTTACCAAAGATGTCATAGGCTTTGAAGACGCTCAAACTCAGGACAAAAGGGAGAAACGTGCTAAGAGGAAGGCACGCTTGGCAAATCCACACCATGATATCCCACCTGGAGACGTATGTCCCCACTGTGGAAGGACGTGTGGATCCAGAATTGGCCTCTACAGTCACTTATGGACTCATTGTTAATACCGTGTTCATGGAAGACAATCTTACCCAGCTACAAGTGATCATCAGAGAAGAAGAAGCTGGTATGTGTTTCCCAACCCCACCTCAGTCTCAGCAGCCAGTCAGTTTTTGCAGTGGTGGAACCAGTTGAATAAAAGGTTTGGCAGAGATCTACTGGAGCACAATGGCAGGAACATTAAGAAGACAATTAACAGCATGGCCACCATCTTTTAGGGACCCTCCCCGCAAGGTATTGGGGAAAGAATGGGAAGGTTTTGTTGATGCCATGGTGCCATACAGTATTTTTAATATATATATATAACAGAACTGTAGCCTTTATGCCAAATCATTCCAAGGCAGATTTCCATGAGTTATAAAAGTCTGTTAATCCTACCATCATTTACATCTGCTTAAAACTGCAAGCTAAATAGCAGGCTATGAAAAATGTATCTAACCCTTTCATTCTCATTCTATTTTCATTTTGACAAAATGGTAATAACTACATTAAAATTCTGGAGTGAGATATCGTAAATTCTTAAATGTAGATTATCATTGTTAAATCATGCAGAACCAGTGGTGATTTTTAAAGACACATTCCTTTAAAAATGGGAAAAGATTGAGATAAGGCAGATCGTTATTTACTAGAGCTGAAGATGCTTAACTACGGGCTGGAATTTTAAGTACAAATGCTTGCAAGGGGAAGTTACATTTATATTAATACAACTTAAGGAACACAGAGCTGTCATTAAACCTGTGTCATTTTCCCTCCCTCTATAATATGCGGTAAAATTTACCCCATATATTTATATTGTTATCTTATGTGGTTCCTTGTCTCAGCTCCACATTAGCTGCTATTCTCAGGAATAGAGAAATGTATGGCACAATGACATCAAAGTAAGTTACTACATGCCATTATTGCAGAGACACACTCAGTTGGATATATTCCATTTTTGGCAGCAGTCCCTAAATTTGTTGTGAACACCCCATTGATGCCTGCCAAGGGTCTTGCTTTTCTTAAAAAATGAGGTTTTTGTTTTGTTATTGTTTAGTTGTCGTTGCCTTTGTATTTTATTTCTTTTGGTGTGTGTGTAGTTTTTATGGGGGGAGTTCTGAGCATCACCAGTTTTGCTTTGTGAGATGGGTCTCCCCCTATTGTGTGGGCAGGGTGGTCCCTCCCCCTACCTGGCCTGATCACCTTGGCAACGCCTCGCCAGGCGGGATTGGGCAACTGGCTGAGGTAGGTGGAGACCTCCAGGTATCCCACCTGAGAAAGGCGAACCAAGCCTGTGCTAATGGTGCCACATAGGGTGCAGGGGTCTGCGCATGACCACGCAAAGGGCACCCCCCCATTTAATGTGGGGAAAGGTCATTGTGATATTTACAATAGTGTATTAGGTTTGTGAAATGGGTATTTTGTGATACTCACAACAGTGTGTTAGGTTTCCAGATATGCCCCTGGCCCAAAAAGGTTGGGGGCCCCATCATAAAGTAATGTTCTGTCCTGATTTCCATGAAAAAATATTGTTTTTCAAACAACAATTAACCAGTATTAACACAAGTAGATATAATAATGATATAAAGTATATACAATATAAAGTAGCTATATTGATTCAGTGATTTTTTTAAAGATAAAATCTGTTTCTTCTGTACAAATAGATTTCCATTATTTTCCTGTAGCAATCAGTTTTTAATTCCCCTCGCTTCCATATCGTCAGCTAAATTCTTAAGCTTCAAAGGGTGCTTTATACTGCATGGAAGGTAAATTACTTTAGAGTAATTTCTGATCAGAGTCAAAATCAATATTTTTCAAAGACAGATAAATGGAAGCTATACATTTCAGCTAAGCTATTTTTCAAGTTGTTTTATATTTGAGGTTTTGGTGGAAGGTACTCAGTTGAATATATTCCTCAAGATTCCAGTTTACACATTTTTTTATCTGCAAAATATTACACTTACTTTAGGAGCTGTCTAAAATAAGAAACCTACACATTTTTTTAAAGTTTGTTTTGACACATTGATTTGCAAATGGAACATGTAAATGACAGAGAAGCATTATGATGCTGGATTGCCCATGTTGTTGACAGTGGATGCTTCCAGGATGTCACTATTTTACTGTGCAGTTCAATCATATTCTGGCAAATTGTGGTTGCACACTTAAAGTGGATTTGGCACTATAATGCAAGAACCCATTTTTTAAACATATCAGTTTTTTTACAGTAAGAAAAGTGTCTGGGAAATGTACTGGAAAGTGTAAGATATTGCTTGATAGTGTCACATAACCTCCTGCAAACAAATCAGAATGAATGCTCATGGAACAGTTACCATTGCATAACCTCCCTACAAACCTGGTGAAACAAATCAGGATGAATGCTTAATGAACAGGTCGTTTGGAAGTGATCAGTGCTGATCATGGGAGCAACTTTTTCACTTATTAAATATGTGAACGACTGTGGCAGGCAAATGGGTTGGTCCCTTGTTTTTCCAAACAGTAAGGCTAAGGACAAATGACACACACCTCATCACTGTTTCTCTGAGCAGATGGGAGAAAAGGGCAGAGGAGACTATCAAATGACATTCCAGAGAAACTAAGAATGGGATTGGCATGCGTAACACTCTAATGTTGCATTACATGATTGCTGAGTTGCAATGTCAGGATGCCACTCTGCCTATTCATGGGTTTGTGCAGGACTTGTCAATGACAGTGGGCTCAGCAAAGTTCAAGGATGCAAATCTAATAATTAAAAGGAGTGTGTGTCCTTTGATGTATGGTGGCTGAGAAATTACAAAATTGTTGGAAGATATTTAAGATTTTTACCCTTGGTAAAATCGAAGGGCCTTTCATGTCATTAGGAATAACAATGACTCATTTGTTTAGCATGTTTACTCAGAAGTCAGTTCTATTTGAATTCAAGGAACTTACCCCAAGTAAATGTACACAGGACTGCAACCTTGCAGTATAAACCTTTATCTTAGTCTAATGTAAGGTTACCAGACATCCCTGTTTCCCGGGGACAGTCCCTGGATTTACAAATCAGTCCCCATACAAAATGTATTGAAGTTGAAAGTGTCCCTGGATTCACTGAAAAAAATCTGGTAACCTTAGTCTAAAGGCATGAATGGTCTCAAGCCCATGTTGTCAGATGCATGAAGTAAAACCTTAGTTGGCATTTATGTATCTGATGAAGTGGGCTTGAGTCCACGAAAGCTTATGCCATGAAACATTTATTAGTCCTTAATGTGCCACAAGACTCTTTGTTGTTTTTGCTGCAAAAGACTAACAAGGCTACCCCTCAGAAAAAACCTATACATATCTGCTCAGTAAATTTGTGTTCATTTCAGTGGCATTTACTCCCAAGTAAGTAATGGTCTTACTCCTTTTCTGTTATGATGCTGCATATCTACCACCCATAAGGTCAAGCTATATAGCTCCAGAGCAAAAAAACACTGCAAAACAAAAACTTTTTAAAAAATAGCGGGGGGGGGGGGAGAGATACAATATTGTCCAATCCTTGAATAGGTATTGTGAGAATGATTTTTATATCATGAAACTTATACACCACTCGCTTGTAAAAACAAAACAAATAAACAAGCCTCAAGGGTGGTTAAGAAAGAGAAAAGCAAAACTAACTGGGGTGGTACTTGACTTCCATAAAAGGAAAAGGGTGTGAGGCCAAATGCAACGCATGCAGCAGAATAGAGTGGCAAGAGCCCGGAGGTGATGGAATGGGAGGTGCCGCTTCTCACGTGCAGGTGGGGGAATTCCGCATTTGGAAATGGAAAGATTATTTTAAAAGAGACAGACAGACAAACAAACAAACAAACAAACAAACAAACGCCTGGATGTTGATATTTAGGAGATATGAGAGAGAGAGAGCTAATACAGCTCGTCGTTTGAGTGATACCAACAAATATATATATATATATATATATATATATACACACACACACACACACACACACACACACACACACAAAATATACAATACTATATATATAGTGTATATATTAATGGGATTGCAGGAGTCAGCACCCTCTTCCCTAATGTTTTAAAGCAGGGCGGCTGACAGAGCCAGCCTGGCTGTGGGAAAAGGACGAGGAGGAGGAGCGCTTGTTTTTTGTTTTTCCCGACACGGAGCTCCCACAGCCAAGCCAGTACCTGGCCGGCCTGAGGCGGCGCTGAGAGAGAGGGGCAGGCCCGGCCGCGAGGCGCGCCTCTCCGCTCCCTGCCGCCTACCTATCGCCTCCTTCCTCTCTCCGTTCTTCCCGCCCCCTCAACCTGGGCCCGCCCAGCCTGCGCTCCTCGCGGCGCTACGCAGCCTGCGCAGCCCCCGCCGCTTGCGTGCCAGCGGCCGCCGGGCCGGGCCATTCTCCCTCGTTCTCTCTCCTCTCCCTCCCTCCCCGCCCGCCCGCTCGCGCGCGCCTCAGAGAGCCCGGTGCGACTGGCTGACGGGAGTGCGAGTGGTGTGTGGGATGTGATGCGAGCCGCCAGAGAAAATGGCGGCGGCAGCAGCAGGAGGAGGAGGGTCGGCTTCTGCTGCTGCGGCGGCTGCTGCTGCTGTGGCGGCTGCGAGTCGCATCTCCTCCTCGGTCGGATTATCGTCGAGTAAGGAAGCCGCCGCCGCCGCCTCCGCTTCCCCTTCCTGCTCCGTCCCGGCCGCCCGGAGCCCGAAGTCTGTGAGGAGCGGCGGGGCTGGGAGCGCTGGAGGCGGCGGCGGCGGCGCGCTCCTGACGAGAGACCCGGGCGGCGGCGGCGGCGGCATTCGGGAGCCTCGCTCGGACTGGAGGCGGAAGCAGCTGCGCAAAGTGCGGAGCGTGGAGCTGGACGGGCTGCCGGAGCCCGCCGAGTGCCCGGAGCTGCCCCTCTGCCTCTCGGGAGCCGCCTCCTCCTCCGCCGCCTCTTCCCCGTCGGCCGCGCAGCCGCGCTCGACCCCCGGCAGCCCCGCGTCCTCCCCCAGCCGCGGCTTCCTCCTCGCCGGCTCCCCCGACGCGCCGCTGCCGGACGCCGCGAGCCAAGCTGCGGGAGCTGGCGCCGCCGAGAAGACCGTGGAGCCGCCGCCCCCTCCGGGCGGAACAGGGTGAGTGTGGGGGTCTGATTTCGGTCGGGGCAGGGCAGGGCGGTGACACTTGAGAACGGCGGGATCTCCCCCGGGCATTGGGCTGGGCCTGTGGGGAGAGGAAAGGGCAGGTGCCCGAGGTCTGCGCGCAGGCTGCTGCACGGGAAGGAGGCGTGCAATGCCCGGGCGCGTTTGCAAACGCTCGCGCTGAGCCGCCTTGCCTGCGGTAACTTAAAACTCGTGCAAGCTGCACGGTGAGCTTGGGCTTCGCCAGGAAAACTTGCCAGGGGTCGCTCTCGGCTGCACGGCCGGCGTGCAGCGCTGCTTCTTTCCCGGGGAAAGCATTGTTTTGGCACCGTGGCTTTTTCCTCCCTCGCTACCTCGGTTGCATTTCTTCGTAGGTACCCCCGTGCGCGCGCCCCCCCCCCCCCCGGTTTTTCGCTCGAGATCGTTGGTGTTGCAAGTGCTGGGAATGTGTGGGCGCTGCGGGGCTGAAGGCTGCTTGATATTTGCCCAGCGACTGCAGAGAGGCTTTGAAGTTTGAATTTGTCCTGCTGCTGGTGGTGGTGGAAGAGGAGGAGGACCCAGGACCGGATGTATCAGCCATTCAGTTGCAATGCGGTTAAACCCGCTAATTCTGCAGGCAGTTCTTTTCGCTGTGGGCAGGAGGATCCGGAGTTGTGGGGGGAAGTTGCTTTAACGTGCGTTTCTATTTAAACAATATTTCGGCTTCGTTGACATGCATATCATTTAGCAATCTGCTCGCAGTTTGCAATTCCCTGGAGTTGCCATTCTTGATACTTAAGAACCACGATAGCGTTTCTCTCCCCCCTCCGCCCCCGGTGCCTTGTTCCACCTCATTGCAGCTTGAAAATGCGGAACTGTCTTTTTATGTGGGTCTTCTTAAGAGAGAATGCAGTGTATAGACATGCATGCCTTATTCCCTATTTGTGCTAAGAAACTTGCATTGCGATGTCAGGTGGCTCACGTTGTGGGAGATTGTGAGCCATGTTTTGTTTCAAGCGTTGACATTGCAAAATGTACCTTGTTCTTTTTCTAGAGAGAGAAGCGCAGGTTACGGCTGTGGCTATTAAAGTAAAAAGCACAAGATGGTTGGAGTGCCTTTTAATTCATAGCTGAAACCATTCAGATTTCCTGTTGCAGTTTTAAACCGTGTAGCCTTGCTGCTTTGGATTGGCACATTTGGTCTGTTTGCCCTTGGAAACTTTGTGCTGTGGGTTGGTGGTGCAGATCTTGCTATCAGTGCACACCGGAAAAGAGCTTAATCTGAGAACAGCAGACCTGACTGCTCATAAATGAGGACTTGCAGTCTGATTATAAATGCATTTCCTCGGAACCAAAACAGACTAATTTTAGTAGGACCAACTTTAGTAAGCTTGCTTAGGTTTGCAGCATAAGTGCTAGTATCAATGCTATTTTTAAAATTACTGTACAACTAAATGTAGCCCTGTGTGACAATAATAAATTGCTCCCTGGAGGCTTAACTGATGGTCAGGGACTGTTTTAGCTTTGATACTAACAACTGTCCGTTGTGGCTCTTAAAGTCTTGTTAATTAAACAGGCACCAACATTCTAGTAAACACTAGCTCTAGAAATGGTCCACTGATTAATCAACAGTGGCAGACATACTCATATTGATTATATGCAACTTGCAAAAAAACAAAACCCAAACAGAGGAAATGATTTGTAGTCAGTGAAAACCCTTCCCAGTGCAGATAAGCTAGTTGAGGAGACTTAGTGCTGAAACATGAATGAAATGTTTCTGGGAAATGAACATTTTGTATTGTGCTATTCTGTAACTTGCAATACAGCAGTACATGGTTGCAACAGAGGAATATTGACAAGTAAAGCATTGGCAAAAATGTATCTTTCAAATAGGATTCTCAGGTTCTTTCTTCATTTGTTTAAGCACTTGTTGCATTGGGCGAAATCATCAAGGTTGAAATGTTGACTTACTGCTCCATATATGGGAGAATCTTATTGGATATCCTCGTTACACTTTCACACACACATGTGAAATTCATTTAAATTTATAAATCCTTTAGTAGTTATAGAAGAGGTTCCAAGAGCATTTGTTGTAATGGTTTTCACAGGTTTGATAGGGTCCAGTATATAGCAAATATTGTTAATACGTATTAAATACCAGGTGCTTCGTTGTGTTTCAGCAGTGCAGTGAGATTGATATTTGTTAACTAGCCTATAGTATGCTTAACCTCATTCCTATATCTATAAAAAATTTTAGCTGTAGCTTTTTTACTTATTAAATGCCTAATTTAATATTGCCTTTCTGGAAGAAGAGGCAATATCCTTGATTAGGTCATGTTGATGGATAAGACATAAAAATAACCATTAAGGAAACAGCCTTTTTAATTTCAAAAAGTGGGTGAAATCAAGTAGCTCAAGCATTTTATCTCTGAAAATACATTAATACAGTACAGCTTACCTTTGCACAGAGAAGCTGTAGGCTTCAATCCTGTAAGCAGTTTATCTTAATTCTACAGAAATGTCTCGTACAAAGGGGAAGTGAAGAACAAAGTACAATTCCTACGTGAAGTTGTTAATACTATTGCTAATATTTTTAAGCAGGGTGGCTGAGATTCCTTTCAGCCCAAGAAGCAGACCATGTGCTTCCTCCAAAGCCCTTGTACATTTCATTTTCCACAAAGAAAAAATGCTGCCAAAATATTGTACATTGCAACAATTCTGCAATGTGAAAACTATGGGATAGTTGCAAGTTATCCTGTTACAGTATTTTAGATTTTTTTGATAGTTCTAAAATGAGAACAAAACAAAATGAGAGATGGTGCCATCTAGATTTGCAAATATATATTGAATATGGCTGTGGCAGCTGAAGTAGCTCACCTTGCCTTAAGAAGCAGCTAAAATGGGAGAAATCTTTTTTGTCTTTGTTTTGTTGTTAGCAGCATCCATTATGCAAATATGTAATGTATAACTGGTAACTTCACTTTGTAGAGTCCATGAAACAATAAGATGAAGTTTTTCAAATGTGTGGCCATTGCATAAACCCCACTTAACAGGACTGATTAATCCTTCCTAGTTGAGAACACTTTCCATGGGAGAACTGGGAATTCAAAATATAGGTAGTTCATTTAGCCAAAATGAGAAATGCATTGCTGGCTGTGGTGTAACTATGTTTTATCAACTGCAAGCTTTTGAAGTGAATCTGGAGAGCTCCAGTAAAATACTGTAATTTTATTTGAGTAGCTTGTGTGTGGTGTGTATGTGTATGTTTTTTCATAATTTTTTGTCATCATTTCTATCCTATAATGCCACGAGCACAAATACACTTTTCCAGGGTTGTTCCATATAAAATCCAGGATTCCAAATTATTATTAGTCATTTATACAGAATAATTTCAGTTGTTGTCTTGTCTAATTCACATCTGTAATCCAACTAAAATCTGTAATCCAGCTAATGCTTCTCTGTGCATTAATGTCCATTTTCTCTATGTTTGTTTTGTAATTGCTCTGTATTTATTTTTGCAGTATTAAATGTTCTACTAGTCCTATCAAGATTATTTGGAGAAGCAGCAGCTTATTAGCTTGCCTTATAAAGCTATGTACATGATTCAAAGTGGTTTGAGAGATCAGATCCTGGGTCACATCATACCTTGTTAAACAAATGGTGGGGAGACCTTCTATTGTCAAGCCTTGTTCTGAGATTAATTTCTGAATTACTGAAAAAAGGCTACATTTTGCTTATCTCTACTGTCAGGTTTGTATCTCCCTATAAACACAAGCATGCATCATTGGCAAACTTGTTAAAGCTTTGGTTAGAGTGTAACATATTGGCAACATATGCTTTTAAGTATCCCTAGGAAGCCATTATGCAGCTTAACTTCTGGTGATAGTTGTAAATTAATGTATAGTTGTTTTCTACCATAGATTGTATTTTAGCTCATCTATTGTGAGCAGAAGGGATAAAAGTTGCACTAAGATGGATAAAGTACAAAATACATAACATCCTTCTGTATTATGGAACACCAGCAGTAAAATTAAGCTGTATTTATGCTGATTGCTGCAGGTACAGTTGTACCTTGGAAGCTGAACGCCTTGCAAGTTAAACATTTTGGCTCCCGAACACCACAAACCTGGGAGTATTCTGGTTTGCGAACGTTCTTTGGAACCCGAATGTCCGACACGGGTTCCATAGCTACCAATTGGCTGCAGGACTTTCCTGCAGCCAATCAGAAGCCGCGCCTTGGTTTCCGAACATTTTGGAAGTCGAACAGACTTCCGGAATGGATTCCGTTCAATTTCTGAGGTACAACTGTATACAAATAGCAACAATACAATAGCAGGTATACAATAGCAGGTATACAAATAACAACAATACAAAGGTAAGAGTGGCTTTGGAGGGTTGAGGGGGGGCCACCACCGTTTTGGGAGTGTTCGTGGGGTGAATAAGAAATGGAAGTGCAGTTGTGCCCACAGAACAATGCATGTAGAGCATTGGATACAACCTGTTGTAATTAGTTTAAAACAAATAAATTTTAGTTTAAATTTTAGTTTAGTTTAAAACAAATAAATTTTAACTGTTCTTCCAGTTACTTAGTATGAATGTTTGTTTGGAAATGATACCTGAAACCTGATGTAAATAAATGTTTTAACCCCACACTTATTGATAGATCTGATCAAGTGGAGGGGACTTTGTAGGCCATCTAGTGTAAGCCCCTGCTTGATGCAGGAAATTCAGAGCTAGAGCATCTCCAGGTGGCTGTAACACCACTTATCCCTGATAATTGGCATGCAGCTTCCAGAACTGGATAAAGGACTGTTGATGAGGTCCAACTAGGGCAGAATAAAGTGAAGCTATTACTAGTAGTGGCTAGGAAGCTATGGTTCTATTAATGCAGCCCAAAATTACATTAGCCTTTTTTTGCAACTGCTGAGTCATGTTCAGCTTGTGATAAATTGCAACTCCAAGATCCTCTTCATATGTACTGCTGCAAAGCCAGGTATCCCTCATTCTATAACTTTGCATTTGGTAACTTTTTGCCTGTATACAGAACTTTGTGTTTGTACCTGTACTTCATTTTTTTATTTATTGCAGCCCAGATTGCTATTCTTTCAAAGTCTGAATCATCTGCTAATCACTGCATTTTTTGCTTCTGGCTCCTCACCTATTCTCTGGGATTTTTCAAAAATGATAGAAAGCAATTCTGAGTGTACAGTGATTTATGTTGCCTTGATTCAGATACTTTTCCTCTGCTTAGTTTCCTCTGCGGTTCATGGCTGTAGTGGCTGATGCATATACTGTACTAGTGAATCAAAACTCTCTTGACCCTTTTGCATGTTTCAACCTTTCAAACAAATTGGCTACTTGCCTTTTAAAAAATACTGCATGAAAACACTGCATGAATATTATTGTATATTCAATCATTGCTTTATTAATTAAAAACAGGAACTTCAGGGGAAATCATTCAGGGAGCATAGATTACATCATGGGGAAGACAGCCAATCAGGGTGGTGAACTGACAGTAATTGCTGCAGATGTGTGTAACATTTTTTCAGAACTTTAGGATGTAGAGGATAAATAGAATATATTTCAGGGAACACAGTCAGGATACTTCCAGAGTAGCCTATTCTAAGAAAATGTTATGTGTCTGCTTGTTCTTCATATAACCCCTAATACTTGACTTACAGTCATTGTGATTATGGGACTGTTTCTCCCTATGCAGAAACTTCCTTGAATAAGCAGTAATGGGGAGACTAACATTTTAATTATTTTGATGATATCAATCATACCAAATGATAATACAGCTGAGGGTTGCTTCAAAAAGTGTACTTGTATTCCACACAATTATTTTCCCACATACAGTTTTTGGTGACAGCTGAAAGCCTTCCTCTTAGCTTCAGGCCTTTGGGGAATGAAGAGTGAGTTACATAGCCATAGTTTTAGGAAAGAACAGATGACATGGTTTGTATATTGTCATGCTTGTTTTCAGGTTTTTGTTTGACTTCATTGTGTATTTTTATTGTTGTGACCCCCCCCCCATTACTTGCGAATGAAGGGCAGGATATAAATTACATAAATAAGTAACATTGTTGGTACTTGTGTTTTTGAGCACAATTGCTTGGATACAATTCTGAGATGTGTAAACATTCCTTTGACATTGTCCCTTGTGTGACTCTCAGGACAACTTTCCTAGCGGATTTGAATTTACATGCCCTATTGATTCAGTTAAGATTTACAACCAGTTGTGGTTGGGTTTTGTTTTGTTAATTCAAAATGTTAAAAAAGGTGGATATCTTAACTTACATTTAAGGACAAATATGAAGATACCTCATGTGTTTTCTTCCAGCCCTGAGGAGACAATGGAGTCCTGAGTATGTTTAGAATTTTATGACTTCTGTAGTAAGAGAGTTAGTATGGTGTAATGGTTAGTGTTGAACTAGGACAAGGGTTCAAATCCGCATTCAGCCAGGAGGTTCACTTGCTGATCTTGGGCTAGTAACTTATCTTATCGGCCTAAACTACCTCATAGGGTTGTTGTGAGAATAAAGGGACAGGAGAAAACAATGTACAGTGCCTTGAGCTTCTTGGAGGGGAAGGCACAATAAGTATGTAGTATATGAAATATATTAAAATAAACAATTATGGGCTTATCCAAGGTAACCTGATCCTCACTGGAGCAGAGAATGAATTCAGTTGGTTTCCCTTCAGGTAATAACATAAGGACAAAAGAAAAGCCCTGGTCGATCTAACTAATTTAGCTCACTATTCTCATGGTGGTCAACCAAATGTGTGGTCAGCTAAGACATAAATGCAATAGCTCTCACTTGAGCAAGTGGTATTCAGATGCTCCATGGACCAAGTCTGCTCTAGATATCAGAAGCATGAGAATAATTGTTGGACAACAAAAAATAATGGAAGGTTGTTGCTTTCATGCCCTGCTTCTGGGATTCCTGGAAGTGTTTGGCTGTTTATTGTTTAAAACAGGGTGCTAGATTAATTGGATCCCTGTTCTTATCCAGCAGGGCTGCTCTAATATTTTAAGTGAGTTGAACTATATGCCCATCTTGGTTTTATTTAAAAGCTTTTCTTCCTGGATTATGCCTAGAAACTTTGAATTCGTTGCTTCATAGCCTCACGTCTAGATTACTATAATCATCTATCTATATTTGAAGCTATCCTTTACTTAAAGTGGGATTGAGTGACCCTCCAAACAATGTTCAAAATTAGCCAGACGCCAAGCACATTTTGCGACTAGCACAGGTCCAATTGCAACCATGTGGCGATCTTGGGATGCCAGGTTGGTGACTGAGGAAAGCAAAATGTCACTTAGAGAAGGATCTGAAATATTTTCCTTGAAGCTTGAATTAGCTTTATCCTGGATTGTTTTATTTGATGTTTTAATGTGTTGTAGAACACTTTGAGATTTGTTCTTTGAAATATAAAGCAGCATAGAAATGGAATGAGTACTGCTACTACTGCTAATAATAATTGCATCGGTGTACGCGGGGGGAACAGTGGCTAGACATTGCATTGTGGCAACTGCAGCCTAGGTTTAAGGTGCCATTTGGCAATTAGATTATATATCTGAGTTTTAGACGCTGCCTCCAAATGTCATTTGACTTCCAGCTCTCATCAGCCCCAGCCAGCATGGAAATGGTCAGGAATGATGGGAGTTATGGTCCATTCCACCAACATTTTTAGAACCATCAGTTCCCCATCCTTGGCTCTCGCTCAGTCAGTCTTGCAAATAAATAAATGCTTGACAGAGGTGGGAAGTGACGCTTGCCTTGTATTCTGGAGGCAGTCTATTTTTAACATGAGGCCACTATATTTTAAGGATTTTTAAGGAATTGTGGGAGTTTATAATCAGGAGCTCCTTGCATCCACAGATCACAAGGATTTGTTCCGAAAGCAGCAAGACTATCTTCACGTACTTCCCGGTGGTTGATTATTATAGAATCAGCGCTTCTTGTGCATGCATGCTTTTTGTAGCATCCATATGATGTCCTTTCCACCAGAATGCCAGCCTGTATTTCCTCCTCATTGAATTTGAGTCTACCCTTTCTATTGAAATACCAATAAATTAAAAATAATTCTGTTGCCAGTATTCTGCTTGCAGTATCAAGCCCCCATGTGGAAGCATCCTTTCGTCCTATGTATTTCTCTCCTATACACCATCTTTTGCTTCAGAAGGAAATACAACACCAAGGAGGTTAAGAAGAAGGAGATCAAGAAGTTCCTTGCAAAGACAAAAATGCATCTGGGACATACTTTTTATTGTGCGGAAAGCTAGTTGTGCTACCACTTCTACCTTCTTGATTGGGTGCAAATTAGTAGTAGATGCATTTATTATTGAGGAGCAACATATGCTGGAGAAAATTCGTGCTGAAATGTCACAGGGTAAAGCTGTTATCAATGGATGTTCCATTAGGTTGAAATAACTAGTGTGAAGCAAAGGAAAAGTTAAATAAAGCCATTGTGAAATTAGGGAAATATTTATAGTGATTGGGGAAATGCTGTCTGTTAACATATCTTTGGTTGAAAAAAATGCTGAAACATTCTAGCATTTTGTCTTTAGCGTGCAGCAAAAAGAGAACAAGTTACAAGGAGCACTGATTTGCAACTAGTCAGATCAGTGATTTAGACCACAACCATACAGGGTTGCACAGAAGTGTGCGTTCAGCCTATGGTCTGAAGCATGGACCAGAATATCAGGAGACCATCTCAATCGTTTTATTTATATACTGCCTTTTCAAAGTTAAAGTTATGCTCAAAGTGGCTTGCAACATATAAAATTATGTAACTACAAACATAACAAAAGTAGTCATAAACAATAAATCAAGCATCAAAAAGTACACAACAAAATTTCCACATAAATCATAAGATCCAAAATAGAGATACAGAAGTCAACAGCAACAACACACCCACCCAATGCCCAACAAAAAACCCCTAAACAATACCCCAGCATTGTTCAGCAGCCTCCGCTTTTGCAGCTGGAGTCAGTCAGTCAGCCAGGGCCTCACCCTCCCAGACCAGGTGGGGAAAGGCCTAAAAGGCAGGGGGCCAGTCTTCTAGGACTCACAGCCAATATGCAGTTTTTAAATATCTGAGCTAGTTTGTAATTTGAAAATCTTTTCTATGCTTTTAAGCTAAGTATTATGCTATGGAAGCTGATGCATTTTAAGCTCTCTCCCAAAATCCATATTAGTTTTATTTTTATTTTTTTTTAAAAAAGCCTATGTTGTCTCATTTAGGAGGGAGTTCCGCAAAACTGGATCTACAATACTGAACTATGAAATGACATATGAGTATCTTTTATTCTTTTTTCTCAGTCTGGATGGAATGGGAATCCATGTTTCCTTTCTTCTTGGTACGAAAAGGGTATTCATATATATTACGGCATATTATTTTTCTGAAACAGAATATTCAGTCTTATCCCAATTGACCAAGAACAGAGGGCCAATTTGTGAGTTACTTTTTTTCCAGCATAGATGATAATTAGTCAGTCTTCTAAGCATTTGTGTAAATGGTTTCTTAGAACTGGATGCACACCTTTTACTTTTGTAAGCATGCAAATAAAATATGATGTGGTGTTCAGCTTCTCTGTCTTGAATAAGATTCTGTATGTATAAAAGGTAATACTTGCTTGTGTGAACTGATTAAGACCATAGCATTAGTGCACATCTGAACAGATTATTGACTTCATGGTGGATGACTTGCAAAGCTTTATGGATTGAATGATGGAGCTGCCCAAACATAAGCCTGATAACTTACATGATTTTTGTGATTGCTAAGCATCTTGGATGAAATAATATTTTAAAATCATAGTGCATATACAATCATCTACAAAATACCAAAAAATGTTTCTGTTTACCACTGCTTTTTCCTCATGGGGAGTGGAGTCTTCCATCTCATTCTGAGCTTTGGACAACTGCTTCTAAGTCCTTTGCCGATGGATGTGAAGGCAGGGAAATGTCTTGAAATGTCACATCTAAATAGGCTGCACATTGAGAAAAGAAAAAGGAAGAGACTTAGATGAAGACAAAGTGTAATGCTTAATTTGTTTGTGTGGTACATGCACACGCCTCCCTGCTTACCTTTCATACCCTGTGCCCAGGCATTGGTCCCGCCCCACCCCTTCCTTTATACAATCTTCTATCTTAAATAGGAAGTGTTACCTTTAATATCATAAAGGTACAGTCAAGAAGAATAAAAATTGTACCCAGTTGCTTGTCAAGAAACAATTCTACCAACTTGTGCATCTCACGTCAGGTTTACAGTTCCATATTTCACTAGTTGCAAAGGGACATTAACAGCTTTCAACATTCATATTTTTATAGTAGGTTAATAGGTGAAAGGAAGGTAAATGATGCCAATTCATGTAAATTTGCTTGAACTGGTTATATGCTCAAATAAGGAAGGATTTCCCAATTTTGTCCAACCCCCCCAATTTGCTTTACATTGCACAGTGCTGTTCTTTGGTAAGCATGACACATGCTGGAAGAAGGCAGCCACCCAATCATAGTAAGCCTAATTATTTGTCAGTATAAATATTGAGCTGTTGCTTGGTAAGAAGCAGATGTTTCAATTTCTGCCTGTGGCTCTACTCCAAATGAAGGGATGTTCAAGTGAGTTTAAGAAATAAAGCCTTTTATTTCACAGGAGGCAAAAAAAGTTGTGAATGGCTACAATCAATACTCCAGGTCTGTGTTCTTCAATAACAATATATCAGTTGCTTAAAGTAAGAAAACTTTAAATGTCCCAACCATGACACATCTCACTTGAAGGTACACACATCTCACTTGAAGGAACATCACATTTTAATTTTTTCAACTGGCATAAAACTGGATTCTCTCAGCTTGCTGCAACACCACCTGTGCTGTAGTGCACAGATGGTACTTTTCCTGCCATAATAAATGTGTTAGTCTTTAAAATTATGTGAGACTCCTTTTTTTCTACGACAGACCAGTGCAGCTACACCTTTGGAAACTGCAACATATTCAGACACTTAGCATTCATCTTTCTGCTAGTTCACACTTGAAACAGTTTGTGCCATGGTGGGTAACCTGTGACCCTCCAAATCATAGAATTGGAAGGGACCTCAGGGTCATCTAGTCCAACCCTCTGCAATGCATGAGTGATGTTTGACTCCACATCCCATCAACCCCAACCGCTGTGGCTGGTGGTCAAGGATGATGGGGGTTATAGTCTATCAGCATCTGGAGGCTCATAGGTTCCCCATCACTGGCCCTTGCATGCAGTGCATAACCCCCCCCCCCCTTTATAACAATTTTGAAACATAATTCTGTGTTGCAGTATCTTGCTACTAAATAATTTGTGCACAGTAATCCATGCAGTCAGTGATCCGTTCAGACTTGTTGCTAATCATACACTGAGTACAGTGAGTGAAGCTTTTGCTGTCTTCATTTGCATGTAATGTTAATCCTTGTCATAGAGTTTGAAGATGAGCTGCAGCGAGCTTTATGTTCATGCACTTGTCCTACCCCCTCCTCCAGTATAGGCGTAAGGAGATAAGAAGTACCCATTAGAGTTGAACCACAATCAGTGTTGTGTCCAAACTCTAAACTGTGGTTAATATTAATAGCTTGTTGAAGCAAACCAGCTTCACTACCCTTGGTTTGAAGTTGGCTTGCTTTGCTTAAAGTCAACCATAGATTGAAGATAAGCTTGTGGTTAAGCTCAAATGGAAACAAAAGCTTATGAATTCCTCCTCAGAGCTTGTAATAAGAATTAGTGTATGAACTTGAGGCTTGGTGAAACTCAGCCTTGTAATGCTAAACTGTGCTTAGAGTTACAGTACATGTGAATGATACCACTGTGTCTGACCTCCAAAGAATGTTTACAGGTAACCAGTGATGAGAGTGGGGGATTAGTTCCCTAAGGGAAAATAAGGGAGTTGTGCAGTACCAGTTAGACTGGGTGATAATTTCCATTTTTTCCCAAACAGAGGAGATTGGCTCAAGCCAAATACTATAAGTTATCTGAATTTTTTAAAATGCCAATTACAATTTGCACAGAGTACTTCTTGGAAGAGCAGAATTCTGGTTTGCAAGTTGTTAGATCACTTTTGATATCAACAGATTTGTTACAAAAGAAGAAAAGGGCAAACATAATAAAAAGAGGGGAAACAAAAATTTAAACCATGAAGTGTCACAGCCTGGAAGGACAAAAGTACAAAGATACAGTGTAGCACCAAACGAATAATAAAGTATTAACTCATACAAAGGTTCCTGTTACAATTCTGATGTTTAATGTGCTCCTGTGGCACTCCATAGTTATACAGCTGATAAACGTCACTTTTGCAATATACCTCTTCGGCTAAATATTCTATATTAAAGTCTCAGAATTTGAGCTTTGTAAATTAGCATCTTACGATAATACTTGTTGGGAAATAAAATTTGCAAGTGCATATTGAATTTGAGTCCAGATCCTTAAAATGTCCCTCGCATACTACTAGTTGTCCAGCTTGTGCATTTATTTCACTGCTAATACAGGATTTGGTCCCCATTTTCAATTGTCTCTATTTTTTAAACACTAGTACCAAGATTTCTGTGGTGCTGGCAGTAATTATTTGGTTAAACGTGCACACAGTTCCTTCCTTATTAGTCATATTTATTATATTTACAAATGCAAGGCAGCAGCCCCATCTGCCCTAGCTCCCTGGATACATGCTGGATGGCTGCAGGAAGGGAAGGAGGACACCTGGAGACTCCAGGATGGAGAACACTGAAGTAAAAGAACAAAGTTCTGGGAACTGAGATAGTATTGGAACAGATTGCAAGTATCATGTTGAAAATAAAACATCTCTTTCATATATTCTATCTATCATCTATCTATCTATCTGTCTATCTATCTATCTATCTATCATCTGTGTGTGTGTATAAAATGACTTTTTGATAAGTCTTCCACATATTCTTCATGTGGCAGGGGACTGTGCTTAAAACCTTCACACAGTGATCACTTCCCTATAACTGGTGCCACAGTTTTGTTGCCAAGCCACACTTGCTACATAAAATTGGATTAACAAATGGGAAACAGCTCTTACATTTGATGGTGCCCTTTGTGGCAAAGTACTTTGATAGTCTCTACAATGGAGCATAAATTTCAGCCCTTAAAACAGATTCTTTGATTTACCAGTATGATGCATTAAAGTAGTTAAAACCTTTGGGTTAATAATTCAAGATCATTTGGAGAGAGGGAAAACCGTTTATGTGTTAATTCACTTTTTTAATCACAGGTAATTTCTAAAAATGTTTAAAAATAAATAAATAAATTTTAAACATTTATACTCCCCCACTCCCCACACCATCTGGAGAAATGATGCTTGGCCTTCTTTTACAGAGGCTTTGTAAATTTATTAGGTAAAATAAGGTAAGCAAAGAGCTTTGAACACTCAAAAGAGCAACATAAATGTTGCTAATACTATGCTTGTACATTGATTAAAACAGGGCGGGATAAAAAACAGAACATTAAAATTATTAATAATTAATATATGAATAATTTAAGTGTAATAATAAATACAAACCCGTGGACCTGAGATGATGTTTATGAACTGTGGGGTTTGTAGTTCTAGGTGTCAATTGCTGCCTTTATTTCTGCAGTGCTATAGTAGCTAGGAAGAGATGACCAAACAATCCCTGTTCTATCTGCCTGCTTGTGTGTGGTGATAAGTGTTTACTGGGTAAGGTGATGTCCTAACAGTGCTATTGCTACATGTTGACTGTTGCTTTACATGTATGGCTAATGCAGCTGTGGCAGCTGGGTGGGTGATTGGTGGGTGACATGGAGTTGCCATGGACACTGCAATTGGCTATTGGTTGCCTTATTAGTGCTTGTTTCTACAGCAGCTGTTGTGCTTCTAATTTTGCTGCCAGTTGGAGCATAAGATAATAACTACATGATCCCAGCAGTAGTCCTGGTGCAGCAGTGGCCACTGTGGATCAGACTGCATCAAATTGCCCTCGCCATTTCTTTAAAAACACTCATACACAAATCCAGTCAATATAAAACTAGTAGAAATGTCCCCCAACAATGCATTCATTCTAATATTAAGAGTTAAAACATTTGTTGTATTTAATTTATTCCTGCACAAACTGACTTAGAGGGGGAAATGTGCATCCTTTGTTATTACGGTCCAGATGTTCTTTCATCAAATATTTGCAAATTGCAATAGGTGAAAAAGTCTGACATTCTAACTCTGGTTCTTGGTTTTCTTTTTCCTGTGGCCTTCATATTATATGTAGGAGTTACGCCACTTGTTCAAAGAACTGATTATAATTTAAAAAATCGTAGGAGACCAACAACTCTTTATTGGTCAAGTGGTTAACCTTCCGAAATATATTCTCCAGATGCCTGCAGTTAAGCTCAGCCCAGGTGAGCTTCCACATATGTAACTTTTGGCCTAGCTGTAAAAGGTCCAAAGTCTTGGAAGTGTGAGTATAATTAACTCATATGATCCCTAGACAAGTTACACATTTCCGCTGGCTATGTATGCTCGTTATCTACGTCAGAGTTATTAAGGTCTGGCTAAACTTTCTGTAGAAGGACAAATTCAAAGCCATGCATCATGTGGAACAGGAGAAGAAAGGGAGCAAAGGAACTTCTTTCCTGTTTCACTCTGTCACTATGTGATCAATGCTATATAAGGTCATGTCTCGAAGAAAGTAGGGAACCCTGACTTTAGCCAGAAGGGGACAACTGTCAAGCTTTCTTAATAAAGAGTGGGTGCTAAACTTTGACTTTCTTACTCTGTCCTAATGAAACTTTTGCATAGTATATTAAATAAATATATACATATTATGAACACTTTTGTGGAGTTTCTATCTATAACAATCATGGTTACTGAGTATCTGCACATCCATTTTTCTTTTAAATAGACTTTCTGTAATGATTAAGCCTACTGCCATTCATAAACAGCTGTTCTCTACTGCTGCTGGCTTCTTTGAAGGCTGGGAAAAACTTGGTGTAAATAAGAAAAATTCCAGCTGCTTAGAACTCACTTCCATGGGTGAGAACCCATTGCTATTTGAACCCTAAAGCATAGGAGGTTGAATAATTTGAGGATATCTTTTGCTGTAGAATTGAATCAAAGCAGGGATGGAACTGATATTTGACAGTATGGTAAACTAGAAAGAGAGTTGTTAGCCACTCTGACAGGGGGGTAGAGCACAGCTACCACGTAAGCATGTGGTGGTGCCTGGCAGCTAGAAAAGGGAGTTGGAGTGAGTCAGAAGACTGCTCAGAGCCCAGGGCCCCCACCCTGACTACAGATCTTTCTGAAGGGGAGTGTATAGGGGCAATTCAGGGGATTTTGATTAGACTGTAGTGTAAACCCTCAATTTATGCAGGGATTGCATTCTGGGAATCACACTTTTATACACACAAATTGTGTATAGTCAAAGTATCCACCCCCCCCAGATGTCCCCACCCTTTTCGTTTTCCTTTATTTTTGCCAAGGGCATAAAGCTGAATGTACACAAGTTAAATGTGGATAAGTTGTGGACTTACTGTACACAATTTATGTCTTCTGTGCTGACTGTAGAATTAACAACTGTGTAAGATGTAACTCTGCTGTAATGAAACTGTATCATTGTGGTGGTTATCTCATAATTAATAGCTGATCACTATTTTGGCCATATTTAATGGACTGGCTATAGCTTATAAATAGCTTGGGCCAAATGGTTTAGATAGCCAAACATAAACAGAAGAATATGCTATTGTCATGTGAGGACCAAACTGCATGTTATTGCTGGGAAATCCACCATCTATTGGTCTATATGTGCATACATACATTCAGGGCATGTTTATTGACTACAGCTGGGGGGGAATGGACACACTGGTGTTTTCATTAGGGAAACTGTGTAGAGTGCTGCATGAGGTCTTTAGCAAATGTAAATTGCTGTAGAAGAGCTCATCCTTGAGCATACTCCTATAGAGAAGCTCACTTTCCCAAAATCTGCTTTAAATTGTTAAAAACAAATGAAAAATGAGCCATAGATCCTGGAGAATTAGAAATATTAAATGATGAATTCATGGGTGCTTTTGGGTTTATTTATTTTTTGAGACAGGGTGAATAAAATATAAATGACTCAGCTACTACTTTTTCATTCCCTTTCTCTTCCTCCCAATTTTTAACTTTTTCTGCCATTTGTGAAGTGGCACAAGATAATTTAAAAGGCTTAGTTACCTTTCTTAAAAGATAAAAAAAGCGATACAACAGACATTTCAGAAATAAAGAGTACTTCTCTTGTGACATTAGTACACAATTATCAAAAATTATTAAAGTACCTTCCAGATGAATGCCTAGCTTATACCTTGATTTTAACTGCTCTTGGCAGCTCTTCCATGCGTTATCTAGGTTGCATGCTGTGTCTGCATTTTTTATTTTTAGATTTGTTCAGAATTCATATGCAAGAACACTTTAGTTCTTGGGCTATTAAATCAGTTTCTCCTGTAGCAGGACTTGTGTTACTTCATATTCAAGCAACAGCTGTAAATATCTGTATTAAATTGTAGATTGTGTTAGTTCAAAATGAAGACACTGCACTGAAATAAGCTATAATCAGCTGACCTTGGTTGCTTGTTTTCCTGTTTCTATCAAAATGTTGCTGCTTTCTTGCTTTCTCTAGACTTTCCACTCCAGTGTTATAATTATGACTGAAAGGCTTTCATGGATGATGAATTTTTCATGGAATTTGATATCACACATTAATTCCTGTTTTGAGTGTGTCCAAACATACCTCTTTTGTTGTTTATAACGCTTATGTTACTATTTATGTCTCTGGTCTGGTCTTCTACACTATGAACCATGTATTAGGACTATGACACAGTTTGATAATGTGAGCAATTGATATGTGTGTAAATGTACATCTTCCCTTCACATTCAACTTGTTAGGGTGCAGAACCTGAGAGAGACAGTGCTGCTGAAACATACCAGCATTCTGTATGGTCAACATATGTTGACAGTGTAGTTGCTGTTTGGTGCAATGGAATAGTTGTGTTTGTACTGTGCAAGAACAGAAAAGCTAGATGTGTGCTGTCAATGACCATTTTGTGTTCAGTTCCCACCCAACCCTGCGTGTCGGTGGAATGCATATAAGCGCACCCTGCCCCGTACCATGCCGCCCCACCCTTTTAGTGGCATGTTTAGTGACGTTCTCGGCTCACTTCCAGGTTTGGTGATCATGCCTCATTCAAAACTTAAATCAAATATATGCAACAAGTTTGAAATATTTCCTCTCTCTACTAGTTACATTATTGTTGGGGTTCTTATCTTGGTTATGCTCTGGTCATGAATGGCATGGTGGTTTGTCCATATAGCCTTAACACATGGTGGGTGTGGGTGGGTGTGAGAGAGAAAGACATGAATGTGTACCATCTGAAAATGTGACCTTTGTAACTCCTTTTGTATTTGTGGGCTGCAGATAATGGTGCCTGGAAATGAGAATTTTAGCGTTTGAAATAATCTATTTTAAAATAAAGAAATGCTGCACTAATTGTGAGGTAGTAATGAACATCATCATGTAAGGCTCCTGTAGAACTGCAAATATTAATCAGGATATGATCTTAAATCTAGGAACTAGCTTTGGAAACCAACACTGACAATCCAGATTTCAGTAGCCATTCGGGGGGGGGGGGTTAGGTCAGTGAGAGGCTATGATTTTGCTTTCAAGCTTTAATTCCATGGAAAATGATATCTCCTCAACTTGGCTATCTGATTTTTCTTTCATATTTTCACTATCTATATCCTAGCCTGGTGTAATACTCCATGCAGAAAATCTACAGCAATTAGGATATGAAAAATAAATGTGTTCTTTGAGCAAATACTGGTAGATATGATGCACAGAACCCAAATAGTATAACACTACTAAATATTAAGAGAGCTTTGATCAGGAACCGTTTGTTTCTGTCCATCAATGAAAGTACATTTTTTTACCAAGACACTGCAAACTAAGTGAGTTATACCATCAGTATAACAATGCTTACATTTCCTGTGAGAGTAAATAGACGTGTGGCTTGCATGTCATGCTATTGTCACTTATCTGCAAAAGAGGGAACTGCCAATACTTTATGTTAAGGAGTTTCAAAAGCCCTTGGAAGATATAAAAAGATAAATAGTGAACAATTTAGCCTATCAATCTGTAGCCAAAGGTCATAGACATAAATGGTGCCAAAAAAGGCAAAAGCCACACTGGCAGGATTCCAGGTAACCAATAGCTTCTGGGGTATCTGAAATTAGAGTGACCATCTGTTCCATAACCTTTCTCTAAAAGTGAAGATTAGAAACAAAAGGGTAACTGGCATCAAAATATAGGATTTTGAGCTGGCCTTCAATCTTCATGGCATGCTGCTTTCCTGAAAGAGAAGCATTGTTAGTTCCAGCTAGCAGAGAACCTAGTTTTTTTACTGATTAAAATCAGTTATAATTGGCATAGGTTATACTTGCAAGTGGATACCTGCATACCTGCAAGCATCTCGGCAACACTATCATGAATCAAGGTATCAGACTTGGTTTGTCATGTTTTTGGGGGATTGGTTTTAAATTATGGCTTTGCAGATTGCCAGTTCACAATAGTAGGGGTTGTTATGACTTGATCAGTGTGAAATGCCCCCAAACCCTCTTTTCAAGTAACACATTAGCATACATAACTGGCAGTCCTTGTCTCGAAAGTATTGTGATTTGTGATCCTTGAAACAAAAAAGTGAACAGAAAGAACAGAACACAAGAGATGTTAATTTCCTAAGCAATTTGTTATTTAGGAAAATGCTCTTCTACATCCAACCAATGTCAGTCTGATTTTGTTTGAATTTGAGTTTCACGAAGGACTACAAAAGTATGTACAGTATAATACTTATTAGATGAAAACCCTCATAAGAAAATTGGCTATACAGTGGTGCCTCGCAAGACGAAATTAATTCGTTCCGCGAGTTTTGTCGTATTGCGATTTTTTTCGTCTTGCGAAGCACGGTGTCGGGAAAGTTTTGGAAAAGCTTCAAAAATCACCAAAGTCTTTAAAAACCTCAAAAAAGGCTACCACACCGCGTTCTATGAGTTGCTCCTCGAAGTCAATTAACGGTGTTAAGAAAAAGGAAACAAACTTGCAAGACGTTTCCGTCTTGCGAAGCAAGCCCATAGGGAAAATTGTCTTGCGAAGCAGCTCAAAAAACAAAAAACCCTTTCGTCTAGCGAGTTTTTTGTCTTGCGAGGCATTCGTCTTGCGAGGTACCACTGTACTTGTGTGCTATCCAGGGATATAAATGGGAAAACTGTTTCTAGAGAGCCATTGTGATGGTATAGATAGTGTTGTACTTGGGTGGGAAGGCTTTGCTGAAATCCTGCTTAGCCATGGAGCTCCCTGTATAACTCAGAGAGAGAGAGAGAGAATGTGTTTGTCAGAGTCTTGACCAATTTACAGGGTGGTTGTGAGAATAGAATAGGATAATCCCTATATTTGACTTACCGAACTCAGAAGAACAGTGGATTAGCATATGTGCTGGAAAATTAATTATAATACACTGAATCCAGATTAGGGGAAGCTGCTTCATTAATTTAAAAATAATTGACCAAACATTTGTATGTTGAATGCTTTCTGTAAATTGCAAGAAGACACTTTTAACTGTGTTGTACAAAACTGGGAACCTGACTGTTATTGTCACAAATACTTGTAAATATTTAGGACTTCATATATGGTGTATTAAATGCTATTTTGTAAAATGCTACATCTTCCAAATAGCTAATCTTAAGGACAGCTTTTAGAGGATATACCATATTTTTTGCACCATAACACTCACTTTTTTCCTCCTAAAAAGTAAGGGGAAATGTCTGTGCGTGTTATGGAGGGAATGCCTATGGGTGGCATGCCTACGGATTTTCCTCCTCTAAAAACTACGTGCGTGTTATGGTCGAGTGCGTGTTATAGAGCGAAAAATACGGTACTCTTCTGTGTTCTTTGTACACAGCTTCACTTTCTTTTGAAAAAAAGAAATTAAATAGGAGGACTTAAATTGGGTTAAAGAAGAAAGAAATGCATCCTGACTTCTCTGTCTAACTGAATGTTCTTGGAGGCTGTTGAAAAGAAATAGGAGTTCATCCCACATGGCCTACATTCATAAAGCAAATTGGGAGTGCCAAAAATGCCCTGAAATTAAGCTAGGGAGTGGAGGATTACAATAAAATGTTGCAGTGTATCCCTGATATGTAGGTTATCTGAGCCAGATGCTTAGGGGGAGAGTTCTGAAAAAAAGCAAAGGTCCCTGCTCTAATTTAGGACTTCATGGGCACTTTCTTAGTTTTTAAAAACATTTTGAAGTGCAACCAGACTGCATGCAAGTCAGTGGGTCATGGAAGGTTCTGGATCCAATTGGATGCTTCATTTAGTCATGGAGGAGGTTTGAGGGGCAAACTGAGTAGAGTCACCTTTGACGCAAGCTGACCAGTATGGGTGATGTTTGGCACATATGTGTGATGTTTGACTGGGAATCCAAACCAGCCTGAGCTTTTCACATCTGACCCACAATATTAGCAGTAAAGTGCACTGCAGGGTTGTTGAACTTCAGCAACGTATTCTCATTACTACATTGGAAAGTGTTTAGAATAAAAGCTTTGAGGAACAAAAGGGACTTCTTCCAACGTACTTGAAATGGTAGGTGCTTTGTCTCAAAGTGTGTTGTGCTTTTTGCTTTAATATTTTAGATGTAGATAGTGAGCTGCTGAAGAAACCACATGGTTAGAAAGATGAAAGGAAGGGAAGTTTAAACTACACCAAGATTTGCCACTTGAAACTGTTATAAAGAGTAGATTCACTTGCCTGCTTAGGGGAAAGTTAAGAGTTAAGATGGAGCAAACAATATCATTCAAATATTTCCATAGATAGACAGCATAAACAGGGAGCTGTTGCATTGTTCAAAGACGGATGTCAAAGCTGTTTCTGTGTTTGAAAATACTAGGGAACCAGGACTTAGCTCTTGTGCACTGGAATTGTCTGTCACTAAAATACTGGATTCTTGTATTAGCTTTGATTAAACCCAAGAATTGAAATGTGGGATGCTTGATGCGCTATTTGTAGTAGTGATTTCTACATGTATGCTCAAACCAGGAAGTTCCCACAGCTGCCATAATGGGGCCCCACTTGTATTACTGAATGTTATGTTAGCTGTAATTCCTCCATGACACATGCATTATTAGAAAATATAATTATGCAGGTTGACTGAACTATTGCTATGGGAAGTGTAACTTTGGAGTTCCAGGCATGTGTGAAAAATCTCTAACATAACATCACTATTATAATTACTTGCATTTAGATTAACAACTTTGCAAGGTGGCTTAAGGGCTTCAGTAGTCTGCATATGCTTTTTCCTGGCCTTATATTGCATGTTGACACACTCAGCATTGCAAAATTAAAAATCTAGCAGGCTTGACTTATAATATAAAATTTTAAAGTAGTTCATTGAACTGGTTGTGTGTGAATAATTTTGTCTGGCAGCATTATTTTGGTAATAGAAGCTTCTATATATTCCAAGAACTTAGAATCACAGAAGTGTAGAGTTGGAAGGGATCCCAAAGGTCATCTGGTCCAACTCCTTGCAATGCAGGAATCTCAGCTAAAGCATCCATGACCATCTAGCCTCTACTTAAAAACATCCAAGGAAGGAGAGTCCATAGCCTCCCAAGGGAGTCTGTTCCACTGTCGAACAGCTCTCACTTTCATAATGTTCTTCCTGATGTTTAGTCGGAATCTTCTTTCTTGTAACTTAAAGCCATTGGTTTGGGCCCTACCCTCCAGAGCAGGAGAGAACAAGCCTGCTTCGTCTTCCATGTGGCAGCCCTTGAGATATTTGAAGATGCCTATCATCTCTCCTCTCAGTCTCCTCCTTCCCAGGCTAACCATACCCAATTCCATCAAGCATTGCTCTTAAGGCTTAGTTTCCAGACCCTTGATCATCTTGGTCACCCTCTTCTGCACACGTTCCAGCTTGTCCATATCCTTCTTAAATTGTGACACCCAGAACTGGACACAGTACTTCAGGTATGGTCTGACCAAGGCAGAAGAGAGTGCTACTATTACTTTCTTGATCGGGAAACTATACTTCTCTTGATGCAGCCTAGAATAGCATTAGCTCTCTTTTTTTGTCGCTGCATCATACTCATGTTAAGCTTGTGGTTAACCAAGACCCCTAGATCCTTTTCACATGTACTACTAGTAATCCAGGTGTCTCACATGTTACACTGGTGCAGCTGGTTAATCTGTGCATAATTGTGTAACCTTACATTTGCTCCTTTTAAATTTATTTTGTTTGTTTGGACCCAGTTCTCCAATCTGTTAATGTAATCCTGAATCCCAGTTCTGTATCCTGCAGCGTTAGCTACTGTTCCCAGTTTGGTGTCATCTGCAAATTTGATGAACATCCCCTCCATTCCTTCATCCAAGTAGTTTATAAAGACGTTGAACAATAACCCCACATGTCACTTTTTTCCAGGATGATGAGGCACAATTAGTGAGCACTTGGGTTCAGTCAGTCAACCAGCTACAAATCCACCTAACAGTTACCTTTTTCATCCACCTATTTATTTATGTTACTTATTAAAATATTTATAGACCACAGTTCCCTAAAAACCCAGCATGCAAAATTACAAGGACGACAATAAAAACGTCAATAAAAAGTGTCAATAAAAACATCAACTTTATTTGGTTTCAGTCCACCATATTTTATAGACTGCATTATAGTGTTAACAATCTGGCTCCTCTGTTGCAAGCTGCAAGTGGCAAAGAAATAATGAAACCTTATTAGTCTGCAGAAATGTGTGTCCAAAAGAAGCTAGTGTTTGTGGCCTTTTGCATTCTTTAAATGTCAAATTATCCTTAGGCTGAAGAGGCACAATTTCCTTCTACAGTTACTCCAGCTGTTTGTGAGTGCAGTAGTCTTATTAAATTAAATTCTCTTTGAGTGTACATATTATAGAATATCTATTTGTATTTACAGTTTGCATAAAGTTTGTTTGCAATAGATGATTATACAGTGGGTTGCACTGAATCATTCTAAAATAATAAAATGGATGAATATTTTCTTTTGTCCCTGAATATGAACAAGCAATGATTGCATACTGGATTAATTACCATTTGGATTGCAAATGAATAATAGGGCTCTGATTAATCAAAATTGCCAACTGACTGCTTTCAGAGACCTGCATATCTTCTCTATTCTGTTTTTGCCTCTTACACATTGTTCCTACTTATGGCCATCTCCATTAAAGATAGATTGGGCCAGTGACTGTGAATGAATAGATGACACAAGGAAGAATATATGCATAAATGCCCAAAATATCATTGGAACGAATGTTTGCTGGAATTACCAGACTTTGGTTGCTTGAGACTGCCTTACTCCTTACATACGCAGTAGGTTTTTCTTTTTGGAAGTTCCTAAAACATGAAACCCAGTCCATTGCACATTGGAGCAGGGCTTCAGTGTGGCTACCCCTGATTTGCATAACATTGTTTCTGCTGAGATAGGACATGTGCCCACTATTAGTGGTTTCCAGAAACTACACTATATATATATTGTTTTCACAGTGTTTTCCAGCTTTATTTATTTAGGTGTCGGTCTTCAGTGTTTTGTATCGTGTTAAAACCTATTTTTGTTTTTATTGTGTGATTGGCACTTTATGAAAGGCAATTCATAAACTAATTATGAATGAATTTATATTCAAGTCCAAAGGCATTTAAAGTGATCAGCAACCCTTTGAATTCTGCCTGGAAATGGACCAGTAGCAAGCACAGTTGTGAGAGCTGTTCTTTATAACCAAGCTCAGTTTTCTGCATTGTGGGCTAAATTAAGTTTTCAAGAAGTCTTCACAACCCCTCCTACATATAACACATTTTTGTTGTTTAATCTGAAGGTTTTCAGGACATGAATGACACTAACTAGGCTATCTCTGTCTTAGGAGGACCTCACAGCTGATAGAAGGTGCAGCATGTAATAGGTGACACTTTAGCTCCCTTAAACTGCAACCTTGTTCTCCTGGGGAAGGGGAGTCCTGTCCAGAACAGGTTCAACAGCACCTCCCTGGGGAGATTAACTTGCCACCCAAAAATACCACGATCTTTTCTGCATTTATCTTCAGTTTACTAGTGTTCATTGCACATCTCATATGCTTGATTGAGTACCTGAACTGCCTAACCTGAATATGATGAGAAGGTGTAGAGCTGAGTGTCATCAGCATGCCGATAACTCTACTGCAGATTTCCATGCAATCTCAGTTAGATTTCATGTATGTGCTAAAGAGCACAGGATATGAGATTAAACTCTGTGGAACTCCATAGCGTAAATGTCATGGATCCAAACTGTAATCTCTCAAATGGACCTCTGGAATCGGCTACCCAAGGAGTCTCCTCAGTCCAGATGCCCTATCTAGTAGGATACTATGATCAATGGCATCAGATTGCCAAGTGTTCTAGGAAAATGATCAGGGTAGAGTGCCCACTGTCCTTCCCTTGGCAAAGTTATTCCATCTTGGCAACCAGGTCTGTGCTGAAACCTGAGCCTAAAACCAGGTAATCAGTTTATACCAAGAATGTCTGGAGTTGCATAGTAACTACACATTCAAGCCCCTTTTCCAAGACTTTTGACAAAGTCCCCCATTATATTATTGTGGAGAAGCTGGTAAAATGTGGGCTGGATGAGATAACTGTTAGGTGGATTTGTAGCTGGTCGACTTACTGAACCCAAACAGTGCTCACTGATGGTTCCTAAGAATCCTGGAAAAAAATGACAAGTGGAGTGCTGCACATGGCCACAGGCTTCTGTCCTCGGCCCGTTGTTGTTCAGCCAGATAGAGATGTCAGCCACCAACCTGGCACCCAGAGATCTCCAGGTCGTCCCAGTTGGATGTGCGCTTGGATACCCAAGCTAAATGAAGAACCCTCCCCCTTTACGTAGCAAATAGAACTCTCTGTACACTCATGTGTCATCTGTTGACAGTGTCTGCAGTTTTAAAACCCCTGTTTGTGTGTCTGGGAATTGGTGTGGTTCCTTTTGCTTCTGCAGTTCAAGAGCAGCTTGCTGTTGCAGCCAAGGGTTCTTTCTGGTTTTGATGTTCTTCCTGGATCCTTAGTTTTCTTGCTGATGGCAGAAGCAATGCCTTCTCTACATATTGCAACTTGTATTGCCTGTACTTTAAAATTATTATTGGACATTATCATATTGTCCTCAGTCAAATGCAAGTGTTTTCAGTAAACTAAATAGGTTTTTAAAGAAGAATTTATTTAAAACACATGCTTCTATTATTGACATCATATGATTAATACTGCACAGAAGTTGAATCACATCCATTATATGTGGTCTGTCTACCAACATAAACAACATATGCCAGCATAAAACAAATCTCCCATTAAAGAAATAGTTAGAATTTCCAGGTGCTCTTGGAGGAAACTGATTTTCTAGATCCATTTCATTTGGGGTTTAGGACCAGGTTTAGCACAGACGCTGCTTTGGTCAACTGGTCACCTGATGACATCTGTTGAGAGAAACGGGGGGAAATGTATCCTTGTTAATTTTCCTCATTAATTCTCAACAGCTTTCAATGCTATCGACCATGATCTCCTTCTGGAGTGGCTGTCCAAGTTAGTGGTGGGTGCCACTGCTTTGCAGTGGTTCCGGTCCTACTTGTATTATCAATTCCAGGGAGTGGTGCTTGGGGAGTGCTGTTAGGCCCCATGCAGCCTTCAATGTGCGGTTTCTCAGGGTTCGATTTTATCCTTCATGCTGTTTAATATCTGCATTGAACTGCTGAGTGAGGTCATCCAGAGTCTATGAGTACATTATCAGCAAAATGCTGAAGACACACATGTAGTTTGAATGTGGGTGAAACGTTGCAAATATTAACTAAAACAGGCAATAGCAATTGGGCAATAGGAACTGAACTTTACAAGTTAAATAGATTCAAATCTTTTGATGCACAATTTACTCTTTCTCACGTTAACTGCTAAGCACATTTGAAACTAGCTGGTAGAAGATAATCTGTGATGGGGCCTTCTCAACAGTGCACTGAGGTTTGGAACTTCCAGGAATTTTCAGTCCCTCTCCTTAGGTGGATTTCTGACAGAGGCAAATGCATAGCTCTCTCAAAATACTTTTTATTTTCTCTGAGCCAAAATAATGTATTTCCTCAGTTCCTTTGCTAGGTGCTTTTCTGCTGGGAACTTGGATTCTTCTGTTAACAGCTATATAATTTGCTGTACATTGTTTAAATATATATGTTTAAATGTTTGCTGCCCTGAGGATCCTTTTGCTCCAAATATTTGATTAAAAGGTATTTTCTATGACTGGTGTACAGTAAACCTGCAACTTACGTTCATTTAACTTTTGCACGTTCAGCTTTATGCACGTGGCAATTCCCCCCCCCCAAAAAAAAAATAAGAAAGAGGGTGGACACCTGGGAAAAAAGACTTTGACAATTCCACCTGTCTTTGAACCCAATATGTTTTGGCTATACGTGATTTTTGCTTTAGGCGTGATCCCTGGAACATAATTCCCACATACTTTGTGGGTTTACTATACTTCTGTTCCTTTTAATTTTAAAGCTGTGTGAGCACAGCCCATGTCTATTTATTAAATACTAAAAGTTTTGCTCATGTGGCTATTTTCTGTCTTCCCCTTTGTTAAGAATCTGGAACTATTTATCTGACTAGTTCATCTGAATGAGTATTTTTACTTAGCGCATAGTGAATAAAACACAATTAAACAGCATGGCTCTTTTAAACTGACACAAAATATTATGGGGATGAAGCTGCTTTTTAATTTTTTTTACTATAGATCCATTAAATACTTGCATGGTACAGCTTACAAGACAAAGTTGCTTACTTGTCTAGGTTTTGTTTAAAAACTTCCTCAACAGGTGTATGTATCTAAATATAGAAATCCTATAGAAATATAGAAAGAAAATATAGAAATATAGAAATCCTATGAAAGACCATGGACCCACCGACTAAGTCAGCCAGGAGCTGCATCTGATCCGAAGTGTAGTAGCCAGAGCCAAAAGTGGGTAGTGGTAACAGGATTGCTTCCTTTCTGCCCCCCTTCCTCTCACTAGTCAGGAGATGGCAGTCAGGATAGCTGCAAGGCTCCTCCCTCCCTTTACTACATGGACTAAGTGAAAACCACGCTTTAGGAAAAAGCATCACTGAACATACTATTGCTTGCTCTAACAGTATGGTGTCAGCAAGGAACAGCAAATTAGGTGAAGTTTGGCTTGCACTTGCTCCTGTTTCCAAAACATTTTTTCCCCAGATGCCACCCAATTTGCTTTCCCATTTTTCTGTTCCTTTTCTGCCCATTCCTTTCACCTTCAGTGCTCCCATCAGGCCTCTGCCAGCAAGCAGCCAGTTTGTCCCCCAGTGATATCCATCCCTTGGTCCACAATATAATTTTCCTATCTTTTCTCCCACCCATTCCACCCTTCACTGCTTCCCTGCTTAGCTCCCCCAGGCAACCAGTCAGCTTGCCCCTTCAGGCTTGGCCACTCCCTTACTGCAGCCTGTTCTTTGGCCCACAGCATAATTTTCATGCCCAAACTGCTCGTTTCCTTTCTTTCCTTCTTGTTTATTCCTCTCTTCCTCAGAGTACACATATAGGAACCTGGGCATGGCAGACAAGAAGGGGCAGAGCCAGCCGAGTGGGCCACATCCCAGCTAAAAGCTTTGTCTCCTGCAAATAGGGACAAGACTAGATAGGATTTTCTATTTAAGTCAATTGCATCAGGTCTGGGCTTTGCCTGGGTTCAATTGCTTACCTATCTATTATGTGGTTAATTCTTAATTCCGGAATTAAGATTGCTGGAAGAAATATCAACCTCAGATATGCAGATGACACAACTTTGATGGCAGAAAGTGAGGAGGAATTTAAAAACCTCTTAATGAGGGTGAAAGAGGATAGTGCAAAATATGGTCTGAAGCTCAACATCAAAAAAACTAAGATCATGGCCACTGGTCCCATCACATCCTGGTAAATAGAAGGGGAAGTAATGGAGGCTGTGACAGATTTTCCAGGCAAATAGAAGGGGAAGAAATGGAGGCAGTGACAGATTTTACCTTCTTGGACTCCATGATCACTGCAGATGGTGACAGCAGGCACAAAATTCAAAGACGCCTGCTTCTTGGGAGAAAAGTGATGACAAACCTAGACAGCATCTTAAAAAGCAGAGACATCACCTTGCTAACAAAAATCCGTATAGTTAAACCTATGGTTTTCCCTGTAGTGATGTATGGAAGTGAGAGCTGGACCATAGAAAAGGCTGATTGCCGAAGAATTGATGCTTTTGAATTGTGGTGCTGGAGGAGACTCTTGAGAGTCCCATGGACTGCAAGAAGATCAAACCTATCCATTCTTAAGAAAATCAGCCCTGAGTGCTCACTGGAAGGACAGATCATGAAGCTGAGGCTCCAATACTTTGGCCACCTCATGAGAAGAGAAGACTCCCTGGAAAAGACCCTGATGCTGGGAAATATTGAGGGCACAAGGAGAAGGGGATGACAGAGGACGAGATGGTTGGACAGTGTTCTTGAAACTACCAACATGAATTTGACGAAACTCTGGAAGGCAGTGGAAGACAGGGGTGCCTGGCGTGCTCTGGTCCATGGGGTCATGAAGAGTCGAACATGACTAAACGACTGAACAGTAACAACAACTATTATTATGTGCTTGGCGCTTTATTTATTTAACATAACTCCGTTTTGCAACAAGATCGTAGACAAATGTGAATAACATGAAAGATGTTACATTGCCAAATGAAACTTAAAGACCTTGAAGCTGTGTTCTCACTTGTATCCAGTAGTGATGTTGCTTTCTGTCTGCTGCCTTTGTTTTGGTTCTGAAGTTCAGATATTCAGAAATTGACCGCTTGCATACTTGGATGAACATGCAATTTGAATCTGAGCATTTTGAATCTGCAACATTGAAGGTCATTCTTGGTTTCAGATAGACAAGCTGTAAAAATAATTTTTATTATCTATATCTGAGAGAGAACTCTTTTCAGCCGGTAATTCCCACCTCCATTTAAATAACTGTTATATTTTGTGTAAACAAGAGCAGATTGGATTTACTGTCACATGAGAAGAAGCTAGTTTCTGTTGGCATTTTTTTAGAGAGGGAGAGAGAGAGAGAGAGAGAGAGAGAACAAGTAAAGATTGTGAAGCTTTCACTGCTAGAGTACATTGTTAATAAATGCTTGTCCAAGTACTTTTTTATATCGGCTGAGAAGTCAACAGTGGACATGAGAACACACGGAAGAATGTGGTTGAGTCTTTGGCTGCCTTAGTATCCTTTTTGCAAAGGATTTTCATGGTGCAGTATATCAGATCTCATAGAAATACAGCTGTAATTTTATTTTAGTTTGCAGTGGAAGAATATCTAGCATATTCTTTCTAGTTATATTGATGGTAATCCTAATATTTCAGCAATTCTTCCCCCAATAGTAAAATGTGTCTATTATCTGTAGATGCACTGAGTACCCAGGTCAAGGAAGGAATGGATTCCTTTATATATTAGGATGAGAGATACAGGGAAATATTTTTTTTTTTAAAGATTCCAGAAGCAAATTTTGTGGATATGATTTTCTTTTTGAGCCTTCAGCCTGAAAAGAATCAAGTGGCGTAAAGGGGATGCAGAGGAAAGAGGAGGAAGTTATGTTGTAGCCAGTGTTAGAAAATCTAGGAACCAAATGGCTCCTGGGACCTGGGGGTTGCGGGCACCAAAACAGAATATCTAGTCGCTATTTGGGGTGGGGGTGTCGGCAACACTTTTATTATTTTCATAAGCATGAACTAATACACAATTCACATAAGTGACACATTGTTAATATCACATTTTAAACAGAAATTGTTAATGCATGTTTAATTTGGTGCTTACAATAAAAATATTGGTACCATACTTCAGTTTTCAAAACACTCTACTCTTTATTGTTAAACTCCTTAGCATATTGTCTATCCTTAACATATACTTTGAGGCTTCAAAGTACATACATTTCAGTAATCCTTGAGTGTCAGCCAGGTGCAAAAAAAGGGCACCCAGACTTTTTGAGCTGCTCGCAAATAGAGAATCTTCAGGTGCAAAATGTGCCTGGCTTCCTGCTAATTTTGAACCCCAGTTGCAGCACCTGTGAACCAATATGTAACATTTGTTTATCTCGGACAGGTGTGGATATTGATGCTGTCTCAATACCATTGCTTTCAATGGGATGTTCCTTTGGATGCACATCCAGAATGTGGATGAGGATTTGCATCCACATTCTGGAGGCATTCTAGATGCACATCCCACTGAAAGCAGTGCCGCTGTCATAGGAGACATCCATACTCAGGTGCATATTTGAATGCACATCTGTTTCCCCCCTCCAGTTACTGATCTAGCCATATATATATATATATATATATATATATATATATATGGGGAATCCAGCTTCCATACCTATATCTCCTTAGTATAAAGTAAATGGTGAAGATGGAGAATGAAAAGAAGGACAATGTCTTTGTCCTTCTTTCCCCTCTGATTAATAGTGTGTATGCATCTATCCATCTATCTAATATCTATATATAAAGGGCACACATGGAGTTGGGGCGGAATGTAACAGAAGGTTCAAGCAAATACAGAATCATTCTTGAACTTTTTGGGTGGTCGGGGAACTTTGCAGCATTTAATATTTTAATATATATTGCTGTACCCCAACTGGTTGCTCACAGTTAAAAATGGCAAGCTGTTTTGTGTCCCAGAGTTGTGAAACAGTAACAAGAATGTCGCTCATGATTTGCTTTTGCCATTTAGTAAGGTGTGTGTGTTTGTTCATGTATAAACTAAAATTTGTATATAAATGGGTAGGTGCATTTGAGGCTGTTTTTTGTGCAATCATTAATCTCAAGACTACAGAGCATCAGTGATGATCGATGCTGACAATGATTGCTGCTGTGGTTGATTATGGGGTTTTTAAACTTCAACTGATGTAGTCTATACAAACAGTGACTTTCATCATGACTATGGTAGTTTATAATATGGACAAACATGGAATATAAATTGATTCTATATTTGGCAGAGGAGCAGCTGATACTTAAGTACATTAACTAGTTCATTTTAAGTAGTTTATACTTTTTGAGTGGCAAGAGAATTCTATTTTCAGATGTGCAGGAAGATTGTTATTAGCTTAGGAGTGGGTTTAATTAGAGTCACCGTTTTTAATCATGGTCTTGTTGCTTCTGTTAATCTTACCCACCCACCATCCTAAAGTCCCGGGGCAGGTTACAGCAATTAAAGCAGAGTGTTAAAACAGTTTAAAATAACTTAAAATCACATGCACAATTCATGTCAAAGGTTGTTCAGAAACTTCCTGTGATTGCAGCCCCATGTCTTAAGAACCATGTGTTTATTATCAGGCTATGGTAGGTCAGTAGCTTGAGGGAATTTTTTTTTTTTTAAGGCCTGCTAAAACAGCTTTTCTTTCATGCTTGATGTTTTGTATTTGGAGTAGATGCATTCCAAATAACGGGGTAGCAGAATGCCTGCATTAGTTTAAGAGGTTTTCATCTGTTGCTGAAATCAACCGTTTAGCAATTACAGGGGGAGTAAAATATGGTGGTTCAAGGGTTAAGCATGCCACTGTGTTTATTGACAATCACATTTATGGCCTCTGCTTTTTCTTTACTGTAGTCGTGACATGGAGAATAAAGAAACCCTCAGGGGGCTGCAGAAAATGGATGACCGCCCAGAAGAGCGCATGATCAGGGAGAAACTCAAGGCAACATGTATGCCTGCTTGGAAGCATGAATGGCTTGAAAGGAGGAGTAGGAGAGGCCCTGTGGTAAGTAATGCTCCAGAAAAAGGCACTGGCGTTTATGCTTTTAAAAAGCCTGATTGCTGATTCTTGCACCGCAGAACCTTAGTGTTAACATCTGGGTATCTCTTGTCTTGTAATTCCTCTTGATTAATTTCTGTGAATTGCTGATTGCGAAGCTTTAAATTCCTAACAATGTACAAGTCTACTGCATATTGTGGAAGTCAACTCCAACTTACATTTGTATTGCTCAAAATAACTACAACACTGCCCTCTATCGTTAGCATTTTAAATTTACTCTCTTGGAGGGGAAAAAACACATACTCATATTCATAGCCAGCAAGCGTAAAAAATAAGGATCTGGCAAAGGTGGCGGAACTATTTTTTAAAAATATTTTGTATACTAACATCCTGGTCACGCAGTACACAATGAGAAGAGCAAAGGTGAGGCCTTACCAGCAAGTTTTATAATGTGCAGAAAGGAATAGGAAAGTGGGCTGTGCAGTGGAAGAAGAGAGATACCCACCACTTTTAACAGACATTCCACAAAAATATGATTTGATAAATATGGCAGTTATATAAAGAACTGTTTTATTAGTAAACAGTCAAGAAGGGTTTGGACTTACATTTCTCATACTGCAAGTCACCCCTAACTATATGGCAAACTTCTTTTCCAAAACTGTGTGATATCACTTTGCACGCAGTTGCAAAAGAAAAGCTTTTTCAAGCTTTGAGGCACTTTGGAGTCCTTAAAAAAAAAAAAGTTGTTTGTTTACCCAGTAGTGAAGGTTACAGTATACTTCTTTCCAGGTATTCAGACCTTGGTTACCAAGACTACCAATCCCCCATATTGGATCTGGCAGGTTTTCATTTTGCCAGGTGAACATCATCTGCCTGGAGCACACGTTCTTTTGACTTGAAATAGAATCTCATAAGCACTGAGAATAAACTAACAGGTTTTGGTGTGAATCCAGTAAATATTTGTATACCCAGAACTTCACTGTGAATCTTTTCTTTTCTTTTAAGAAGACCTTTAGGTAACCATAAATCACTTCATATCTTTCTTGAAAAGGTAGTAAAACCAATACCGATAAAAGGTGATGGCTGTGAAGCAAACAAAGCAGCAACGGAGCCTGTTTCTGAGGGACAAACAAGTGCTACTTCACCTACTCAGAAGGGGAGGCGGAGCCCTTCTCCTAGCAGTTCCTCTTCATCCTCATCTAGGGCGGTTAAATCGGAATCACCAGGTGTAAGAAGGAAAAGGTTATCTCCTGTGCCTGTAAGTTAAAAGCTCTTATGCATGGGTTGGCAAACTAAGGCCCAGGGGCCGAATCCGGCCCAATTGCCTTCTGGATCCGGCCTGTGGATGGTCCGGGACTTGTTGCGTGGATCTGATTCTGATCATTCGGGCTGCTCCATTCCCCACACACTGCGGCGGCGCCTCCTCCCTCCCTCCTCCTGGCTTCTCCCCGCCCTGCCTAAAGGAGGAAGGGGGCTGGGCTTTGTTGGTGCCAGCCCCTCTCCGGAGCCCTTTTGCGCGCCGCTCATCATCCTGCTGCCGCTCACAAGACACAGGAGCCGTGGTTGGCTGAGCGCCCCTCTCAAGCGGCCATTTAAAGCAGCCCCTCTCCAGAGCCCTTTTGCATGCTGCTCATCGTCCCTCATTCTTCCCCCCCCCAAAAAAAATTATAGTCCGGCCCCCCACAAGGTCTGAGGGACAGTGGACCGGCCCCCTGCTGAAAAAAATTGCCAACCCCTTCTCTTATGTGACAGGGTATAGCCTATTGCCATGATATTTCAAGTATATCTACTCCTGTCTATCCATTTTGGTAAGCAGGGGAGATCCTGCTTGCAGGTCTTGGCACCAGCTTAGGTTCAGTTGGCAGCAACTACATAGATGCTGGGATTTCCTATCCAAGAAGCTCAGGCTTCATCCCTGATACTGTAGTGCATTATTGAAGTCCATTTTGTTCCAGCAGATTTTGGAGCAATGGATGTTTTGATCTGACTCCTTTAGTTACATTTCTGTGTCATTGACTGTTTTACCTGCTATCTTGTGTCTATTGCTGCTACTACATTTAATATTCTTTTAAAAAGAAACTTAATGTAAGCCTCTACAGGTGTCTTCATTCTGAACATAAAGGGGATGGCATGGGTTTAAAAAGTAGTAGCCATAATTTGAATAACGTCTGAGAATACTAGCATAGAAATTTTTATTTTCTGCAATTGTTTGGAAGTGATGGTATCATTTCTGTACTATCAAAATATGGTGGGTAACTAGTAGATCACAAGTTCTTCCTTTACAACTTAACAGATATAACAGACACAGTGGGCAATGTAAAACATTTCTATATTGGGAGAGTGGAGGTTGAATTCCTTTGGCAATGTTATTGGAAGCTAATTGAAATAAATTGGTTATAAGTTTCAGAGTGGACGAATAACACCACCACGAAGAGCTCCATCTCCAGATGGCTTCTCACCATATAGTCCTGAGGAAACAAATCGGCGGGTCAACAAGGTCATGAGGGCCAGATTGTACCTCTTACAGCAGATAGGACCGAATTCTTTCTTGATAGGAGGAGACAGTCCAGACAATAAATATAGGGTATTCATTGGGCCTCAGGTATGAATTGCATAGACCCAGTTTTATTTTTAATTATAAAGTACACTAATTTGAGAAGATTAGAAGTTTGAGAAGAAGTTGTAATTACTATTGTATGTTCAATAGCACACTGTAGTACTGTTTTCTAGTGTGTGTTAATTTCTACCTGTAATGAGTAAGCATTAGAAGAAACACCAGCTAAGCATAAATAGTTGTATTCACTTCAGGTTGGTTATATCTGAGAACAACATAGATTGTTTGCTCTGCCATAAATCATCCATCAGCCCATGGAAGGATAGCTGTCAGAAATAAACCATGCTTGTAACAGATTTGTTTTTCTAAACAGATTTGTATTTTCTAAATACAGAAGTATAATCCTAATAACTCCTTATTTAATATAGTAACTTGTGTCTTTTGAAAGAAAACAGTCATAATAAGCACACAAAAATCTTTGTTTACAGACCTGCAGCTGTGGGCGTGGAACATTTTGCATTCATCTCCTATTTGTTATGCTCCGTGTGTTTCAACTTGAATCTTCAGATCCAATGCTCTGGCGAAAAACCTTGAAGAACTTTGAGGTAGTGTTATCCTGTCTCTTCTATCATGGATATACAATGGTTGCTGCAAATACATTAAACTGCTAAAATTTACTATTCAGAAATCACACTGTAGTGCTGTTTAAGTTTTGCTAGAGTTACTATGTTTCTGAAATCTCTGTTAATAGCCAACGATACTACAGTAACATCAAATAAGTTGTTTACTAAAAAATTCTCCACCAATAGCCCTCTAATAGCTGGAGGTTAGTGCTTGCTTAATAGAGTGGCCTACTAGGAGTGGGAAGTGGAATACCATGTTCCTTCTCCACAGCCCTTTCCTTCTTACCTTAACTTCATCAGTAATGATATTTAACAATTCTTAACATGGTTTCTTGATTTAGCTGATGTCAGTTGTGATGCATCTTGCAACCATGGTGGACAGCGATTGCAGAGTTTCTTAAACATCAATCACATGTGCTCCACCCTAAAAGTGGAGGCATGAAAATAAAGCCCGTAAAATCAGGAACACACTTCAAGAGAATAGGACATCAATATCTTCCCCGCAATTTCTTCTGTTCCTTCTCTGCTTCTACTTAGCAATGTAGATAGATGCAGAAGCGCTGTTAGCTAGTGTTAAATTGCAAGACTTTGCTGGTTATGAAAGTGCATCCACTAAGGATCTGGTCAAAATTCAGGATCTATGTCCACATGTCTTAAATGAAGTGGTTTTAATTTTTTAATGTGAGGTGTGATTTTAATTGTTTATAAGATGGATCCAACCAATCCCCTCTTGGTGGTGGAGTAGGAAAACTTTTTTTTGTTCTGATATTACTGTGATTTCAATTGCAATTAAAACTTTATTTCAAATTGGACATCAGCTTCCAGGAATTAACAGCATAATAGCTACTGTTAATGTTTTCTTCTAATGTTAGGTTGAAAGTTTGTTCCAGAAATATCACAGTAGGCGTAGCTCAAGGATCAAAGCCCCATCTCGTAACACCATCCAGAAGTTTGTCTCACGCATGTCAAATTCTCATACATTGTCATCATCTAGTACGTCTACATCTAGTTCAGAAAACAGGTTAGTAATTCTTCTAAAGAAAATAAGTAGTGTTCTTCGAAATCTTCCCCTTTTCACAGGGAAAGTGTTGCTTTAATTTGTCACATGAATTTTATACAATTCCAAAAGGGTAGCTGTGTTAGTCTGTTGCAACAAAACCATTGCAAAAGACTCCTTGTTCTTTATATAGCGTGATCTAAGTTACAAAAGTTCTGGTATTTATTGTTTGAATGTTTGGGAACAATATTTTTTGTGTTGGCTAGCCAAGTCTGCCAGAAAGCACATTTTGAAATGGAAGTTTGTTGCCCTTTAGTTGCAATATTATTTTTTGTTAAGAGCCTAGTATATATTAGGTGCTTTATGAATGCACCAGTGACTTCTGAAGCCTAGTGGGATCTTGAAGAGGATCTTTCACCTTTGGAAAAAGAAACTTCATTTTAAAATTGTGTGTAGCATCAGAATAATTAATTGGACAAGGGATTATCAACTTGTGGAATGAATCTGGTTTTACCTGGCCCCAGTAACCTTACCAGATTTTAATCAAGCTACAAGCTAGAAATTTACTCTCAGGAGAAAAGAGAATATTTAGAAGTTCTTTGAAATCAAACTTTGGATCTAAAGAAGCACAAACTGAACTCTGTTCATGGTGCATTCCCCTCCCCCTCACCGTAGTCCATTACAGTCCTCAGAAGATGCTCCCAATGCTCGTGAGAACCTCCAGAACTGCAAGGGATGTGGCACAGTGCAAGGGGACACTGGAAATGGAGGACACCTTGCACAAGTAGAATTGCCTTTCCATTCATGCTAGGAATTCACATCTAATACTGTGCCAAAACACATGCCCTCTGTTACTGAGAATTCTTTGCTCCTTCATAGCAAAGCCTTTATTTTTTGTGCCTAACCTTTCATTTTGGAAACGTCTTCTTAAACAATGGGAATTTACATTTTGCTTTTTTTGGTATGAGAACATCTCCAGCTTAAATATGAAAAGTATATATTCACCCCTTAACTTGGGTGCTAGGCTTTTGTGGCTACTGTCCCCTCCCCACTCACCATCACTGTACATGACACTTCACTGAGTACCATTAGTTTTTAAAAAAAGCAAATTCCTGCCCCCAAGATCTTAATGCAAACTGGAAACAGGGAAGTAGCTTCAGTTGGGGATGAGGAGCAAGGGGCTAAAACATAGATCCTATCAGAAGTGTTGGGTTTGAAAGAATCAAGAGATGTTTGCCCTGGAAAGGGTAGCTGTTTTATGTAGAAATCACAAAGTGATTTTGTGTGTGAGTGATTCATCTAATGCAGGGGTGTGGAAATCTGAGGCTCTCCATTTGACCCCTGGGACTTTACCCTGGTTACATCAGCTGTGCTTTGCACCTTCCTTGAGTGTTTTTACTTTGGTGGAATGTTACCTTGAATTCGAATAATGCTTCCTGCTGGCATAAATGGAGGACAGAGCAAGGTCTACAAGTGTGTGTAAAAGTTAGCCTACTGTACACAAGGAACACTTACATAAATTGGTCTGCTCACTTTTGCCTCTGATCCTGCCTTCCATTGACATGTAGCCTCCAGAAGGGAATGCAGTCCCTGGGATGAAAAAGTTTCCCCATTCCTATTTTAGTAAATCTGGCAATAGTAGAAATATTTACTGCGGATGATGAAATGCAGTGAATTTTCTAAATATATGAGGAGTGGGAAGCATCCAGCTCCCTGGCCAGATGTGGCCTAAAATGTCATAAATTTGACCCCAAACCATGGCACCTTTCCCCTGTGGAACTCTTTACTGTGCAGCCAGTCTCATTGCAGAAAGCCCCTTTGCCAGCATAGAGCTGGCAAGGCTCCTTGTGCTACATTTCCCAACCACCTGACAACTGGTTGGCTGTGGAGTGCTTGGAAAGCTCTGTGCAAGAGACTCCGGCTGGTGCTTAGGACAATCCATCCTGTCAAATCATCTGTCCCCAACTTTGCATTGGGTAGATTAGCTCTGAAAACTGCAGGGTTTTGCACGCACGGTTTGAAAAATGCTTCAGACATTTTCTAAAACAAAATTTAAGTTGGACCATGGGATGGGGACATATAAGATATAACAATCTGGCCAATTGGGCCAAAGAGGTTCCCCACCTTTGGCATACATATATCAAGTTTCTTTTTGGCCATATGTGTATGTAGTAACTAAAGTAAAGTTAACCTCTCTTCCTGGTCTTACTAGGTCCATAGTACTTGGGCTTGAAATGCAACTAGGCTTGGTAAATTACTCAGCTGCAAATCTTTTCTCAACTGTTCGGTCACCTTGGTGTATATCAAGAGCGGCTAGCCTGTGGCCCACCAGATTTTGCTAAATTACCACCGCCATCATCTCTGTTAGTTGATGGGAGTAGTGGTGCAGCAATCTCTGGTGGGCTACAAGTTAGCCTCCCCTGGTGCATACATTGGGTAGTTCTTTAGAAAATATGTTCTGTAGAATTCTGTTCTTACATTTTGACAACTTGTTATCAGTATTATTTTGAAAGTAGTGTCATAGAGTATACATACTGTTTTTAAGTTATACGTGTTATTTGTTACCTCGGATGATTATGTACCCATAAAAATCCACAGAAAACTATACAACCTCCATTTGTGCCAGTCATTTGGAGAGCAATATTCTTTATTGATAAATCATGTTCTGCTTATCAGTCATGAGCTGAAATTTTATTCCTCCATGTAGTGCCCAGATTTTGAGCTTTTCGTAACAGATGGCTTATAGAGAAAACAAATTCTGTGTACATCAGAAATATAATAGGCATATTTCCATTATCATTTTGCTTATCTAGATAGTTCTTAAAAGGTTTGAGACTGTTGAACTGGACATAAAGGAATTTATTCCATATTTAGTTTTTCTAGGAATATCTGACTTAAGTGTTGGGTGACTTCAATATTGGCACTGACCAAATTGTAAGTTTCCCTTGTTTCATTTTAAAAAACAAGAGACCTGAATTAGCCACTAATTCAGTCTTAACATGGCACCAGTTCTTATTACCATAGAACCATAGCAAGTGCTTTCCGGTAGCTTCTTCACACGCCACTTCATTAACTTCTAGATGGGAAAACAATGTCATTTGCCCCACTTGTGTAGTTATTCCATCTAGATATTGCCAGAGTACTGTGGGAAGAAACCACAGGAATGCCATTCTGGCACCACTACAGTAGCCTAAGTGTGGAATTAATAGGTTTTGTTTATTTGTTTGTTCATTGGCAAAACTTTCTATACCAGCAACATTTTTTAAAAGAAAAAATGGCTTTGACCAACATAATACACAATAAAATCACATTGATAAAAAATACAGGAATACATGAAAAGAAATCAGTAGATTAATATAGTATATGATCATAGCTGGATCACCCCCAGGGAAAAAGCATGGGTAAACAGGTAAGTTTTAAGTAGGTGCCAGTACTATAAGAGCCTGCCTGATGATAATTGAAGGTACATTCTAAAGGGCAAGTGCCACAACACTAAAAGCCCTGAGCTGTAAGATGAACCTGTTTCTGAGATCAAAGCTATTAATATCCAGAGCCTCTTTACCAACATTTCCTACAGAATGATGTATCTGTTCTAGGACTTGCTATATAACCACAGGTAATAGTTTTCATTTTGATACACTGCAAAGTATGGCTTCAAGATAGAGATTCGCCCATGGAAGGCTTTAGGCAAAAGGTGACTTTCCTGCCACCCCTCCCCCCAGCAGTCCCCCACCCTCCCTGAAAATCTTATCCTAAGGGTCACCAGGCCAGGCTGAATGGAGCGGGTTGTGTAGGAGATTGAGGGGAAAGAGGGAGATGATGGGAAGTTATGCTGAGGCACTGAGGTTCTTCCAACCAGTCTTTCCATGACCCCCACTTCCTCCAAATCCCCCAGACCACACACACCCTTGATTCAGCAAACTCTCATGATAATTGTGGCTGCATGTTGGGGCAACTGCTGTAGGAGAGGAAGGGGACACTTTCTGTCCACCCATTTTTGCTGGCTGCAGTTTGTTGACTTTTCCATGTTACTGTTGTAACATACAGTTACTATTGTAACATACATTACTGAAGAGTAATATATAAAACAATACGTCATGCACAATGTAGAGGCAATTTTGATCAGTTACCTGTGTGGTAAATGTAATATGTGAGCAAGCACTGGAATTTACTGTAAACAGTCGCACTGAAAGGTCAACTAGTCACTTGCAGCATGATAGAATGCACCCCAATAAATATATATTGGGACCATTTTTTGCCCTGGAAAGAGGTATAATAATGTAAATTAAAATATTTACTCCTTAAATATTGGTACATGTTCTTTTAAAAATAGTATCAAGGATGAAGAAGAACAGATGTGCCCCATTTGTTTGCTAGGCATGTTGGATGAAGAGAGCTTGACTGTCTGCGAAGATGGCTGCAGAAATAAACTTCACCACCACTGCATGTCAATATGTAAGTCGCTTGTGAAAGTAAATATATGCCTGCATCACAGATGTCAGTACTTCTACTTCAAATAATGAATATCAAAAGGGACATTTGATATTAAGGAATGAGAGTATGCATAAACTGGGATGTTAGAGGAGGAATCTAAGTGAAGTACTTTTCCTCATATAAATGTGAGGTAGTATTCCTCGGAGTTTTAAGTATAAAGGATGATAAAAAGGTAAAGGTACCCCTGACAGTTAAGTCCAGTCGCAGACGACTCTGGGGTTGCGGCGCTCTTCTTGCTCTATAGGCTGAGGGGGCCGACGTTTGTCCACAGACAGCTTCCGGGTCATGTGGCCAGTATGACTAGGCTGCTTCTGGCAAACCAGAGCAGCGCACGGAAACGCCATTTACCTTCCCGCCGGAGCAGTACCTATTTATCTACTTGCACTTTGACGTGCTTTCAAAGTGCTAGGTGGGCAGGAGCTGGGACTGAACAATGGGAACTCACCCCGTCGCAGGGATTCGAACCACTGACTTTCTGATCAGCAAGCCCTAGGCTCAGTGGTTTAGACCACAGCGCCACCCGCGTCCCTATATAAAGGATGATAGAGAAATGCATCTTGATAGCTTTTGTGTCTTGAAAAAACCTCCCTTACTATGAATGAAAGAGAAGAAAATAATTATAAATAAGAAAATTAGTAACCTGTAGTTTTAACTGAGCTGATCAATCAGTTTCAAAGAACTGAGCAATATTGTGATATTAGCCCAGAAACTTATAAAATGTCTAAAATCCAGAAGTAATAGGTCTTTAGTTTCTTGTCTCAGCCATAGGGTTGAAGGTATATATATATATTTTTTTAAGTGGACAGGTATATAGAGCTGGTATAATTCACACAATACATTAAACATGTAGAAAAAGGGGCAAATGCCACATTTGCTACAGAACTGAATATACAGTTTTCCATATGACTAGTTTTCCATAGACTTGTAAGTTCTGTAGATATTTCCAAAAACTCAATAGCTTTATATTTTCTAAAATGTCATTATCATGCTAACGTCAGTATTATTTCTTTTTTAGGGGCAGAGGAGTGTAGAAGAAACAGAGAGCCTCTTATATGTCCTCTTTGTAGATCTAAGTGGAGATCTCATGATTTCTATAGGTAAGGATGTTTTGTACTTGGATATACTAGATCTTCCATTGATGAGTATAAATATTAAAATATCTGCAAGCTTGCAAACATCTACTTATGGAAACCATTCCCCCCCCTTACAGCCATGAGTTGCCAAGCCCTGTAGAATCTCCTTCTGTTCTTCGTGTTGTCCAGCAGCAAACTCAGCAGCCTACAGCCATCTCACCAAGAAGGAGTCAAGATAGTAATTTTAACCTTACTCATTATGGGGTCCAGCAAATCCCTTCTGCCTATAAAGACTTAGCTGAGCCATGGATACAGGTATACTAAATTTCTAAAGGAAACATTAATTAAGCTATTTTTGTGTTTCTTGATTCCATTTTATGACAAATAGCACAAACAGGATTGCACTGCTACTGGTTAAGTTGTGTTACATTCCCTGCACACTTGTATGTGAAGGAGTCAGGTTTGCATTCTGTGATAGGAGAGGACTTTTTCGGTGTTAGTTCCCTGACTTTGAAAAAAGATTACCATATTTATTGTGTGCATATTGATGTACACCAGCTTGATATTTTATGAGATGGTGGTATATGAATGCTTCCAAACAAAAATAAACAGAAATGAATGGAGAAGTTATCTGACACTTCATTACATCTCCCTTGTTTTGCAGCTGCTCTGATGGTAGCAGCCTTGAAGAATGCAACACGCTCTTCCCTGTGCTACCCCAAATTCAGATGGGATTGCATTTTTCAGTATGAGTACTTGAGATCATCATACATGTACTTTTAAGTGTTTTCATGTCTGTCTTTTAGGTATTTGGAATGGAATTAGTTGGCTGCTTGTTTTCTCGAAACTGGAATGTACGTGAGATGGCCCTTAGACGTCTCTCCCATGATGTTAGTGGTGCTCTATTATTGGCTAACGGTGAAAGCACTGGAAATTCTGGAAGCAGTGGTGGAAGCACCACAAGTGCTGGAACTCTAGGAGCAGCTATTGGGTCATCACAAACCAGTATCTCAGGAGATGTGGAGTCCTGCTGTAGTGTCCTTTCCATGGTGTGTGCCGATCCCGTCTACAAAGTCTACGTTGCTGCTTTAGTAAGTAGCTTCTTTACGAATATTGAAATTTCAAGATCATTGTTACAGTTTAGAGATGGAAACCACTATTTATGCTGTTGCCAAAGATGTAGAATTTGTGATGACAGCAGAACGACTCCCAAATTGTTGGTTTTTTGGTATGCTCAAAAGAAACTAATGGCCATGGTCCCATTTACTATAATTATAGCTACCCATTTCATACATTCACTGGAATTTAGAGCTTGACTAGCACAAACAACTTCTGTCTGTGTTTTCTTTCCTCCTGTGTTTTTTAAAGGGAGGTAAATCATGTAAACAGTTTCCTGGTACAAACCTGTATATGCATGGAATTTTTTGATTCTCACAGGAGCTTATGTGCATGGTGAAAGGAAGGAGCTTAAGCTGCTCCATCACATCTGCTCCCAGCAAATGTATGAACTGGGGCTTATTTAGGGAAGAATTCAACACAGCACTATGGCAATTGTTCCATCCGTGCAAGTATTTCAGCTTGCCAGATGGAACGATTCCATCCAATATCTGAAGTGTCTTGTGGCATTAGTACAGCTTATTATTATTATTATTAGAATTTATATACCGCCCTATACATGGAGGTCTCAGGGCGGTTCACAGAAAAGATCAACATAAAAAACCACAATATATATATAATCAAAATAAAAACAACAACCCGTTATTGAGACCCATTGCCAAATGGTTCCGTTGAAAGGCCAGGGTGTGAATGTTCAAATGAAATCGATGCATGGATATCTATGCTTCGGCATGCATGGAGAAATACATATTTGAAAAATACAGTTTCTCAAATTGGAACACCCAGTGCAGATTACTGAAGCCTCCATTCTAGGTTTCATATACAAGTGTAAGAGAAAAGCTATTTCGCCCAGTTTACTTCTAGTAATATTCAGTTTTTGGTTAAGCCAGTAGGAAGCAGATCACAAAAAAAAATTCTAGAAAGCCCAGAGTAACAAGAGTCTGGCTTTCAGCAGAGGTGATAGGTTGCTTCTGCTAAATAGAGCTTATCAGTTTTCTTTGGAATATCATCAAAAAGGACTTTATATTATGAGGAAGATGCATAGTGTGCTCATCCTTTATTATCTGTTTCTTTCCGGCCTATCACACTGGACTGCATTCTTTATACTGTACTAAATAAAACACGTAAAGCAGAGTCTCTGGCATCTGGAAGGCTAATAAATTTGTAGGAAAACATGGATTTGTTTTGCTTTCTTACAAAATTTGCCTCTTGTCTACAAAATTGTATCCTGCAATTGATTACTGTGTTGCAGCAAAGTTTAGAGTGCATTTTTGTATCCATTGACTAATTCTTGTTATTCTTTTAGAACATATGAAGTGCCTGTATAAGGTTTTTTGTGTGTTTTTTTGCTTTTTAAAACACTCCCTCCCTGCTTTTTCTAGAAAACATTAAGAGCCATGCTGGTATATACACCCTGTCATAGTCTGGCAGAGAGGGCAAAATTGCAACAACTTCTGAAGCCAGTTGTGGAAACTATATTGGTGAAATGCGCAGATGCTAACAGGTATAGTGTTTGGTCTATTCAAACTTTTTACAAATCTGTATTTTAAACAACTTCATAAAAGATTAAGGAAAATTCATGTAAAAACAAATTTTTGGCTGTTTGTTGATTTATGGTCTGTATTTGAAGTTATTTTGGCCTGGAACATAAAATTGGTTATACCGTAAAAAATACTCACCAGCAACTCTTTGAATATTATCTAGGTATTATTATAGCTGGAAAATGTTACTCTTAAATTGATACATTGGATTTCATTTTTCCATAACAATTTTCTGGAAAGTGTAAATGCTCAGATTTTTCAAAAAATTAGGATACAGTGGTACCTCGCAAGACGAATGCCTCGCAAGATGGAAAACTCGCAAGACGAAAGGGTTTTCCGTTTTTGAGTTGCTTCGCAAGACGATTTTCCCTATGGGCTTGCTTCGCAAGACGGAAACGTCTTGCAAGTTTGTTTCCTTTTTCTTAAAACCGTTAATACAGTTGCGACTTGACTTCGAGGAGCAACTCATAGCACGCAGTGTGCGTCTCCGTAGGGGCAAGAACGCGTGAAGGCGGGTTCTGCGGGAGAGGGAGCTTTGTGTCGGCGAAAATAGCAAGGCGCGCACACTTCCTCCCCACAACTCCCAGTTAGGGAGGCCAGGCTCCGGGGCTCTTCGGACGGGGCTCCTTCCTTCTCCCCCCCCCCCAGCGCCCCGGCGGTGACAAGAGCGCCTGCCCGGGCCCTCCGGCGCTCGCCCTGCGAGGGGCACCCCCTACCTGCATCTCCGCGCTTTCCAACCCCGCGACGTCGACGGCTGCGGCCTCGTGTTCTCCTCGCCCCGCTCGAGTTAGTCCCGGCGCAGCGCAGGCAGCAGGTAAGTCGCCCTTTGGCAGCGCGGAAGGCGCCGGGCCAGGCAAGGTCAGCTCGGGAGCCACCGGGGACACGCACCCGCGCTCCTCTCCAACGGGCTGGATGCACCCCTCTCCGCTCGCGCGCTTCTGGCTGGCTGGCCGGCTGCAGCAGCAACAGGGGCAATAGGCATCCACCGTCGCCGACGCTCCCTCCCTCCCTCCTGCCCGCGGCGGGCGGCTGGCTGGCTGGCGCTCCGCTCTTTCGGGCTGCTGCTGCAGAAGGGATTTTGCACCAGACAACTTTTAGGCCGGTAGGAGTTTTGACTACCGCGGCGACAGCAGCAGCAGCAGCAAGACGGCGCCGACTGTAGTGCAAAGGGTCGGAGCAAGGCGAGCCGAACCGATCCCAGGGGCTCAGGCAGCAACCTCCGCCCCGCCTCCCCCCCACGCCCGCCTCTCTCTCCCTCCCAAGCACCCCCCTTTTTTGAGGTTTTTGAAGACTTTGCTGATTTTTGAAGCTTTTCCAAAACTTTCCCGACACCGTGCTTCGCAAGACGAAAAAAATCGCAAGACGAAAAAACTCACGGAACGAATTAATTTCGTCTTGCGAGGCACCACTGTATAATTTTCTTGTCATAGTTGGTTGTGTGCATTATCAGATGTGTCATAATGTTGCACAGTGGATGCACAGCACATCATAAAAGATCTGTGTACTGTCCCACATATGGGTCAGCGCATGTACAGGCAAAATCTATTCTCTTATCTTTCCAACTTCTAAAGTACTCAGAGAGAGTGTGTGTCTGGGCTCTCTTGGATAACAGGTTGCCTTTCAATTGTTTTTTCCCTCTGTGGGTCTAAGCGACCATCAGATGCTCACCAAATAACTGAGTTCTTAATAAGCCAGCAGTGAGCACTAGCTGCCTTGAAATGGTTGGTTTTGCCTAAGTCAGAGCAGTTTGTTAAGAAAGCAAAAAAGTGACTTAGCATACAAACTAGATCACATAGTACTACAGAAATAAGTCCTACAGAAACTTCAAGAAATGAATTCCAAAACTGATGCCCTAGACCAGTGATGGCCAAACTTGACCCTCCAGCTGTTTTGGGACTACAACTCCCATCATCCCTAGCTAACAGGACCAGAGGTCAGGGATGATGGGAACTGTAGTCCCAAAACAGCTGGAGGGCCAAGTTTGACCATCACTGATCTAGACCAAAAATCTGTCAGCATGGACAAAGGGAAACCTCTGGCATCTAGAGCACCAGTTTTGGAAGTTGAAGGTGATAGAGCCAACAGAAACTTGAGACAGCCCCACTAAAGTATCCATTTAATCGATTACCAGACCTTCAGTATTGAGGGTATGCATCAGAACTCGCACAGCTAGCTGAGGGAAAGCTGGACAGTTTAGACTGCGTTTAAACAGATGCCACCTTAAACCAAGGATGAATAAATAGCCTTAATCCCAGATTTGGGGTGGCACTGCCATCCAACCAATCCATGGGAGAACAGTGGGGAATCCTTACTTTGGTGTCACCTGTTGAAGAACAACCTTGTTTTACTTTCTTAAAAGTATATATTAATGGAAGCATGTTGAAATGAGTATTTATGAATTATGAAAACTGCTCCTAATTTTGACCATGCTGTTTTCAGAAATATCATTGACAAAGATCTTACATGATTGGTTCTCTGCCTGTTGTAAAAATAAAACAAAAACATAGAGCTATACATACAGAATTCATGTGATAAAGACATTGTTTTTTGTTTTTTTACTTTTTATAGCCGCACAAGCCAACTTTCAGTTTCAACACTCCTTGAGATGTGCAAGGGCCAAGCTGGAGAACTGGCAGTTGGTAGAGAAATACTTAACTCTGGTAAAACTTCACTGTATACTTATTTGTATAGTAACATCAGTATACCTAGTGCTTTACAGAGTATCATAAGGGGGGAAAAATGCTTGCCTCTTCCTTTACTCAGTGAGCTTCTTGGGGCAATAGTAACTATGGATGAATGTGAGCAAACACTGTCACACATACTTTATACAGTTGTTCATAAGGGCTGAAAAATTAACCAAAGTCTTCCTACCGTAGATAAGGAGCTTTGAGATGAAATTTGAAGTGGCAGTGGAGAAAATCTAAAAAAATTCTAATAATAACAACATATGATCAGTTGTTCGAAAGAAAACTAAATTCCAGCATGGTGGAGTCCAATACTTAATTAAGTTGGAAATTTAAAAACAATCTTATGTACTAGCAGTCGCCAGACCACCATTAATTAAGCCCATTTGATTGTGGAGCTTATTTCTCCCCACCACCAAAGGGTTCATCAAATGAACACAAGATCTTTTTATTTTGATGCTGCATCTTCATGGTTTTGTGAGCATCCCACTCAAATCATCTTGATGGCCATTGATCTGCATAAAGTACCTACTGTGTACTAGGCCATACACTAAAAGCAATAACAAACCCCACTTCACATGTTTGCATTCTAAATTAAAAGCAAAACCAAAAGAGATGAGAAAAGAGAAGGTGTAAAGTTGTAAATAAAATAAAATAAAATAGGTACAACAGGGAAATTAAAATAAAAGAGAGAGTAAGTGAAGATAAATTGAAGATCAAAGTGGAAAAGCAAGGGAATTTTGGGGGGATGGTGGAGAGATTAAGCCAGCTCAGTTTCTAAAGGAAGAATTCCTACACATTGTTTCATTAGAAGAGAGGGTACAAGCATTAACTTATATTAGAGAGGTGTAACAAATAAATTGATCTTGGGTGAAAAGTACAGTAGAAAAATAAGGAACTAGAAGACTGTATAATAATTTCATGATTTTGAATCTAATACAAAGAATGGCTAATCATTGGAGAGAATGAAATAGTAGTGTGATGTTGCTAAAACATTGGTTGAAATACAGTAGACAAGCAGGCAAATTCAGAGCAGAAGAGGTTTAAAATTGAGAAACTGGAAGACCAAGGATAAAGACATCACAGTAAATGTGTTGGATTGTGGACCTAGGGTTATATGTAAGTTATACTTTGAATAGACCCATTTAAAGGAATGGACCCAAGTTCATCATTACTAAACTTCATTTAATAGAAGTAAACTTCAATATTTCATTACTAAAATATTGATTCTGTGGCACCTGAATTGGCAGAATTTGAGAGCTACTTGAACATGGTGGTGAATGCAAAATAGTACTTTCCAGTCTTCAATGAATGCATATAGACAGAACTGTGAATATGCTTGTAATGATTTTTGTAACCTTTAAAACATTCATGTGACATGTGAGCTTGTGCTGTGAACTTCAAACAGATGGGATGGAAATGTGAATGAAGGACAAGCCTTTCCAATGTCATTTATTTTGGGAACTTTGCTTACAGCATTAAAAAGGGGGGGAACTGGTTCTTCTAATATGGATTCACTTTAGTGGCAAGCAAAAGCATTCAGCACTGGTGAAATTCATGAGTAGTCCGAAAAATTGTAACAGGTTGTAACACCCCCCAAAAGTGACTTGGCTGAAAAGGGGAAGAGCTTCACATAACTTCACATAAAACAATATATTTTGGTGATATATCTTTAATTCTGTTTAATTATTTTTCTTTTGTAGGGTCCATTGGCATTGGTGGTATTGATTTTGTCTTAAATTGCATCCTTGGAACACAGCCTGAACCAAACAATTGGCAAGCACTGCTTGGGCGCCTTTGTCTTATAGATAGACTGCTGTTGGAGTTTCCTGGTGAATTTTATCCCCACATTGTCAGTGGGGATATTTTACAGGCAGACACTGTCGTAGACAGGTACTACATTAGAAAATATTGATTTTAGGAAATAATTTTTTTACATAAACACTTTTTGTTAACTATACCATAGTTGACTTGCTGCTTTAAATGCTTGGTACACTTTATTTTATTTTATTTTTGCTGCAGAGACATTAACTGTGTTTTGTCTTTACTTTTAGGTACAAAAAGCTGCTGTCACTGTTGAACTTTGCTCTGCAGTCAATTGACAACTCCCACTCAATGGTTGGCAAATTGTCACGGAGGGTATTTTTAAGTGCTGCCAGAATGGTTGCAAGAGTACCGCACGTGTTTCTTAAACTGTTAGAAATGTTGAGTATGACGAGCTCAACACATTACACAAGGATGCGCCGGCGGTTGATGGCTATAGCAGATGAAATGGAAATTGCAGAAGCCATCCAGCTAGGTATGGAGGAGATGCATTCCGGCGAATGCAGGCGCGAATTTGCACAGCCACCAGTTCCTGATAACTCTCCAGAGTCCACAGAGAGCAATACTCCAAATAACACGATTCAGTTATCAGGGAAAAGTGGGAAAGGTGTGGGTGACAAAAAACCAAGTGCCAGTCCAGAGGACATTTCTGACATGGTGGCTGGTATGTCTCTGGGACTTTCTGTTTCTTCAGGAACAATGGAGCAACCAAAACCAGCCGTTCAAACAAAAGGCAGACCCCATGGTCAGTGCTTGAACTCTTCTCTCTCATCCTGTCATTCCCAATCTGTATTCCCAACTTTGTCGTCCCCCACTACGCCATCCGTACCCGCGGGCGCTGATGTTTCTAAACTCAGACCTCAGGGATTTGTTCCCTGCAAAATGCCCTCTGCTTCTCCTCAGACGCAACGGAAGCTTTCTCTCCAGATTCAAAGAAACTGTGCTGAACATAAAGAATCAGAAAAACTGTCTCCTGTCTTTACACAGGCCCGGCCTTTGCCATTCAGTCATATACACCGGCCAAAGCCATCTCGACCTACTCCATGTGAAATGAACAAGCAGGGGGAAGCCTCCAAAAACAGCATGACGCTTAATTTAAATGATATATCACAGTGTGATAGCAATAGTAGTAGCAATAATAGTGCAGTCATACCAAGTGAAGAGACTGTTTTCACCCCTGTGGAAGAGAAACGTAGCCAGCTGGATATTAATACAGAACTCAATTCCAGTATGGAGGACTTACTTGAGGCTTCGATGCCAGCGAGTGATGGAACAGTCACGTTCAAATCTGAAGTGGCGGTTCTGTCTCCTGAGCGCGCGGAAAACGACAACACATACAAAGATGATGTGAACCATAATCAGAAATGCAAGGAAAAGATGGAAGCTGAAGAAGAGGAAGCTTTAGCTATTGCCATGGCAATGTCAGCATCTCAGGATGCCCTTCCAGTAGTTCCTCAATTGCAGGTTGAAAATGGTGAAGATATCATAATCATTCAGCAGGATGTGAGTACACTGGCTTTTGTATTTTCTTAGTCTACCTGTATTTACTGTTGCACAATGCATTTCTTGCATTTGATTTGGAAAACCAAAGGAAAAACAGTTTTGCCCTTTAAGACACAGTGGGTTGCTTCCAAACCATGCCATTCATCCGAAGGGGGAGGGAAGCCATTTTCAGCCATTGCCCGCTGAACCTGCTCCAGAAGCTGGGGGCTCTCTCAACCAGATCTGCGGGGGGGGGGGGGGAGGAGCTGAAAATTACTTCCTTTCCCATTCCACTGTCAAAAGCTTTGCCATCAGCTGAGCAACACTTTTGAAATGAAACCGTAATGGTTCAAGGAAAACTCAACCGTATTTTGGTGGCTATGCATGTCACTTTTTCCTTCAGCCAATTTACCGGGGGGGGGGGGAGGAATGAGCTTCCTTTGGACTTCGACTATAACTGGCTTCTGTGTCCTGTCCATACCAAGCTCTAAGGCACGTCACTTCATTAGTTTATATATTAGAACTGGGGAAAATAGGTATAGGGAATAGCATGTTGTTTGCATGTGGTGGGTAGGGTTTACTGATACCATCAAGCCTAAATGAATGTTGGGGGAGGGGTTGTAGTAACTGAATTATCGCTTAGAGCTGAAAGAAGAAATTAGGGTAGCAATGAAAGGAAGAGTGCTCTTTGAGCTCAAATTGATCATGCATGGAATCACAACTGAATATACAAAATGCAAAATAGAAGTAGGACTGAAATCTGTCTGGTGGGCATTATCTTGCCCAGGGGTGAAATACAGGCACGCCAGGCCTTGAGGTCTGCATTCCTACTCCCTTTGCACTCTGTGGAATTAGGTTGCTTTAAGACAGGAATTCAGTATTTACTCTGTGCTAATTTGGTTATCTCTGTGTGGATACTGTCACTTCCATGGTTTAGTCATTAGATTTAGGTGACACTTGGAGTTGAGAAGATTTCTTTTTCTGTTCTGTTCTTTTTGGTGAGGGGCAATAAAGTTAATTGTCTTGCTTCCCAACTGGCGTGTCCTCTAGCCTTCCACAATAGCCTCCACCAGTCAGCAAGGTACAAATGTTTTATCAAGGGAACCCCCCTGTGATGTATACCAAACACTACAATTGTTGAAGAAATAAAAGACAAACATACATATAATAGCAATTCTAAACTGTACAGAGATCATCTACTTGCTGGTACACAGTTTGCAATTTTATTCATTATCTGCTACTGGGAGAGTATTGTTTCTTCAGTGGTTCTCTAGCGGTTTCTTAGACTATCCTACCCTCTCCATTTGTTTTTGTGTGTTACTTTTTTGTCTTTGCAGTAAGAAATATCTCATGGTGATATTTCCAAATGTAAGACTTTATTAAGCAAGTAGTTCGATAGTGAAACATTAGGACTGGTTAATTTTTAGAATTTGAACAAAACCCTATATACAGGTACTGTATAAACTTGGATACAATCGTTGTGTTTTGAAATTATTAGGATGTGTGTCTTTTTTTTTTTTAATTATCCTTTTCTTGGATAACATTGGGTGTTAATGGGTTCATAGACAGCTATTTGTTTAATCTGCAGACACCAGAGACGCTGCCTGGGCATACCAAAGCAAAGCACCATTACAGGGAAGATATAGAATGGCTTAAAGGTCAACAAATTGGCCTTGGTGCCTTTTCTTCATGTTATCAAGCTCAGGATGTTGGAACTGGGACGTTAATGGCAGTGAAACAGGTAAATGTTCCTCTGTTGTAATGTGAAAGTTTTGTCAGCATTAACTTAATATTCGGAAAAGAAAATCAAGGTAGTGCAGAGGTCTAGAAAGATTTGTCCTCAGTTATGTTAGTTCTGAAAATTTTGACACTGGTTTCTTTTACACATATTCTGCCCAACTTAATGCCTTAAGATAGGGAAGGACTTGGACTATTGGAGGAAGTGATAATGAAAACTGCTTTTATTCTAGGCAGCTCCACACACTAAGTCCCCCCCCCTTGCATGGGGAGAATCTTTAGGAAGGTAGGAAACATACATGTTCAGCAAGAGTGTTTATCTTTCTTACTGCACTTCCCGTGTCATAGTTTATACATTTCTCCAAAATCCATTTTTCTCCGCATGTGAAGTGGCTGCCTGCGGTTGCTTAAGGGAAAGAAGAAAGCAAGAGAACAAAAACAGAAGTTTTATATAGTGGGTAGAATCAGATAGCCTGTCCTATGTTGAACCTCTTTCTTGAAGGTGCTCAACATGGTTTGCAGCTTCAGTTACAACAATGTCAATACGATCCTCTATTGTTGAAGCAAAATTTGACCTGGCTTTGTGTGATGCAGGTGACATATGTCAGGAATACATCATCTGAGCAGGAAGAGGTGGTAGAAGCTCTGCGGGAAGAGATAAGAATGATGGGTCATCTAAATCACCCTAATATAATTCGAATGATGGGTGCTACGTGTGAGAAGAGCAATTACAATCTCTTTATAGAATGGATGGCAGGTAAGTGTGCTCCCAAACTGCATTCATCTCTTTCCACCTGCCTCTAGATTTCTAAGTCCGTCCCTTTTGCCATCTCTCTAAATTGAAATTAACTTTACCCAAATTGTGGGGTGTAAATGATACAATACTATGTTTCGTGTACGTGCCACTCTTTCTGATAAAGGAAATTCTAAACTACTACGACCCCAAAAGTAAATTCAGAAAGTTGAGCTTAAAACTATTTCACTTGTCTGCATTGGTATACCCAATTTTGAAACTATTTCAATGGCAGTAAAATCCAGATTGTTTTCATGAGCAGTGTACTAATGACTAAAATGTTAACTCTCATCTTCCAGGGGGATCTGTTGCTCATTTGTTAAGTAAATATGGAGCCTTCAAAGATTCTGTGATTGCGAACTACACAGAACAGTTGCTTCGTGGCCTTGCTTACCTTCATGAGAATCAGATAATTCACAGAGATGTCAAAGGTAAGAACAGTGCTACTATAGTTATTATAACCTGTAATTGCTTATTTATTAAATTTGTATACCACCCTGCAGTTCACAGCATAAAAATGCATAATACATAATAATAATAATAATAATAATAATAATAATAATCTAGAGTAATAATTTATTTCTTATACCCTGCCCATCTGACTGGGTTGCCCCAGCCACTCTGAGCAGCTTCCAACAAAATATAAAGAGACAGAAAACAGGAACAGAAACAAAACAAACCAATACCTCACTAACAACAAGGAAACAGGATGTTACTCAGCCAATGGAGGGGAACATTTTCACCTGATGCCTAAAGGCATATAATGAAGGCATCAGGCAAGCCTCCCTGGGGAGAGCATTCCTCAAACAGGGAACCACCGCAGAAAAGACCTCTTCTTGTGTTGCCACCCTCCTGACCTCTCATGGGAGAGGCACATGAAGAACGATGATCGCAGGTCTGGGTTGATGGCATCGAAAGCCACTGAGCAGTTGAGGAGAATTAAAGAGGACACATTTTCCCTGTCCTGACAGAGGTCATCATACAGGGTGACCAAAGCAGTTTCTGTGTGCAAATGGGCCTAAACCCTGATTGAAATGGAAAACTGATCTAGAAAATCAGTTTCCTCCAAGAGCACCTGAAGACAGAAGGATACCATGGCTGATAGTACCAAAAGCCACTGAGAGGCTAAGGAGAATTAACAAGGACACATTCATCCTGTCTCTCTCCTGACATAAGTCTTCATGCAGGGTAACCAAAGCAGTTTCTGTGCCAAAGTGGGTGTAAACCCCAATAGAAATGGAAAACTGATCTAGAAAATCAGTTTCCTTCAAGAGCGCCAAGACTTCTGTTACCTTTGGATTTTGCACTTCTCCAGATTTTGTGATGCAGTTCTCAACTCTCAAAAACCATACCTTAATTATTAAAAAGCACTTTTAAAGATACAGTATTGTAAGATATATAAATTTCTGTCCAGATTTTCCTGTTAAAAATCCAGAGATTAATGCAACAACAAGCTAGAATAGATTTATGATTGAACACATGTCATGCTAACGTGTCTAGTTGGGGGAATGGGTACATGAAGGGTTTTATTTTTAAAAAATTGTATTTGGGGGTTCCTGTACTCATTTAGGTTCTTCAAGCATAAGATTTGCCTTTATATTCTTTGTGTTCTGAAAACATTAAACATCAATAGAAGAAATGGTGGTGATATAGTTTACTCAGTGGTTTTTGTTCTCACGTATGTCTAAACTGTTTGCAAGCAGGATAAAAATGTATTTTGGTGAGCACCCTACCTCACACCCAAAAGTAACTTGCTACAGCAGTATTGCAAGACCTTCTGTTGATAAATATTGCTCCTGTTTCTCTTCCAATAGAAAAAAACAGAGTTTGGTTTACAGGGGCAGAAATCTTTCAGGTGTTTTTTCAATATTTGGTGGGAGAAAGTCACTTTTAGAGAAAGGTTGCAGTTTTTGGTTATATGGCATTGTCTAATTTTGAATGGAGGCTTTTTGTGTACACTGAAGGAAATTACCCAAATCTCTGGTATTCTGATTGATAGTAATTTTTGTTTCTACCATGTGTGTGCACCCAAGCCTGTCTGTCTCCCTCACAGAAACCCACCCACAGCAGCAACTAAATTAATTTCTTATTACGTTCACAGGTGCCAACTTGTTAATTGACAGCACAGGCCATAGGTTAAGAATTGCGGATTTTGGAGCTGCAGCTAGGTTGGCATCTAAAGGAACTGGCGCTGGAGAGTTTCAAGGACAGTTGTTGGGGACCATTGCATTTATGGCACCCGAGGTAAGAATTCAGTGGGGCAACTTTGGGAGAAGATTACCTGCTTGATTATTATCTTAAGACGGAAGAGGGGAACCTGTGGCCCTCCCAAATGTTGAACTCGCTGCTCTGGCTGGCATGTTCAATACTCCGCATCACTGGCCTACATGCTTGCTCAGCTGCAATACCTAAAGAGGCATCCTGTGCAATGCAGACAAGAGAAAGCAGTGTAGTTTTGCCCTACTTGCCTTTTGAAAGATTATACATTCCCTTGTTCCACTACTTGGATTGGCAAACATGTGACTATAACAACAACTATGGTTATTCGAATCAAGCCAACTTGATCAAGGTTGCCTGCACCAAACCATGCCATGCTATCTCTGTGTCTGACACCATCTTATTTTGAACCTCTTGAGTAGGACAAGATCTCTGAAGGTAGTGAGTTTAAACTAAGAAAAGAGTTTGCTGCCAGCAGCAACCCCAGAAACACTCCAGCCCACATCCCCTTTCCCCTCCCCCTTGAACAAGAATGTAGCAAATTTGAGCCAATGGTCTGAAATATGGAAAATTGTTCCTTGGGTCTGTATCTAATCACTGCTCTTAAGTTATTGCTCTTTGTCACTGTATCTAGTTACATTTCTGCTTGGATGGTGTGCAGAACAGGTTAGATTAGGTTCGATTACTGCAAAACATGGGGCTGCCTCTGAAGATGGTTTGGAAACTTTGCTGGTGCAGAATTCAGCGGCCAGGTTGCTCACCAGGGCAAGGCGATTTAAGTATATAGCACCAATCATGACCTAGCTGCACTGGCTGCCAATTAGTTCCCAAGCCCAAATCAAAGTGCTGGTTTTGACCTATAAAGCCTTAAACAGCTCAGGACTGCAATATCTCAAGGACCACCTCTTCCCATATCAACTGACCCAGACCCTGTGATCGAGGGTTGGCAACACGAGAATGAGCCTTTTCTGTGGTGGCTCCATGCTTGTAGAATGCTCTCCTCAGGGCCTGGTGCCTTTGCTACGTATCTTCAGGCACCAGGCAAAAACATTCTTCTTCTCCCAGACCTTTGACCAGGCATAGGCAAAGTCTGCCCTCCAGATGTTTTGGGACTACAGTTCCCATAATCCCTGACCACTGGTCCTGTTAGCTAGGGATGATGGGAGTTGTAGTCCCAAAACATCTGGAGGGCCAAGTTTGCCTATGCCTGCCTTTGACTAATTAAAAATTTATGGCCTTTTACACTGTGTGTGTGCAATTGTGTTTTTTTGCTGTTGTTATTGTATGTATTTTGTTTTTATATTGTAAACCTCCCTTTGCTCCTTGGATGAAGAGCAGTATAGAATTCAAATAAATAAGTTGTCAGTCCTGCCATTACCTCACACAGAGGTGTCTGCTGAAACTCTCATTTTGTTAACCATGGATGATTCTTAAAATACTTTCTATACTGCTGCTAGAAGATTTATAGAAATTAAATTTGTCTTTCTTCTTCTTCAGGTGTTAAGAGGCCAGCAGTATGGTAGGAGCTGTGATGTGTGGAGCATTGGTTGTGCCATTATAGAAATGGCTTGTGCTAAACCCCCCTGGAACGCAGAGAAACATTCCAATCATCTTGCTTTGATATTTAAGGTAAGGCAATAAGTAAGAGAATTATCTACAAAGCCTGTAGGTGGGAGCAATTCCACTGGGAACTTATACCATACAGACAACATTGAAACGAATTTAGAGCCGCCAAAAATGCTTTTTAAAGTTCTTTTAAAAGGACAGTGTATTCTATTTTGAAAATATCCTAGTCTGAAAAGTACCCACAGTTCTCTAATATGTGCATCTTATGAAATTTGCCCTAATTGAGAATATCATATAAGTACAGTATATTCATTAGCATGGTCCTGCCAAAGGAATGTATTGAGAGCACATTTTTGAGGATTCTGTTTTTCATAGGTTTAGGACTGGGTTTTATTACCGTACTTAGAGTTGCAAAGACAGTGATTGGGACTTCAGCAAGAACTTACTAAAAACCCTGCTGTACATGTTCTACCCAGTGATCCTATTGCTGTCATCCATATCTGAATAGTACCATACGCTGTTCAATAGCAACTTCATTCTTTGGAAAGACCATTCATTGAAATGATGTACAAGGATGAAGAAGCTAGATAGACAGGAAACAGTGTTATAGAAATTAAAGAAGAAAATTTAGAGATTTGAGTAAAGTCTTCAGGGGCAGTGAATATTGGCAGAACTCTTAAATGTAAGCTAGGTGAACTACAGATGTAAATCTTGTTTATGCTAGTTGTTTACATCAGTTGGTTTAGTGTTACTGCACAACTATACCAATTTGAAAAGGCAAATGCCCTGATTGAACAAGACAACTCTTTTTTTCTAGGAATCCTGCAGATCAGATATTGTAACAAATTCTAGGCTAAGCTGCACACTTTTTTATTTTATTTTTTTCTTCTTCTGCCACCGTTATGTTTTGATATTGTGTCTGTGTGCAATAAGATAGTAAGCAGTTACAAAACACACACACACACATTTGGGGGAATAACCCCAATCCTAAAGTTCTATGGGTGGGAAATACAAAATGTGCAAAAGATAAAGACAAATACATGTTAAGCAGTGCTAACCAGACTGCATGCAATGTAAGCAAGATGTCCTGCAGTTCAGAGTCTTGCAGAGGTTTTGCTCTAGTCTGCATCCAGGGGTATCCTACGAGAAGGAGTCTGGAACATAACCTGTGTTTGCTCTTCTGATTGTAGATTGCCAGTGCAACCACAGCTCCATCAATCCCACCACATCTCTCTCCAGGCTTAAGGGATGTGGCGCTTCGGTGTTTGGAGCTTCAACCTCAGGACAGACCCCCAGCAAGGGAGTTGCTGAAACACCCTGTCTTCCGCACTACGTGGTAGTTTGTTATGTAAAAGTGGGGATACACTGAACATGATGCTACTGAATATAGAACAGTGATGGTCTTCCTGTGCAGTTTTGCATGGCAGTATGTATTAACTGTTCTGCTGGCCTTAACTATACATTTTTGAGGACTTGAGGTCAGTAGAGGACCTGTACTTAAGTATGTGACTGACAAATCGAGATCTTTACCTAAGCTCAGTATGCAACATTTCACAGACTGCAGAAATATGTAAACTGTGCCTTTCTCAAAGATCTGGCTCTTCGTGAACAAAAAAGCAATTCCTCTTTTAAATCTGCATGATTATTTAGTGGAAGAAGTGGTTTTTAATTTTTTTATTATTTTGGAGCACTTTTTCAGCAGTACTAGCAGCTGAGGGGCTCAGGAGCCATTTAAAAACTGCAATCCCATTTCCATTTCACACCATGCAAACATCAGCAGTTATGGGCTCTACAACCCAATTTAGGTTGTTTTCGCTACTCATCATTAAGAAGGTACAGTGTCTGTGCATTATATTTTCCATGTTCTTTAAGTGGAGGGAAAAAACAGTTGATAGTTTTGAATCCACATTTTGCCTTCCTAAAAGTCACTGACCATGGCAGTTTGGGTTCAATGTGCATTTACTGCTAGCCTTGTAACTTCCCCTTGGAAGTTACAGTTCTGTGCTTTCATTTTATCCTTCAGGGAATAAGTGATTTTTTTTTTAAAACGCCCATAGTAGCTAGAACTTGGTTCAAGCTAAATATTGCTGGATAACCTGTTATAAAAGACTGTGATACAGATTGGTTTGAAATCTGGAATAAAATACTGCCATTGAGTCAGTATTTTAAGTGGGAAGGGGAAATGCACAATTACTTTCGATAACAGAATTTGTAACCAAGGGTCAAATGAACTGTTTTGGAGCCTTTCTTTCATGTAATAATTCTCATGGTAAAGCTGTGTAGAAAAGTTTTATGTCAAGCCTGCCACTACCCAGCGTCCATTCTAAGTCAACCTTTGATGGGAGCCAAATATTAAAATCCAGTCTTACTCTCAATTTACCACTGTGTTCATATCCACCATTGTTGGATTTGCCTGCTGTTTTCCTTCTACCATGCATCATCTGTTTACAGTTACAATTGATAAATATGTAATTTGGCAATATTTTAAAAAGGAAAAGAAAATCACTTAAGCTCTTTTTTTAAAAAAAAATAAGAGTTTTTCAGAAAAAAAATGTGCTTGGACTTGAAAAATATAACCCACAGGTATAATGTGAGAAAATGCTTCAACAAGAGTGCAAAACTACTTTTTAGCAAAGATTTTTAATTGTTTCATGATGGTTTTTAAGGGCAGGCTTTTAGATTTTGATGAATGGATTACTGAAGGAAAATGGCAGCTATTCTTTTGCTTTTGGTCAGTCTTTTTGAAATAAAATACTGGTTGTGTTTATAATCAGTTTGTTTTAATAACTGTTCAAGTTTTAACTCTTCAGAAGCCAGTTGAATTATTGACCAGAAATTGGTTATGCTCAAAGACTCAGGACAAACTAAATAAGCTATAGTACTGTACATTATTGACAATGTACGACTCGCTGATTGGAAACAAAACAAGTGAGGTTTACAGCAGTGATCATGCTAGCGTTAAATAAAAGCAATGTCATTAAATGTGGATGTGCATTTTTCTTAAAACATTACCTTCCTTTGCTTTTTGAAGATTGACAGGCTTTGAAGAGTTAAAAAAATCGAAATGTGAAGTTTGGTAGCTCTGTATTTGTATTTGACTTCTGTTTCTTGACAGTTTAGAATTTACTCTGATCAGATTGTTTCCAAGTCTCTTCTGTGCAAGCTTTAAAGGATGCGCTCTTGCCAATTCATGTACTGGAAGATCAGTTGTCAGATTAATGCAGTTTCTGACAAAATTGTCAATTGTATAAACTGATGAACCTCAGCTAATCAGTATTACCTTTCTAGATCACCATGTCTACCACATATCAAATTCAGACTGCCTCTAGGTGTCTAAAAGCATTGTCTGAGTTTGTTTGCATTTCCCTCAGCTTGCTGGTAATTGTGGGGTTTTTTTAATGCAGATGTGATGTAATCTTATTTTATTTGGATCAAAGCTGGACTGAAAATTGTATTGTGTAATTATTTTTGTGTTCTTAATGTTATTTGGTACCTAAGTTGTAAATAACGTCTACTGCTGTTTATTCCAGTTTCTACTACCTCAGGTGTCCTATAGATTTTCTTCTACCAAAGTTCACTTTCACATTGAAATTATATTTGCTATGTGACTGATTTCCTAAGACTTCCAGGGCTTAAGGGCTAACTTCTATTAGCACCTTACTGTGCAAGTAAATTTTAAAGATCTCTAGGTTAAGAAAATTTGGCTTCATTATATCCTTTGTTATTTTAAATATATCAAGATATTTTAATTAAAGTTTTTACCCCTTTGAACCAATTTTATAGTATAATTTGTACCTATTTTGGTGGTTTTGTCTTTATAGTAAATAAAAGATTTTGGACAAAAGCTGCCCTCCTTTATGGCAATGAACTGATTTTAACAAATACATTGGCATTCATGTACACATGTATTTTCCTTACAATATAGTCAGCAATCAAACACAAGGTTTTAGAGCCAGCTTTTCGCAGCTGTTTATATAGTTTGAAAAATGCCTGTAAATAAGTCTTTTAATCCCTTTCTACTCTATTTCTTGGCAGCATGAACACTTCACAATAGGCAAGCTCAAGGGAGCTATCTTGCTCAGTTCTGATTCTCCTTCATTATACTCATTGTCTGTGTAAACCTTAAGGGCACAATTTACTAAGCATAATTTTTATAGTATCTCTTGTTCATTGAATTAGGGTTCCACAACAGCTATTTGTACCCACAGTCATTGCTATGCTGCCAGATTAAACATTCTGGGACACAGAATTGGGATCTGGTGAATTGTTATACGATAGAACTACTGGAACATTGCTTACAGCTACTTAACAATCTATTTAAAATGCTTTTAAAAGACTCACTAGGCAGACTTCAGAAGAGAACATAAACCAGTTGGGAGCTAGATCCTCCACTAGACTGAGTGGCATGCTATCTCTTTTTGCCACTCAACACACAGTAGTGGGTTCCTTAGATATACCTGCCTAGGGAATACCCAGCACATAGGATCATGAATAGTGCACTGAGGACTGCAGAGCGTTCCTTTGAATTCATGGAGGCTGATGTGGCAAAACCTGATGGGCACTCCCATCATATGAAATATAACATCATTTATACATAATACCTCATTGTGTGTATTGGAACAAAGTTTTTCTTGTAAAGAGTACTTAAAAAAAAAGATTAAACAATCCGTTGAAAAGGCTTGTTGAAAAAAGATGGCCCAACAAGCATCAACAACAGTGTTCACCTGATAAGCAAAGAGAGGATTTCAAATGGTAGGTGCTGTTACAATAAAAACCTGATTTGTACAAGGTATAGAATGGACCTCCTAGTGAGATGGTGTCTGCAGGTCCTATCCTGCAGAGTGCAGTGATTGGATGGGTATATAAGGTATGAGAGTCTTTTAGGTGTCCTGGTCCCAATCTGTATAGGGCTTTGTCTACCAGTATGAACACTTAGAACTGGTACCTAATTGGCAGCCAGTGTTAATTCTTTCAACAGCAGCATAATATGGTGGTATTCTGCCCCAGGGAGCTGTTGAAACAACTGCAGTTTGCACTAGCTACAGCTGCTAGGTCATCCTCACAGAGGGCATTGCAGTAATCCATTCTAGCAGTTACCAGCGCATGGAGAACAGTGGCCAAGCCATCCTGGTCCAGAAACACACAGCTGTCTTATCAGCCTACAGACCTTTAGGAGGAGTATGATCCTGTCCAAAGCAGGAATAATCCAGAGTTGGGACTGCTCACTCACAGCACTTCTCCCTTGCCATAATTTGGACTCAGGTTTTTTGGTCCAAATCCAGCCCATCATCAGGGCTGCACAGCCTCTCATTCAGATGTTACAGAAAAAGAGCTGAGTATTACCAGAATATTGACAGCTTCCCCCAAATCTAATGACTGATCCCAAAGGCTTCTTGTGGATGACAAGAGAGTACTTTCCAGCATGTGCACACAAACCAGGGATAACTGGCAGGAGGCTGAAAAATAAAACTGAAACCAAACCTGGAGATAGGGCCAGAACCACTGTAAAACTCTGTCCCCAATACCCATCTCAGTAGGCTGAGGAGGATCCCATGGTTAATGGCATCTGACACTCCTTAGATATCAATTAAAATATAACAAGGTTACACCCCACCTGCAACGTCACATCACTGCCCATCTTTCAGCAGCCGAACAAGGGGAGTGGTGCAGGGGTTGACGAGTTGGATCAGGACCTGGGAGATCCTGCTGGCTGGGGCTGAAGCTGGAATCCAAAAACATGGGGGGGGGGGCACAAGTTCCCCCATCCGTGGTGTATCATAGCTGTCAACTTTCAGATTTGAAAATAAGGGATCAGCAGCCTCGAAAATAAGGGACCAGCAGCCTCACCTGTCCCGGGGACGGTCTACGGGATATCTAACAATCCGGGATAGCAGCGCTGGAATAAGGGAATTTCCCGCAAAAAAAGGGAAGGTTGACAGCTATGTGGTGTATACATGCTGTTCGCGCGTGGCTTTTAAAACTTCCCAAAAACCCCACTGCGCTGGTTGCAAGGTGCAGTCCGAGCCATGGGCACATTTGCTTGAGAATAGTAAGTCCAGTGGGTCTTACTCTCCCAAGGGTGCTGCCCCAATCTGCGACCAATAGGAAAAGGGGAATCCTTCTGAACTGTCCAGAAATCCCCACCTTGGAAGCTAATGGAATAAGGCGCATTAGGAGGCTGATTGAGCGCCTAAAGCGGAAGTAAACTCCGTCTCCCTAAAACGTCCCCCTGCGAAACTGCGCCCAGGGTACATTTGGTTCCACCGACAGGTTTTTCTCCGCGGATTCAAAACTCTCTTCAATGAGTGTCGTCTGAATCGTTGGTTGTTTGCTGTTGCTGCTGCTTCCATGTCCGCGCTTGTAAGGTTTCCGACGGCTGCTTGCGCAACTATTACAGGCAAACTCCTCCTGACGCCCGAATTTACTTTGGCCCATCCGTTGCAGGAAACAAACGAAGCAAGCGCACGCCAGAGAATCCGGTGGCGTTATAATCAGCTCGCAGGTGCGTTGCGAGGCGGGTCAGTAGACACGCGTTTGAAGGCAGACTCGTTATACTTTCGCCTGCCGACGACGATTGGAGGGAGCTGCGCCGCTTGACCTCGGGGAGGAGGAGCTGCAGCGGCGGCGGCGGCCAGGCAGCAGGCGCCCTCCCTCGCCCTTCCTGCGGCCGAGCAAGAAACGGAGCCCGGCTCTTCCCCGGGGAAGGGGACCCCCGCCGCCATGCTGAGGGCTCTGCGGAGGCGCTGGGAGGCCTACAAGTACCGCTTCGTGCCCTGGATCGCGCTCAACCTCGGCCACAAGCGCAGGTGAAGGCGGCCGCCGGGTCTCCATTCAGGGCGGAGCGGGAGAAGGAGGCGACCGAGAGGTCTCTCTGCCACTTGTGGCAAAAAAGTAAAAGTAAAGCCAGAGGTTCGGCGGTGTTGCCGCGAAACCAGCCTTTTTACGTGGAGTACAAGGGCGGCGTTCGCATTGGCGAACCCAGGGCGAACTCTTGCACGTGAGGATGCGAGGGCGCGTGTGCAGGGTTCTTCCGCAGCCGGGCAATGGCCAAAGCAACGCGGATCCCTGGCGGCAATGGCCATTGTGGGGACTGCTGCTGGCATGCCTGCGGAAATCCGCCTAGCTGACCCATCCTCTGACCTGCCCTGAGAAGCGGTTACCCTTCCCCATTGACCCGCAAGCAGCTCCTTCAGGCTATGTGGGATTGTTCTTCTGGGGTTTGCACGGGCGCTAGGCAGCTTGGTCAAACGGGCGTCCAAATTTCCCAGGATGGGACTATGTTTGGAGGGTTTGTGGTTCAATTATAATGGTGGCTTGACCTAGGCACCTAATGTTGCTTGGAGTACTACTAGTAGTAGTAGAAGTAATAATAAGTCATACTTTCCATAGTGAATCGCTTCCCATGAGGCATGAGTGCAGGCATCAGCGGTGGGGGCTGCCCAAGGATGCCTGCAAATGCCTTCTGCAACATTTCCTGATGGGTGGTATGGTGTTGGTGCAAGTGAAGCAGTGTGTTGACATTTTGTATTAGCCTTCATGTTCGTGTGTGCTAGGGTTAAGATGCGTCCTGACTGTTCAGAGGTTTGACTTCTACAGAATAGTTCAAAAATGAACTCGATTGGACATAGGTACACATATTTTTTTTTTTTTAAAGGCATCCTTCAAAGTCTATATGTAGTAACTGCTTTACCAGAGACCTTTAAAGGTAAAGGAACCCCTGACCATTAGGTCCAGTCGTGACCGACTCTGGGGTTGCAGCGCTTATCTCGCTTTATTGGCTGAGGGAGCCGGCGTACAGCTTCCAGGTCATGTGGCCAGCATGACTAAGCCACTTCTGGGGAACCAGAGCAGCGCATGGAAACGCCGTTTACCTTCCCGCCAGAGCGATACCTATTTATCTACTTGCACTTTGACGTGCTTTCGAACTGCTAGGTGGCCAGGAGCAGGGACTGAGCAACAGGAGCTCACCCCGTCATGGGGATTCGAACCGCCGACCTTCTGATCAGCAAGTCCTAGGCTCTGTGGTTTAACCCACAGCGCCACCCACGTCCCTTGGCAGAGACATTTACTATGGGGTAAAAGAGACTGTCCCTTGGTAAATCAGCCCAGTTGGAGCATATTATCATGGCCACCACCTTGAAAGCCACTAGAACCACGTCAGTTTAGCAGCAGTTATAGAAGCAAGAGTTTGGCATAGAAGTTCCATGCTGACTGCTGTTTGGATTGAGTAGTGCTGAGGTCTCTTGCGTTCTGTGGGGAATCTTGCCTATGTTGCTTTCAGTACCTTCTCTGCCTTATGTGCTGCAGTTTGATCTGCAGATGTTAGTGAAGCAATGATTATTATCTCTGAACCATGAAAAGCTTCACTTGTGAATGTCTGCAGAAGTTAAGGGCTGGACAGCAGACCAGGCAGAATTTCTGGTCATTTGGCAACCTTAAAATGAGCATTTCTGTGACATAGCGTATTTTTCTGTCTATAAGACATCCCCATGTATAAGACGCCCCCTATTTTGGGGGACTCCGATTTAAGAAAATGGGAGAGATCTATCTGTGTATAAGACACCCCCAAATTTTGGACATTATTTGTTAGGGCGAAAACCTAGTCTTATACACAGAAAAATACGGTAATTTCATTCTGCAATGTTGTATAATGCAGAAGAAGAAACAGGGAGCCAAAACCTAGCAAAAAATTCTGCTGACATTTGCAGTCGGAAGGTTTCAGTCATGCTTTGTGAGCAGTTGAAACGACAGCTTTACTACATTTTAAATAATATAATGTGATGTGATGGGCTGATAATTAAATAGCTGGATTAACTGCTTTTTGTATAAAACTTCATTTTTCAATGTATTTCTCTCACTCCACCACCAGAGCTAAATGTTCTCATTTAAACTTTCTTCGAAAAAACCCCCAGACAATTTACCCAATAGGAATTTTGTTGTGCCCCTCAAGACCCCATATATATGATGGATGAAGACATCGCATTCAAAGAGGCTATGAACTAGTTTCTCAAGGGAAATAAGCAATTAAAACTAGAAGTGAAATATTTGTGAATATATCATATAGGGAGCTATTTTTCTTTGGGTACAGTGTGGATTAGGTGTAATTGGTCTTTCCCCCCTCTCTAATTTCTGTAATAATAAGCAGATGCATGGAATGAATAAAGGATTAAATTGATTCTTGGCTCTCTGGTGGAACTAATAAAATCGCAAGCTGAATACTTGTGGTTTAATGATCTCAGTGCAGCTCTTCTAATGAATCACAGCCTTGTATTCATGCAAGGAACATTTATTATTCTGTTATTTCGGTTGTCTTAATTTAGGAGAGATTTCACCTTTCACTTAAAAGAAAAAGAACCTACAGATTCTTCTCATTAGAAGAATCAGTTTCATGTAGTGTGGAAAAACACCTGCACTTTATCATCTCCTTTGTCCATTCCTCAGTAGAGTCTTATACATAAGAATTAGCTAGACAGTTAGCGCTTCCTTTCCTTTCCTATTTCAATTGTGCTGTCAGTAGGACTGATTCTCTACTGCTACTTCCTTAAACTACTTCCAAGGCAACCAGGAATAGTGAGCCATGCCAGCCAATCAGCCTCTTGGGACACACAGAAATCAGCGTATGTACAGCCAATCTAGAAATATAGAGCAATCTTCATGTTTAGCACATTTAATGAAAAATATGCACGACTTTTAAATATAAAAGATGGCCACGGTTTTTAACAGAACTGTAAGTGGTTTGAAACAGTTTGAAAAGCAAGCAAGTAGTGTTTGCTACAGTTTCTAAACTCTCATTTAGAACATTCCGAAATGTCTCAGATCTGTTGTTTTTTGGACTGTTGCAGAACTCTGCGGTTTGTACCAGAAGGCTCTAAAGACAAAATGGTTTCTGATGAAGATGTACTTCAAGCACTCCTGAAAACTTTCACAGCTTTATTTGTAAACGACTTGAGGAGACAAACATTTCTTCTTAGCTTTCTTCCAAAAGTTAAATCCAGATACCTGGACCTGCAGAAAGCTCAGCCTGAGACAAACCAAACAATTGATGACAGCCGTCAGAATCAAGTCATCTTCAATCCAGAAGACGTTCTCCTTCACACTTTAGGATTCAGCATTGCTCGAAGGCATAGCTCACTTGTTTCTGCTGGAACAGGAGTCTTTGTAACGAAAGGTTTTGTTCCAAAAGGAGCAGTTGTATCTATGTATCCTGGTATGGAAAGAATGTATTTACAAATACATAAACATATGATCTCATTTTTTGCTGAGTCAGACCATTAGCCCGTCTTAATTAGTGTTAGCATAATTGACTGTGTTTTCATGTCGCGCTGAACCATAAAAGTATTGTTTGTTAAAACATCCTGCACAAACTGCACGCTGGCCAAGTATTCCTAGTTTGTGCCTCCTTTCCTTCATTGAGGAAGCAAAACGTGCAGTGGCTGGCTTAGTGTTAGTTCAGACAAACCACAACTGAAGCCAGCTTTCTTCGCATAATGGTTTAACAGACCATACTTATGGATAAGCGTTACATGGCAATGCAGCCACTGAACTGACTGCAACTCCCCAGGGTCTCAGCAGAGGGCTCTCACGGATTGAATCCAGGAGTTTTTGCATGCGACATGCATTCTGTCACTGAGCTGTGGCTGATCACTGAGAATCCTTAGAAGAGGATTTCTATGTTCTGTGATTGAGAAAAAACCATTTAAACCATGAGGCAATCTGGCAAACCCAAGCCAGAAAGCTTTGAAACTTTTATTCAGAACTGTTGGGTTGGCCAGATGGAAAAGAGGACAGTTGAAATTCCCTCTTTTACACACTATCAAAGGTACAAGAGCCCTGTTCCTCTTTAAGGCCCTCTGGTGCCTGTTTCTAGCAGTTTAGTTTCAGTCTGTGTAAAGTTGTCACCTTATTTATGACAAGGCATGCTGGCGAGGAATCCTATTTGGAATAAGGGAATTTCCCTTTAAAAAAGGGAAACGTTGACAGCTATGGGTCACTCTGTCATTTATAGCTGCATGCCAGGATGACATTCAGCAAGGGACATTCAAGCACCTCCATGCTACACTTTTTGTTCTGCTCTTCTGAACATATTTAAAGGTCAAGAGGCCTGTCAGAAAAGACTCATTTGCCCCCAGATATCATGCCCTAAAATTAGTATTTATAGTAATAATAATACAGTGGTACCTCGGGTTACATACGCTTCAGGTTACATACGCTTCAGGTTACAGACTCCGTTAACCCAGAAATAGTACCTCGGGTTAAGAACAGAAATCGTGCTCTGGCGGCAGCAGGAGGCCCCATTAGCTAAAGTGGTGCTTCAGGTTAAGAACAGTTTCAGGTTAAGAACGGATCTCCGGAATGAATTAAGTACTTAACCCGAGGTACCACTGTAGTAGTAGTAGTAGTAGTAGTAATAATAATTTTTATTTATTTATTTAACCCCATCCATCTGGCTGGGTTTCCCCAGCCACTCTGGGCAGCTTCCAACGACGATTAAAAGTACATTAAAACATCAGTTATTAAAAACTTCCCTAAACAGGGCTGCCTTCCAGTGTCTTCTAAAAGTCAGATAGTTGTTTATTTCCTTGACATCTGATGGGAGGGTGTTCCACAGGGCAGGCACCACTACCGAGAAGGCCCTCTGCCTGGTTCCCTGTAACCTCACTTCTCACAGTGAGGGAACCACCAGAAGGCCCCTGGAGCTGGACCTCAGTGTCTGGGCAGAACGATGGGGCTGGAGATGCTCCTTCAGGTGTAAGAGAGAGAGAGAGCAATGTAGTAGTTTCTTAAACTTGGACTGTATGAATCTGGTTTCAAATTGCTATTTAACCATAAATGTATTTCCTAGGGTTTTAGACCACCCTTCATCCTGCTGGATCCCAGGAAGGTTCAAAATAAACAAATCAAACACAAAACCCTAACCCACAGCATAAGGAGATTTAAAAAACCCATTAATATTCCACTATACCAGTACATTCCTTTCCAAAATGCCTGAAAGAATGGAAAGGGGGGCGGGAATGTTTTAAACTTACGAGAAAAGAGAGATCCATGCATCCAGAGGGAAGAAGCTCCACAGGTGAAATCCCTGCACACAGAGAGTCCTAGCCAATGTCAACTGCCACAATGGACCACACCTGTTGTTGGGACCACAGGAAGGGTCTTTCTTGCAGATATCTAAACCCAGGCCAGCAGATGCAAAGAGAAGTATATTTGGTTCATGTGGGGGAAGAAAGCAATATTTTGCCATCCTGGACACTGAAGTTTTGTGATCTTCTTTTTTTTAATGGTACTAATTCTACACCCACCCACTGTTGTATTTCACAGAAAGCTTGATCTTTACATCAGGCTGAAGGAGTTTTGTGATTTGCAGTCTTTTGTTTGTGAGAAAATGGTTAGATCCACTCAGTGCGTTGCTTGAGACTGCCCATCTTGTTGATTGTGATTAGCTGGAATCTAAAATAGCCACTTTTGTCTCACACAGGCACAGTCTATGAAAAGTATGAGCCCATATTTTTCCAGTCCATTGGCAATCCATTTATATTTAGATGTATAGATGGGGTGCTTATTGATGGGAATGACAAGGGAATATCAAAAGTTATATACAGGTAGGTCCATAATAGAAAAATGTCGCCCCCAAGGTTTCACCCTTTGTACTTTTCTAAAAGTGTTTTTAAGTAAAACCAAAGAACTTGGAAGTCGTCTGTTTCAGGTTTTTATATGGAATAAAATGTTAGCCACAGATTTGGGGGTGAGTTTATTTTCTGGCCGTAGAACATAACCTTTTTTTGCAGTTGCACAGCTTTGATATTGGGAATGTACAAGTGGTTGTCTTATTTCCCTGTGACTTTTGTTAACATTTGAAAGAAGTTAACCTTGAAGGTCGGAGAACATCTGCCAATAAGATGGGTCCATAAAACCATATTTGACAAAACCTGTACTACTTTTACTGTAGAATATTCCACTGTTCCGTAACTCAATATTTACTTACAATTTGGAAGCTAACAGAAAAGCAGAAGCTCCATGTCTGCACAAATTTGAACTACAACAAAGTAATGGCAAAGTAGTGGGTTGTGCACTGCTTTTTATGGCTGACGTTGATTTGTATCCAGTGCTTGCAGATGTGAGAATCACTTCCTTTTCTGTATACTCACTAACAATATAATGTGTCGATTGTTGATGTGCTGGTCTCATCTGTGGTAAGTTTTGTGCTTTGGAAAGGATTCCACAGATTTACACAGGTTAATATAGCTATGATGCTTGTGCCAGAAATTCACACAGTACTATATATTTATTTATAGCATGTTTACCCTGGAAAGGCTCCTAGAGTGATTTGAAAAAGATCAATAACAAACAAGATAGTCCTGCCCTCAAGCTTGCAATTTAAAAGACAAGACACAAAAGGAAAAGGGGGGAGGAGGGAGGAGGGAGGAGGAAAACAAGCAAAATCGGACATAAACTCTTAATTTACATCTTTATTGCAGTCCAGGGAGAAAAGGAGTCAAATGATGCTGGTTTCTCAGCAGAACTGATAAGAGTGGGCCTTGCTGCCCCATTTCAGTCTCTGCTGCAACCAAATGGAATGGTTGTCTAGATAAGCACAAGTTCTTGGTTGTTAAGAGTATGATTTAAATATTAAATGTCTGGCAAGTATTCTTTGCATCTGCAAATATCTGCTGCAAAGTAACATCCTTGCCATCACAGCCCTTCCTTAGACTTGAGCGAAAACCTTTTTCGTTACCAAAAATGAAGGCACACAGCTTCAACGTGCAAGACCCACCAAGTTAAATGCAGCCCATCAGCTATGTATGAAAGTCTGGCAGATGCTTGACAACCATTCCTTAATCTGAAGTGGAACGTATGTGCTGTGTATTCAGCTGAATGGGCAGCGTTTGATTTGCTATGTCTCAAGTTCTGTAGAGGATCAAATTGTATTTGCTACTTACGGGTGCTGAATAGGATGTAGGTAATGAGTAGCATAGTCTTAGCAAATGAATTTAATTTGTGGGGTGTGAATGTACCCGTGTTTGCTTTGAAAAGATATGATTGCTCAAGAAGATGTCAAAATTGGGGTTTGTTAACGCTGTAAGTTTTTTCAGGTCATGCAGCAAGAGAGATCAGATTGGTCCTTTGAAAATGAGTGATGTATTTTGGCTTACAACTGGTCTGCAGAATCCACTGGCAGTGGGGCAGTATGTTAACAATTGCTCACCTGGTGAGTAGGAAACAAACTTTTTCCTAGACTAGATTCGGGCACCTTAAAGACCATCATGTTGAGTTCTCCAAGGATACAACTTTATGGGAGATTAATTTCTGGCTCACTGCTACCAAGCTACCAGTGTTGCTTCTAATCTGCAGTTTGGGTGAATGCTGAGACCCATCTTTTACATAGAGGGAAGTGGTACATCTCCATATAATATTTATTGTCAGGTCGGATTTACTTCATTCACATGGCTACATCAATGAGGATGCCCCACATAAATGGTTTTAGAGCATCTGAACAGGATTTCTGTTATAATAAATAATGCAAGTGATGTAAAACAATCCAAAGGATACATTAACTGAGAGTTGCACCAATATTAGTGCATCTCATCTTTTTCAATATTTTTCCTCTCTTATTTTTCCATCAGATAAAGCAGCCAATGTATGCTATCAGGAATTTGACGTACCTGAAAATTTTCCTATAGAATTTAAACAGTATCTTCCAAACATAAACTACTGTCATGAGATACAGAGGTGAGAAGTTTAATCAAATACTTGTTACAATCTCATAGATTGGATTAAGTTTGATAATTTGACTAGCTCATTAATGTCAAATAGGTCACATATTTAAACCTTCACTTATTGGAACCTAAAGAAAGAAAAACTGGTGTGTGTTATGCATGTATAAGTGCATGTGCATAATAGTATCTGAAATTCCTCCACTATGCAATCTGCAGGCCCCTGAGATGTGTCGTTCTGATTGCTCTCCAAGACATTGGACCAGGAGAAGAGCTTTTCTCAAACTATTACACAATTATCAATTGAGCCTGAGGAGCCACTGATTGACCAGTTTTAATCTCCTGAGGTATTTTTTACTGAATGCATACTTTGTGGCACTGAGGGGTTTGGTGCATCCTTTTGGCTGAGCCTTTTAAGAAAAGAAAAATTAGTGCAAAATTAGTGGTTTATGCAGTGTTAAAACAGTGCCTGCAACCATCAGTGTTCTTCAGCCTATATATTTTCTTACTATTGTATCTTAGGATTTGCTTCTGTTCCTTTTTAGGTACCTTACAGAGTTTATATTAAGAAACATAGTATGCTTTGTAAGTTTGATTGCTTTAAATCAGTGGTGGGGAACTGGTACTGACCTGTAGGCCGGATTTTTAATTACCCCACCCCACTGTGGGCCCACTTTGACATGTAAAAGCACCGCCTACCTCAGGGGTAGGCAACCTAAGGCCCGGGGCCGGATGCGGCCCAATCGCCTTCTAAAGCCAGCCCACGGACGGTCTGGGAATCAGCGTGTTTTTACATGAGTAGAATGTGTGCTTTTATTTAAAATGCATCTCTGGGTTATTTGTGGGGCATAGAAATTCGTTCATCATTCCCCCCCCCCAATATAGTCCGGCCCACCACATGGTCTGAGCTGGAAAAGCTTGTTGACATCTGATCTACCTGTTAGCCACATTACATTATAGTGATTTCAGGTGACTGATAAGTTATCAGGGTTCGAAGTGGATCAATGTACAGGCTGGCCAGCTTAACGGCAATTACAGCCTTCCTTTGAAGATGGGCAGTCAGATGATTGGCGCTGGGAGTGTGTCTTCAAAAGGGTGTCTGGAGAACAAGAACATTCCACTTTCACGAACCCCTGTGGATTCAAACCACTTCCTGAAAGTGGACTTCACAAGTACCTCCCTGAAGTCACCAATCCACTGAGAAGTTGTTACAATAAGCCTCTTTGAGCCTGCCCTCTCAGCACCATGTCACTGCTGATCAACTATTTTGCTTCTACCTACAGAGACATCCATTTGGCGGAATCGCACTGCCTGAAACTCTGGATCAACACAGACATGGGAAGATGTTCCTGCATAAGTACTAGTTGACATGAACAAGTTATGCAGTTGAGCAGGGCCTGCACTAGAGAATTTCCAAGTGGATTGGCACCATACTTTGTACTTTCCACACTTGGGATTCCGAAAAACTTTTATACAGATGCATACTGCCTCTAATGGAACATAGACATGGATGGCCTTCTCCTCCATGAACTTGTATGATTTTTTAAAGCCAGTCATGTTGGGAGCCATTGCTGCATTTTACAAAAACTAATTCCATAGTGTAACTAGGTGCTGTGCACTTTATTCTATCCATCCTGAATCTTCCAACATTCAGATTCATCGGATGGCCCCAAATTTTAGAATTAGTGGGAGAGAAACCTCTCTATGCAATCAGAATGTAGTCTTGTCTGAAAATATAAATCTGGTTCTTTATGGATTAGAATCTGAACATCTGAAAACTTCTTTTAAGATAACCCTGTGTGTTCAAATATACTAAAGTGACAAATGTTGCAGAGGCATGAAAACTTTCACAAAAGAAAAAGGGTTTCCAGACATTTATTTCTGGAACTGTACACCAGGTATTAAAGTACAACAAATACAAAATAATGTTCAAAAAAATCAGTGTTTATGTACAAATATTAAAACCAATGCAACAATAGCAACTTCCTCTTGGGCATCCAATACTAAAACTGGTTGCGATTGTCACTAATTTATTTTGCTATGCACAGGGGATTCCAACCTGAATCTAGGAATGACTGGAATTACTGGTTGCTTCAGGAAGGACTGCAGACCTTAACTGTTAGCAAAAAAAAAACTACTGAGAAGTTTTCCCGCTCACATGGAAAAATCATAACCATGATACTATGTAAATTCAGTTTCTCATTTATAGACAATGTGCTTTTAACACTGGGCAAACAGTCTTCTATTGGTCAGTTTATCCACTAGTTTACATTCAAACTTGAAATACCCACTAAAGACTTTGGTTAAAATTAAACTGTATTTCTAATACACTACTGGATCTGAAATTAACATATGGTTTTGACTTGGTTTTATAAGGAAACTGTACATATCAACCCAATCGTACACAATTTAGTATACTTCAGACAGTATTGTACAGCCTTCAAGTAAAGTCAGCGGTTTGACCATAACAAGAGGGGAAAAATAAGCATTTAAAAAGCTAACGATGAGAAGATGAAATGACTTAACAAAAGTAAAAGTATTGCTCTAATCACAGCACCAGTTACACTTCTATGTGAATCAGCTATCCTTTTCAGAATCCCTGTAGTTAAGTGATACATCTACCAAACTGCAATTGCCCATGATGGATTTTTGGTTTGTTTTTATGAAAAAGGAGAGGAGAGATAATATATTCAGCAATGAACCATGAAGTCATCACAGTTTGTTAGAAGAATTGTGCTTTACCCACACTGAATCAAGGCAATGTAGATTTCTTCATATGGTTGCAATTCTGCCATCTTCATGCTCTCCCTCAAACGCAATTCTTTTAATAAACAGTAACAAGTTCTCCATTTAAAATGTTTAACACAGAGAAAAACAGGTTAAGTCCAGCTTTTAAAAGAAAAATTCAATAAATAGCTATTTTACATGAATAAAGTCATAGTGGTACAAATTTATGAATGTCACATCAAGCATGCACAAAATGTTACTATACACAGAAGTAGTCAGAAAATATTGAAATAGATATCTAAAAAGATATGCAGAATGTACATATTTACATAATCTTGCAAATTATTGCCTCATTTTAACAAGGAATTAAAAGTAAACATTACCAGCTAGCTAGCCAACAGGCTAAATTAGATCAGCAATTAAAATCTATTAAAACTAGCCGGAATTCATTGTTCTTTCATACCATTTCAGAATTTTGGTCAAAAGTCTTTATTAAATAACTAAAGTGTCCATTCAACTTGCTGACAATCAAAACTTTAGACGAGAAACTAGACTCTCGGTCTTCATTAAGACCCCAGCAATGCATAGATAAACTGAACGTAGTACTGCATCAGCTAATGAGAATGGGTGTTGTCATTTAAGTGCAACTGGTATAAGCATTCAGACATGGTGTAATGATTTTTATACAGACCAGCCACTGTAAACCCATAAACTTGAATGTATAACACAAAAAGAATATGGCCAGTTATTTTACAAAATTATCTGTGATGAGTTGATTCAAAAACAAAAATGAACAAAGATACAGAGTTCAGCACAAATCACAGCAACAAGAAGCCGACAATTTGGCTAAAAGCGTCAGAATACAACACAGGGCCAAGGCTACCCCATTATTGACTGTGTACTTATTAGAATGACAGCTTTTAGATGTATATTTCAGAACACATCACCAACAGCAACTTTTGTCCACTGTGCTAAATTAATTTGCTAAAATGTTACGTGTGCTATATTAACTCTTTGAAGCCATCTTTGTTACAATGCCATGAAGAACACACAGCACTTTGCTGCATCTCAAACTCAGGATGTCAATGCAGTTCACAGTATGTAGAATAAATACCCTCCCTTTGAAGTATTAACTAAGGCATCTGCTTTCTCTATTTATGCAGTGCAACCATGAAATCATTACTACCAACACTGAAAAGTTTACTCTTTTCTTTAAAAAAAATTGCAATATTTTAAAAAGGAAATTAAATATACATAGTGGCCAGTGCAAAAATAGACATGTTTTACTGCATGTCAATTGTATTGTTGGAAAATTCAACATTTTTGTGTCATTCGGGACACATAGCTAACACCTTTTGATTAATATTATAAATGACAGGCAAAGCTAGAATGAAAGGTTAAGCAATAAACATAAAACAGCTATAACAAAGATTCCTCTCCGGAACATGAAATGCAATCCAAGGAAAAAAAATACATCCATACTTGAAGATGCTTCAAAGTTGTGTATCATCTATGAATCTAGAGTCCCTCATAAGTTTAACACATTGAACTGCAGTGCTCTGAACTTAAGGCAAGTCCTAAGATGTAAACCATTAGTGGGAAATCCTAAGCTGTACCCTCACCTCTCAGTGGCCTTACGAAAAGTTACATAACATTTGATGTTTTCACATTACACTCCTCAGAAGTGTGGACAACTTCCCCACCCCACCTCAACAGTATACTGTATCATTTCAGCCAATAGGTTTACATACAGAAATCTGTGTAATTGTATCTGTGTAAGGTAGCCATGGCCTATAATTTGGTAAGAGCATCCAAACACGTTTTTTAGACAGTGCTCCTACAGTCCTTTGTGCTAGTATCCATCAAGATGAACCTGTTGTTCTGTAAACTGAAGTGCTCTGGTTTAGTATGAGAGAAGGTTCCGCTTAAAAATATCATTGTATGTTTGTGCAGTTTAAATTAAAGAAACCTTTCCCTGCTTTTCATTAATTTTAATGCTACATTGAACAGGGATCAGGACTGGTACCTGTAAACAATCGCTTTTCCACTGCATCCATTACGGCAGAAGCAACTTAGACTAAAAAAGCCACTCCAATCAGTTCAGAATTTCTGTGCTGGTTTTGAGACATCAGTCTCTGTTTACAGGTTTAAAAAAGAAAGAGGAAGCAGAGCTTAAAGCTGCACCACAGAGTTCTCTTAGTCCCCAAACTCTGCTAAACGTCGTATGAAGTTTCCACATTTATGGATTGGAAAAAAGTGAAAATACTCTTGATAAATCAAGATATAGTTCTGTACATAAAGACATCACTGATGTCACATAGTTCAAACTTCCAGTGAAAGACTATGCAAACCTGATCGTTCCCATCAAGTTTACCATAAACCACCAACAGTGTCCACTGTCTCTTCAGTTTGCTGATAAAATTCATTCTGAATGGAGGGCAGTGTGCTGGTGTAATGCATGAGCACTAATAAAGCCATTTGTCTCGTTTGCAGATAGACTGCTAAAGTCAGCCACTGAGACTGCCATTTTGGCACTGGTAATGTGATGCGTGTGATTCTCAAAATCAACACCCAAGTTATTCACAGAAACATCATTCATATACGATTCTGGGACTGCAATTCCCATTTTTAGTCTCTTGGCAGGCCTTTCAGACTCCTCGTTGCACATGTTCATTGGGTTTAACTCGGAGTGATAAAATCCAGTCTCAAATAAATTAAAACAATCACTTTCACCATTACTAGGCAAGTTAAGCAAATCTTCTGTTACAACAGGCACATGATTAACTGCTGTCCGAGGCAAGCTGTCCAGAGGTGGGAAGGCATCATCTAAGCAGTTCACATCTGTAGAGTGGCAGACTGTGGCTACACTGTTGGTCAGTGCTAGAAGAAAGAAAAGCAATATTAGCCAAAATGTCACCATTATCCTGACATACAGCAGCAACAAGCTATTCCAAGACATCATCCGTGCACCCTTTAATTTACCTGTCAAATCATTGGCAGTGATAGAGCTCAGAATGCTTAGCTGTTGGTCAGGCGTGGGCTCCGATCTGCTGTTTGACGTTATGGCTGAAGAATGTACAGCTCCACCAAGAGCTTCTGCTTCATCTACCAACCGGTCCATATAGTCCCTGGAACGACAGTGATCATCTTAAGGCAAGTAATTTAACTGACTATAATCGGAGGATATGCATCTTCAGAACAGCATCAATGCCATATTATAACATGGGTGTGATGTTCTAGAGGAGAAAATCACAAAACACAAAAATAAAGACTTTCAAGGTCTTTGAACTTACGTGACTCCAGGATGGTGGTTGTATCTCTTTTTTCCAAATCTGGTTTGCTGTGCAAAGTAATCGTATCGTTCAGATTTCTTCCACGTGTAGTAAAATGCTACACATTCAGCAACTGTTCTTGTTCTCACCTAAAAAGAATTGGCACATTCAAGTCTTGATATTGATATCCATAATAAATCTGTACATGGAAATGCCGACTTCCTTCTGAAAGAGCTGGCAAAGAAGGACCTGACTCTCCCAATAAATTAATATAATCCTGAGGGACTCATAGTGTTGAATCATAGAATCGTGCCCCAATTCACATTGTGAAAGCCAACAATATTCTAAGGATTCTTAAATTGGAGAGACTTGTTTGTATGATGTAGTAAGAAGATACTTAGTACATAATACAAAAAACTTGTGGTTGGCTATTAGCATGCTGAGAGGGAACAGGGAGGATAAGGATGCCAAATTCTGGCTCATTTTGACTGGGTGCAGAATTCATAGGCTGGTTCATTGCTACAAAAACAAGAGAATACGCCCCTGCAACTAGAGGTCTGAATCATCCAGATTCTGCTCTAGTTCCACAGGAGCTTTTCTAGTAAAAAAAATCAAGTCATATGTAGTTTTCCGGTCATGCCTTCTTCAAAGAAGGATGTCACTTGTGGCCCTCCAGATCTTGTTGAACTTTAACTCCCACCACCTAATGATAGGATACCAACTGCCAGGAATGATGGGAGTTACAGTTCACTAACATATGGAGAGCCACAGGTTCCCCTTCCCTGTCACAAAGGTTTCTTATTAAAAACCCCTGAAAGCACCTGGAAAAAGTTATGACACACTTTCTGAAAACCTTCCTCTCCTGGGTCTTGGGATGGAGAAATGGCAGGAATAGATTTAGAAAAAAGGAACATGTCTGTAAACACAACTCTCAGCTTGGTAGACAAGCCTCCTTCCCATTTGGATGAAGAGACTGTCTTATTGCTCTATGTGGCCTGCTTTCTCCTGTTTCCAGATTGGCAGATGCTATCTGGGGAACAAAAAGGGTAGTGGCATTAAGTTGACTTTATGCGCCACTGAGACATCTTCCAACCAGCTGCTGGGATAAGCATATGAATGAACTGGTCCCTCCGTTAACAGTAATGGGCCAGCAACCCTGGAGAGGAAATGAGGGATCAACTGCATAGAGAAAAAGAGGATACACAATTTCGAAAATCTAGCCATGACCAAGACACAGAACCCAGCAAATCAGGAAACCCAGGAAATGGCTCTTAGCTAGCTAATAAATTGCTGAGTCCATCAGACTCAACAATGCTTCTATGGTAAAGAAAGGGCCACAATCCACCTGAGAGTTAGAAAATTATCTCATCATGTCTCATATTTTACTTGCTGCTTTTATAATGTTATGTCATCCATGAGTCCAAAGAAAATATTAACAAAGAGTTGTTATTTATTGTGCATTAACAAGTTTGTTGTGGAATAAGCATTTATGAGCCAGAGCCCACTTTGTAAAATGCATCTAACTTGTTCATCAGCAAATATCAACTTTCTGATTTCAGAACAAAAGCAGAAGTAGTTACTAGTGATGCAGAACAGCTGTAGTAAACTAGATATTTTCCCTCTTTTTGCCTCAAACAATAACTTAGTTCTTGTATAAGGTAATGTTATAGCAGTAGAGTAAATGAATACAGCATCAAGTTTGTTTGCTTTTAAAAAAAGTATAAACATTCACAGTAATGACATTCCACTACAGACTGCTTCATACATAGAGGCTGACTCATTTACTAAATGAACAGATTTACAACGTTTGTAATACATTTAACATGCCAATGGCCAGTCAGTAACAATATGCTGTCTATACATCTCCGATTTTAAAAACACAAGCACCATTTGTTTCATTTATTTGTATATCAACATACCTTATTTTTTTGTATGAGATGAAAATCTTTCCCATAAATCAGAAGTGCATGTTCAAAGTTTCTACATTCTTCTTCTGTCCAGGCTGTCATCTCTTAAGAAGGACAGAAAGGACAATTAAGATTGATGGTCTGTTCAAATTAATAGCCATTCCACCCTCCAGCACGTGGACAGCAAAGAAAACTTCACCCACCCGGTAATAGCAATCCACAAGTGGAAAGCTAACACCTAGCAGTAAGAAGACCATAGATGTAGAACTACATATGTTACTCCATTTGGGTTCATGGGAAGCAAGCTTATTCTGGACTACACAGTTTTTGCTTCTTTTTTAAAAAAAGTTCAACATACTCACATTCTTATGGGATGCTCAGCTATTAGCTCTACTGTACTACTTTTGTGCAACCAATGACAATCATATTTATGGCTATTTTAGTTCAAGCTCAAGACAAATAATAATAATGCTAATTTGCATTACCTGAAAAATAGAGCTTAAGACCTAAAGCTCCTATGAGTAAAATTCCACTCACAGGATGCTCCTGCTGTACGAAAAGGAGAAGGCAATTTTTGCCAATTCTTCCTTTCACACTTACTGAAAAGCTGTTTTGGAGAGTTGAGGATACAGGATGGAAATAAAGGAGCAAGGTGCCTGACTCTGTTAACTCATTGAAGGTAGAATCAGAACTGGAAGTTGAAAGACGATTACTTCCACTTCTGGCTGGCCACAGAAAATTTCAAGAATGCCTTTTGACTGCCTCCACAAGGAGTTAAGTCCTCTGCTGCCCAAGAATGAATTGTCTTCCAATATCTAATTACATGAACCTTCCAGCTGTTACTGATGGCAGTATAAATGATCTGTTCTACTGTTACAAACTGTTGAGGAACTGGGGTAGATGACTTGCCACCTCAACTCATTTCTGCACTTTTCAACTTAAAACCATTTAAACCATTCTTATAGCACAATCCTATGCTTGTTTACTCTGAAGTAAGCTCCACAGAGTTCAATGGACTTACTCCCACTTAAGCAAGTAAAGGTTTGTAGCCTCAAACTCTTTGCAGAGATTTCTTACCTTGAGATGCCTTTCCATTGGAGCAATATCTCTCAATTGCTTCTTTTACGTTGTGGTTACATTTGAAAAGTTCATAGAGTGCCTAGGTGAGATTAAAATACTTATGGTTAAAAGAAGTCAAAAGTATACAGTAGAATGGTTATACTCCCATGCCAACCAAAAATTGTTTACTTTATTATAGTGCAATTTCTCAAAATATTTATCATTAATATAAAGATTATATGAACACCAGAACAGGGCTGTGTCCAGTGGTTTCTCTCTGCCAGAACAAGGACTCTTGCACTGGCAGACAGGTGCGTTTGCAAATTGAGCAAGAGTAATCCAATGCAATAGTTAGGCTAGCGGAAACTCATTTGTGCAACAGATTTCCCAATCTACTGTGCAACAAAGTTACCAGCAACATGTTTGTATGTTATTTTGCACAACAATGTCCTGCTGGCACAAAACATTTTGCCAACAAGTGTACCTCTACACAACTCTAACTACACTGGAGACAACCCAGTGTCCAAAATATTGTGCCTCGTGAGAATTAAAAAAAAAATAAAGAATGGTGGTTGCTGCTGAAGAAGTTTCCTGAAAGCTCAAACTGGGGATTTTAAGATATGGAAAGCAGCAAACACACATAAAAGTATGAAAGATCGTTGCCTCAAAGCACTTGGAGAGGAGGAGTGCTGGGGAGCCCCGACTGGCTGTACCTGCCACCATAGATTTGCTGTGTGTATAGGGATGGATCTGAATTCAAATTATGACAATCCATTAGCGAAACAAACCAATTTGCGCTTTTGGTAAATTTACTCTTTCAAAACCTATTAATTTTTAAATGACAGTAAGCTTTTCATCACCCAAGAATAAGGATCCTTGGGAGGAGGGAGTTGGGGGGAGGTGAAAAAGGTAAGGATATTTCGTTTATAAAAACTTTTGGAAATATTCTGACATGTCATAGCATAAATTTCAGTGTGATGAAAATAAGCCATTCTTACAATTGTTTGTTAATATAAATGTATCAAAATGTAGCTTTAAATCAAATGAAAGCAAAAAGATTTGAGTGGTCTTTTCTTGTAACATAAGCAGAGAAAAGCCCTAGTCATATGTTCAGGTAAGAAACATACCTGTTCATTATCCCTTGTATGCATTCCCTCAGGAATTCTGCCAATCGTTTTTTCATTTCCAGTTCTTAAAGAGGTCTCAAAAAGGTACTCTCTAACTTTATTTTCTGAAATCATATCAGGCTGCCAAAGTAGCTGGTCTTCATTTTTATATGCTGTGAAAAAAAATCATTGGAACACAAATGATAGGAAATACTCTTCAGTAACATAAAAGCAAAATATTTGAAAATAAGAGCATATTGGCCACAAAAATAAAGATGTAAGAGACTTAGCCATTAGACAGATCGTGTAAAAGAGAGCTAATGAAAAACAAACATCCTTTAAAACTATTGGTGAGTAATCATCCTCCACAAAATGTCAAATGGGGCAAGTGAAATGGGTATAAAACTTGTCAAACCTAATAATCAAAAGTTGCAATTAACTTTTTCAGGTGACTCTCACCAAGAAACACATGCAGAACTTCAGGCATGCTAAAATTAGAATATTAAAGGCCAGATTTAACTAATTACTCCCACTAGTGTAAGCCCACACAAGGACAGTGATTTCCCCCCTCTCCTCCTCCCATGTCCCCCCGCTAAATTGGCTTGGGGTGTGTGCCAGGAGAACCCCCAAAACAGCATGCATAGAGAGGAAAGGGGTGATCATTCTATCTCACAAGTTGAAATGTTTGTACTAATGAAATGATTGCTATAGTGCTGTGTTGAGTTCTTACCTAAGTGGTTTCTATGCCTTTTTCCTTAACATCTGAATAATATACATCAGCATTAAGACTGAGTAATCACATTTAAGATGCATTGACACGTAGTCGAGTAAAAACAATGTCAAAGTTAAAGTTTGAATTTGTTTAAATGTAACATTTAAGCCACACTTTAAAGATTTTAACTATAAATCAAAATTTAAGAAAAATAATAAATATTTCAGTTCAACCACTTTGGGTTATTGAAATTTTTTTTCAGGTTTTATTCAGCACATAAAAGGAACATGGTGTACTCTTTATAAAACTGTGTTTACTAATCTCACTTAAGCTTAGTGCTTAGTTTTATGAAGATAAAATCTAATTCTGAACAGAAGCTCTGATGATTCATTGCTTTCTGGGCACAATTCAAGGCCATAGTTTTAATCAAAATAATCCCAAGAAGCCTTGGGATGGCTCCCCTTTATCACATACACAGCCCAACAAGACAACAACAAGAATCCACCAACAGCATACGCATCAATATGGCTAACCTGATCCAAAAACACACACCCCAAACTCACACATGAAAACAAAGTTCACCGCAGCCAATCACAAACAAACAACCACACCCTGGGCCAACCCCAACCTCTCTCACCACCAAAGGAACACAAGGGAATGGCAAAGAGAACCTGCACAAGCGACGCTGACACAAAACCCCACACATACATTAAATGGAACGCCCTCCCACCAGATGTCAAAGAGAAAAACAACTACCAGACTCTTAGAAGACATCTGAAGGCAGCCCTGTTTAGGGAAGCTTTTAATGTTTAATAGGTTATTGTATTTTAATATTCTGTTGGAAGCCGTCCAGAGTGGCTGGGGAAATTCAGCCAGATGGGTGGGGTATAAATAATAAATTATTAGTAGTTGTAGTACAGTGGTACCTCGGGTTAAGAACTTAATTCGTTCTGGAGGTCCATTCTTAACCTGAAACTGTTCTTAACCTGAAGCACCACTTTAGCTAATGGGGCCTCCTGCTGCTGCCGTGCCGCCGGCGCACGATTTCTGTTCTCATCCTGAAGCAAAGTTCTTAACCCAAGGTACTATTTCTGGATTAGCGGAGTCTGTAACCTGAAGCGTCTGCAACCCGAGGTACCACAGTAGTAGCAGTAGTACTAGTAAAATAGAAACATTGCCACCCGACCCCACCCCTACCCACCATGGCCCCCTCCACCTCTTCCCCCCTTTTCTTCCTAATGTAACACTAATGTCTCAACAAATGAAACTGATCTGTAGAAAATGTAACTTGAAAAAAGAGACATTGCACATACTTCTGTAAACCAAGAAATCTTTAATAAAAAACACATTTTTAAAAAAACATAGTCCCAATGAGCCTGAAACCCACAAAACATTAGGGAGCACACTGAGATGCCTCCTATTGTGAAGACCTGCTCCAAATACCCTACGTGGTACTGAATCAGAGAGGAGCACAGTTTTCATTAATGTGCCACCAATCTTCTCCTTACTGGAGAAGCCTGACAGAACATGACGTGGCAAATTGTGGGGGGGCGGGGTGGGGTACAATGACAGACATAAGACTAATGGCCACACACTCTGAGGGGAAATAAACCACAAGACCTTTAAATACACCCAGGAACACTTGAAGCAAGCTAAGCATGGAGGCACACCACTCACATACACATCCGACACGCAAGACGCACAAGCTATTCAGCAATTAAATCAGGCCAGAAGAGCAGGTGCAACATACAAGTCTGCTTTAAGCAAGACAGGAAAATGGACTGTCCAAGGGGAGGGATGCCTCATAGATTCCATCAGACTGCCTTTAGGTAACAAGGACTACTCTCACCTGATGTTTTCCTAGTGCCCATTCAAAAAAAGATGCCATGCTGCAAGGGTGCCAACAACCCTCTCTCCCCCTTGCCAGGACTACAAGGAACTGTTGCTGTATGGCAGAACTGCACTGGTGCCAAAATGCTAGCATCTCATCCTATGTTGCTAAATCAACAGCCCGGAAAATCGTTAGCCATCTTCCACATATCTTTGCCCGACTAAATGCTGTTACAAATACTGTATTGTTACAAATACAATCTTCAGTGTCGGCCGGCAGTAAAGGATGTGCTAGCTGTTACATTCAAAGTGGTTTTTTCCCATGGGAAGTCTTCCTGTGTTCTACAAATATTTTTGCATTCTTTGCCCTATGTTTACAAGTTTATGGAAGGCAACCTTGAGTCTAGCTTTCATGTATCTAAGAATTTATAATGAGATGACTGCAACCGCTTCTGTGCTGCTTTTCAGAAAACAAAGTGCTTCATAATACACCAGTAAGACTCAAAACAACCCTGTGAAGGAGGGATAAGGCTGAGATAGTAAAACACAGCTGGTGAGCTCCATGGATGAGTGATACTTTAGAAACTGGATGTCCAGAATCCAAATGCATTACTCCATTCCCTGCACTGCCATGGCCCTTTGACATTTCAATATTCTACCCTGAGAGTATTGCAACTACAACTTTTCAAAATGCAATTTTCAAATCTTGATACAACGGTCACAAGGCAGTGTAAAAGTTTAAATAATATAATCATTAATTTAATCAAGAAAAATAATGGGAACTCACCCTTTTCATCATCGCTGCTGCTCTTGCCCAAATAAGGTGGAATTTCTGCTTGGTACTGTGCACCAATCATTATTTCCTGAAGAAACATTTTTTCAAAGTATTTAATTACACATTTATTCATATATAGCTCTCATAAAAAGCAATTGTAAACTAAATGGTGATTATCTAAACACCATCTTCTCTCCTTGCACAACATCCAACTTTCTCACTTCCAAGCGTACAAAGGGGAAGCAACAATATTTCTTTTGAGAGCTGCCAATCCCCTTGACTTCTGTGGGAGCCTTCATAGGGGCTGCTACTGGGAGGGGTAGCTAAAAGCTTACACAGGCAAGCAGAACACGGCCCATGATGCCCCAAAGCAGCATCATATGTAAGTCCAGGGAAATGCATATTTCATATATTTTAATTTCACAGTCTTTATGTATCCAAGATATGTGGCTCAGTTTAGTTATTTAAGTATGTTTAAATCCACTAGTGTGGGTCATTCTAAGGGTTACCTTCCGCAAATCTTCAGATGAATTCCCCGCATCCACTTCCACATCTTCACCATCAGATTCTTTATCACCATCGCATGTAGTATTTGCTTTTTATAATGGAAAATGAACAAGTGTTAATTCAGGCATATTTAACAACTTGAATTTCACATACTGCAACATAAGTAGTTCCGAGAACAGTTTTTTATAGCTTTGTTTTGGGCACTAAACAGCAATATTATCAGTTACATTCCGCTGCACAAAAAGGGTAGGCATCAGAGTCTGACAGGGTAATCCTCTGGATTGTATTAAACAAAGTCCTACTCAGAGTAGACTCACTGAAATGAATGGACTTCAATTAGTCCTGTCCATTCACTTCAACGGGTATACTATGAGAAGGACTAGCATTGAATACCACCCAATGTCTACTCTGGTATTAGTCCTACTGAGTAATGTAGAATTTACTCTCAGGTTAAACATGTCTAGAAAAGCTAGCCTGTGTGGTCTTCCAGATGTTGGGACTCCTTCCATCAGCCCCAGTCAGCAGGGCCAGTAGTTAGGGTTGATGGGAGGTAAAGTCCAGCAACATTCAGACAGCCACAGGGTAGTCAAAGCTGGGGTACGGGAGTGCAGCTTAAGTCCAGAACCATGATTCAGAAGGCTGAGGACATTAGCGCTTTCAGATGATCAATTACCAAATGCATGTATACCAGCCTCTACAAAACTCTGTGAACCAAAATTACATTTCCCATTGCTCTCTTTCATTGTGTTTCTCGTCTTAGGTCCCCCTGCCCGTACGGGCCAGTCGTGTCCGACTCTAGGGTTGTGCGCCCATCTCACTTAAGAGGCCGGGGGCCAGCGCTGTCCGGAGACACTTCCGGGTCACGTGGCCAGCGTGACGAAGCTGCTCTGGCGAACCGGCACCAGAGCAGCACACGGAAACGCCGTTTATCTTCCCGCTATAAAGCAGTACCTATTTATCTACTTGCACTTAAGGGTGCTTTTGAACTGCTAGGTGGGCAGGAGCTGGGATCGAAAGACGGGAGCTCACCCCGCCGCGGGGATTCGAACCGCCGACCATGCGATCGGCAAGCCCTAGGCGCTGAGGTTTTACCCACAGCGCCACCCGCGTCCCAACATTTCTCGTCTTACTTAAATTGTAAAGCGGAGGGCAGGGCCCCTGCATTTTACACTGCTTTATGCACAGTGCTCTGTTTACATAGGTTTATTAGAAATATCACCACATTTCAGTTTAAACCAATACAAAGAATGCCAGTGATTAAATGAAAATTGGATTGCTCTAATGTTTTCTGTGCCTGCTGCTCCCAATTTGCACACGAAGAAGTATTTATTCAGATAAGTTAGAATGCACAGTAAGTGGCTGATAAAAGGAACTGCAACAAATTCCTGTGTCAATTTTTTCTCCAGCAAGGCACCACAAAAGAATAATAAGAGAGGGGGAGACATATGTAATACTGACCCTATTAAATGATCTTCAGTAATTTCCACACTATAGTTTCTTTCACTATATGGATTTTTGCAAGTTCAAAACACATGAATAAAGTGTTTCAGGATAGTTTTATGAATTTTGGTTACCAATACCCCTCAGCATACGTGTCAAAAAGGATTTGTGATTATTCCTAACATACTAAGAATTATTCTTCCTGAAAACGAAGCATGGTCACAGATGCACACTTGTTCACCAACTCTGCCATGGCACCCATTTTTTAGATAAATTAAAGCTATGCAGTTTGTTGAAAGTCTACTAGGTGGTGTGGTTAGTACTTCTGCACTGCTGCAACATTAAATTTCACACTTTTGTCTCACAACCATGTGATTTACTAGTACAAAATGGACCATGTGTAGACCAAAAGCCTATCCTGCCTTGGCTGCATTTGAAATAATTGAGTGCAACAAGCCGAGACAGAATGTGATCCTTCAGTTAGAGAGCAAAATGCATGACCAAATCAATCTCACAGTCCTAATACTTCTACTTCTGACACAATCTTCTGAAACACAACATATTAATATTATTTCCCCTACATCTTAAAGGCCGAGGGAAAAAGTCTGTAGTTTCATGTGAAGTAACCGATGGTGTCAAATCATCAGCAGAAGACTGTGTTTCTTCATCATCTCCTGACAATAGGTCTTTGGCTATTTCCTCCTGTAATCAGAAGAGTCAATCATTAGTATCATTCCACTCTGGAAGAAGTAACTGTATCTTTAAATTCATCATATTCCTTATGTGGAAGCCTGGAGAAGAGGGGCCTTCATATTATAATTTCGTTTACTACTTATATCAGACTCAGAGTCAGAGTCAAGAAAATGCAAGAGATAAAGGGAAACAATTAAAACTTCCAGTAGTTTTAGGTTTCAGTAATTACATAAAGCACCTGAGCTTTGTATATATGAAAAATTACAGCCTGTCACTAGCAACTCAATACTGACAATGTGACCAATTGAAAGAAAAGGGTGTTCAAAAGAAACTACAAAGTAACATTTGATAAAGGAAGTATATGTAGATGTAATGCATACTACTTATTTGAAATCACTTTTACTTTTTCTATTTACTTTTTTAAAATGTCTTTAAGATTATAAATATCTCATTTTCCTTTCATTTTGAGTTACATGAGTTATATCCAACACTGTTATTTAGCTGATGGTAAGGCAGGCAATTTTCAGTTATTATGAAATCATTGCCCTTCATAAGGGTGAGGGGCTGTAGTGGAGAGAGGGAAAATTGCTTCCCATTTTTGCTACTGGAAGTATTTGCTCTCATGTGAGTAGCACCATTGGATACAACTCAGTTATTCAACTTACAGCCCAATCCTAACCATCTGTACTACTGTTTTCATCCAAAAAAATTACTTCCAGGGAAAAAATGTGTTGAATTGAAACTAGTTATCTACAAGTTAAAGGGAAATTGTTGTCAGATTTCAAAGATTTTTGCATAAATGCAGAACATTTGGGCCTCAACGTTCAGTGCAATGAGGGGATTTCATGGTAACCATAGAACCCATGAGTCTCCTGCCTCACATTGTAACAAAGAAATATGTTTATGACTTACTTTATCCAAAGTCATGTCTGGCAGTTCATCTGCAAGTTCACTTGGGGAACTATCTGCACTGGAACTTGCTATAACTGGAATTGTCGGTTCATAGCCATAGAATGCCAATAAGTCTTCTAAGGGCATGCTTCCTTCCTGGGTTTTTTTTCAAAGGACAAAAAGATGCATTGCCATTTGTAAAAACAACAACATATTTTTAAATATGCAGAAACAAACAAAATGGTTTTAACAACTACAAAAAAAAAAGATTATCCAAATCCAAGATCTAGGAAAATCTAATTTAAATACTCTTTCTCCTAAGGTTTAGTTAAGTTTTCAGCCCAAGTAAAAACATTCCTCTTTCTTCAAGCTTTTTGAATTCTCAGAATTGGCCTTGTATTGAGAGATGTTATATAACAAACTAGATTTTAAATTTTAGATGTTTGATTGCTATGACCTGTCCTGCGATCATTTTATGAGGCAGGACAGGATATAAATTTTACAAATAAATAAAATAGAAGAGGGATTTAAATATGCAATATAAATTAACAGAGATGACATTTGCAATCTGATCCTGTGCAGTCACTTTACCTGCAACGGACAAACATTCTATCACTTGGGCATCCTATCATATGGTTCTGCAATAGCTCTTGAAGAGCCTTGTACACAGTACAGTCATACCTTCCAAAACGTTCAGAAACCAAAGCATGGCTTCTGATTGGCTGCAGGAACCTCCTGCAGCCAATCGGAAGCCACAGAAGCCCTGTCGGACGTTCGGGTTCCAAAGAACGTTCGCAAACTGGAACACGCACTTCCAGGTTTGCAGCGTTCAGGAGCCAAAACATATGAGTACCAAGGTGTCCGGGATCCAAGGTACGACTATACAGCTATACTACCCTTTGATCTCCTTAAAGTGCTGGCAGTACTGATGGATGCATAGTAAACAAATTTGCTTTTAAAAAAAAAATGATAACTTTTTTTTCTGAATCTAGAATTAGTAATTAAGATGACAGTGTAAGGGGATGCTGTGCGGGAGTGGTTTTCTATCAACTTGCATTGTTGTCATATCCATAGATAAATTTTTCTGCTGCTGTTCTTTAAGTATTTGTTCCCATAATTTTTTTAACTGATTGAGTCAGATCAGTGGTATTCTACGAAAATTCTCCCCAGAATTTCTTTGGTGTTTAAGAATGAACATACAATTTAACCAAAGTTATACTAAAGATCCAGCATGCCTAAGGGAAGAATTCCTTACCTTTTCTAAGTCTTCAATCTCAGAACCGAAATTTTTACCCTCATCCATCATTTCCTCCTCTTCAAGAGTTCTTTCATCATCATAGTCATGTACCAACATTTCAGCTGTAGGGTCAAAGTCATGATCCTCAGAAGATAAAGAGCCAACTATAAAAAACAATTTAAATCACTTTAGGAACACACAAAATTATATCAGCACTAAAAAGCAATGGTAAAAATTCATTTAAGTTCCAAAGTTAATGCTCCGAACACAGAAGCATCAACATCCATTTTTATTATGCACAAGTTGTACACACACTTGTATGGACTGCAATTAAATCAAAAAGAGAATGAGCCTCATGCCTCTTATTCTAGAATAACTCTACCAGGCAAGTGAAGAGACTGCTCTGGAAGAAAAGTCCTAATGACACTTAATTACAGCCTTTGTTGCAAGTACTGTATGTTAATTATTTGCATGAATATTAACTATGCATGTATGAGCTCAAATTTAAGCACAGTTCTTTATTTGTAGGAAACACACAAAAAATTGGATCCCAGATTTCAGAAATGTAGTGTCAGTATACAAACACCTACTGAACAGGAAAAAATGTCGCTGATTAGAAGCTGACTCACTTGAAAATATGGTTAAAAACAGTTTGGAGGAAAGGGAAACACCATCTAAACAAGTCAACATTAAGCATTGACAAGTCATTTTTAACTAGCAAGAGAAGTTATACTATTAAAAAGCTGTGTAAAACAGCCCCAGATATGCAACATGCTTGTTATAAACACACCAAGACAGTATATCTTGTGTTGCAAATTAATGGTAACATATCTGAGTGGTGAATGCCCACTTCCTTGGACTGCATAAGCTTGGATATCAGAAGATCTTCTTGATTTAAAGAAACCCAAGATCTTTGGACCAACTTTGAACTGCACATTTCCAAGTAACTGTGAAGTATCTGAATCAGGACAATTTAAATGCATACAGATGATACTTCAATTAAATCTAATTTACCTGAAGTTGATGAAATGGAGAAATGCTATAAGCTTGTTCTCAGACAATAAATGTAAATAAAAATTTCACACAGAACTTCCAATTTCATTTTTTAAAATAAAGTTTCCACTCTTTGATGCTAAAATATACTGAAAATATACTTATTTATAAGTATAAAATATACTTATTTAATCTAAAGTAACAAAAACCTGTTTCATTAAGTTCAATGAGATTTATATGCAACTTTCACGTGGGCACAATCTTACTTAGGAATAACTTGCATATCTTATCATTTTTAAAAATTAATTCTGTCTGATGTACTTTGGTTTGGCTGTACTTTGCTGTTCTTACTGTTGTGAGCCACCAAGAGCCAGGGTAACTTTTTTAAAAATAAAAGAATAATTAACTTCCATTTAAATCAACATTATTCAGTTCTGAAGATCTCAGATTTCAAGGCTGCAACTTTAAGTTCATTTCTCAATAAGAAAGTTCTTCTCAATTCAGGGGGACATACTTCTGCGCAAGCATACATTTAGCAAAGCAAAAAATGGTTTGAGGATTGCTGAAGGAGTGACTCCAGAAAGCAGCAAACAACTAGCATTAGGGATTTTACTGACTTACATTTTAAGGCAAGTTGTCCCACATGTACCATAGATTTTATTTAGAAAGTTAAATGCCTGGCTTTTACAACACCCACAACAGCTTTGCAACCCGTCACTACAGATTGTACAAGAGAGAACAGCTCTACAGGGCTCTGCCCTTCTAGAACCAAACAAGTGACTTTTAACATGAAAAAACCAAGAAACAAAATAGGAAAGATGGAGGAGGTGGGGTGGGGTGGGGGAATCACTGTAAACAGAGAAAATACACAAAGCATCTTTTGACAGATGCGCCTGTAACCTGGCCCTTAACCGTACCCAAAAGCTTCCCACTGCCGGAATCACAGAAGAAGGAACTGAACAGGACAAACCTGGGCTCGAACTCCCAAAGGAAGCCTGGAAACAAGCAACGGGAGAAAGAACTGGTTAGAGATGAGCTGTACCAAAAAAACAAGGTGGAAAGGAAAAAGGAGGCGAAAAGGGGTGGGTGGGTTTGTTGTTAATAGAACACATTTCAAGTTTCTCGCACACACTTCTCTCCGCCGCCCCCCCCAACTTCGCCTTCCCTTTTTGTCTCTCAGCATCCCTTCCTCCCTCTTTCCCCACCCGCCACGACCAAGGCGCAACTCCGGAGCCTCCATCCCTCGCCCGGCCGCCCATCCCTTTCGCCGTAGCTTCTCCCCCCACACCCGCCCAGCCCTTCGAGCGTCGCCTCTCGCCCTCCAAGCTCGGAGCCCCTTTCGCTTTCCCCAGCCCCACCGACCCACTGACGCGACCCGAAGGGCCCCGCGACACCCGCGTCCCCACCTCGGCCCGGCCCGCCCGGGCGCTGACAGCGGCTGTCCGGAAAGCAGCGGCGAAGGCAGCCGGACCGCCCGTCGGAAAAACACTCACACCCCACCAAACTCGCTCAGCCCCACCAGACCCCCTCCATCCCGCGGCCTTGGCCCTCCTCGGGAGCCCCGCGGAGCAAGGGCTTGGCCCGAGCGCCCTCCACCTCCGCTCCCCGCCGCGGGACTGTGGGTGGAGACCGGCCGGGCAGCTCCGCAGACAGCCATCGGGAGACGGACGGCTGCTAGCCGCGGCCTACTCGCGCAGGCTGCGCTCCGCTGGGGCAGGCGGCTCCAGCAGCCGCCCGGCGGCCCCCGAAGCCCCCGAGGCGGGCCGGCGACCCCCGTAAGGGAGTCACGGGGCCGCCCAGGGGGCCGGAGGGAGAGCCCCGCCAGCGGAGCCCCGCCAGGAGCCCGCCGGACCCCAGCGCCCCTACCCGCTTTCCCCGCTCACCTCCGCCATATTGGGAGCGCTCGGGCTGAGCAGCAGCGATGCGCCAAGTGCCCGGATGGGGCCGCTAAGCCAATGGCAGCCCGGCCGGGACTGGGGCTGGAGCCGGCCGGAGAGGGAGGGAGGCGAGGCTGCCTGCTTAGCCGGGCGGGCTGGTTGATATGGGGAAGGTGGCGGCGGCGGAAGCGCAGGTTGTGGAAGCCAGCGCGGTCCTTCCCATCCTGTCAAAACTCTTCCCCCAATTTTCCCTCAGTGTCCTGATAGGAGCGTCCAATATGTTCGGGGTACGGCAGGGAGATATTCCCCCCCCCCCGCAGTTCCCTTCAAGCACAAGCAGCTGACAGCAACCCCCGAGCCTATTGCTGAAGTTTGACAGGGAGTTTCTTCCTCCGTCTCTCGCATCCTGGCTAAGGGGGCGAATGGCGGAGAAACGACTTTAAGTGACGGCGGGACGACACGGCAGGAGCGGGTTGTGAAGAGAGGAGAGTCCTCTTTAGAGAGAGGCCCAGCGCAGCATAGATTAGGGAGAAGAGAGGGGATTGCCCTATATAAAGGGTGGGATGTTATTCCAGCTCCAACCCCCCCCCCCCAAAAGTCCAATACTTTCTATATCTTCTGGACGAGAGCATATGGCATACAGCAACCTGTAGAATGCCCTTCCTGAAGCCAGCCGCAAATTTTTTGAAAAACGGTGATTGCAAAAATCGTCAGCTTGACGTTAATATGTGGTCCACTTCCAAAGAGCATTGCATAAGAAAGCAGGTAGTAAGAGCTCTCCCAAATCAGGTCACACACAAGGAGGAGTCTAAAATGGCAATCCTATACACATTTGAAGTAGGACTTATTTTGGAGTAGGCACACATAGGATTGCACTATAAGAGTGCAATCTTATACACAGCTTTGTTTTTAGTCATCGAAAATGCATTCTTTAGTTGGTTCTGAACAATTCTCATTGTTAATTCCCTCTATAACACACACACACACACACACACACACACACACACACAATGCTGATGTGCCACACCAACTTTTTAGAATGCCTTGTGTCCACAAATAAATGGGAGTGATCTGAAAGGTACTATATTTTGGATTTCTAAAATTTTTTTTTTAACAATCTCCACAAAGGGTCCCTCCTGAGTAAACATCATGGGATAAGGGTATGGGGCCTCATATAGATCTATTACTGGTTAAATAAAGGGAAACAGAGGATAGGAATAAGCATGCAGTTCTCATCGTGGAGGGAAGCAAACAGTGGATCTGGTACTGGTGATATTTAGCTTATTCATAAATCATTTGGAATCACAGATTAGCAGTGAGTTAGCCAGGTTTGAGACAACACCCAGTTATTCAGCTGGGTGAAAATTCAAGCAGAATGAAAAGAACTTCAGCGTGATCTATGCAAACAAGGTGAATGGGCAACAAGATGGCAAATAATGTTCAGTACAAATACATGTTGTGTCACACCACCCCAGTCTCTGAGCAGTGCTAGTCTCCAGGGGTTCCAAGCGCTTACCCAGGGTTACTGTTTCCTTTGGAATGAGGGACAGCAGAGACTGGTGTCTTCGTGATATATGGTTAGCTACACATATATACAACCTGAGCCAACAATGGAGGGGTTCACAGCATAAGCACCACAAGGGCATAGCTGTCAACCTTCCTTTTTTTGCGGGAAATTCCCTTATTCCAGCGCTGCTTCCCGCTGCTATCCCGGATTGTTAGATATCCCGTAGACTGTCCCCAGGACAGGTGAGGCTGCTGATCCCTTATTTTTGAGGCTGCTGATCCCTTATTTTCAAATCTGGAAGTTGACAGCTATGCCCAAGGGTCTTGCTTCTCTCATAACTGCAATCTTGGATTCAAACAGAAATCAAGCATCACTCTGCGTCTCTGGCTTCCCAGGCGGCTGCTTCCAGCTGCTACCTTCTAGATCACGTAACTCATACTCCCCATTCTGGCCTTTGTCTTTCTAACTACCAGCAAGTTGAGGGAGTGGGGTCCACCTATTTGTTCTCTGGCACCAAGCCACTTCCTTTGTTACCTTAATGGCCCATTACATCACAAGGAAGCTAGCCTTGGCTATTGCAGGAATTTGACTCCTTGCTTAGATTCCAATACTTGCTGAAACCTGGAATTTTAAGAGTCTCTGCAAATAGCCCCTCTCCAACTCCTAACAATATTAAGTGATGTGCACAAGCCCCCCCCCCCAATCTACATACTGTATAAATGGGGATCTGAAGTGCTAGTAAATAATGGAAAGAGATCTTTGGGTAATGGTTGATAGCTCTATGAAAGTATCAGGTATGTGCAACAGCAGTTAAAATAGACAAATGCATGTTAGGGATTGTAAGGAAAGAATAGGAAATAAAGGGTCAGCACCACAATGTCATTTTATAAACTCTAGGCCTGGGTATGGCTGCATTTAGAATTCAAAATAATCCATAAATTGAAAAGGTGCAGAAAAGAGCAACTAAAACGATGAGGTTGTAACACTTCCCAGTGAGTAAAAGGTAAATGCTTATAGAGTTTTTTAATTTATGGGGGAAAGCTAGTAAGCAAAGGGGAGGGAGAGAGGTTTATAAAATTTTGCTTGGTGAGGAGCAAGTAAGCAGAGAGAAATTCCTTTCCTTCTCATTTTCTAGTACTTGGTGGTCATCCAATGAAATTGATTGGCATTGATAGACAAAAATAAAGATTAAAAAATTCAAGGGCAGTATCACATGTACTCTAGCCTGAAGGTTACCAGAGCATGGGTCAATGTGGCCAGACTACCCCTACCCAGGAAAAGCCAGCCCAAGCTGGTGAAAGGTGCTACTGGTGTGGCTGATAGGAAAGACTCATGCTTTAACAACCAGGCTGAAAGTGTTGGAGAGAGAGCCACACACAAGAAACTTAATGGTGCTGCTGCTTCTCTTAAAGCCTGGTGGTCGAAAAGAATGTCCATGTATTGAGGTCATGTTTGGAGACTGCCCTACGAGTGTCACTGCCCTCAGAAGTCTGGCAAGTGGTGGAGAGAGCCTTCTCTGTGGTCGTTGTGCTCCCCAGAATTCCCTGGATAAGGAATTCTATGGAATTCCCTCTCAAGGAATACTCACTACTTGTGTTGAGCTAAAGGTGAACTGTTTCAGAAGCTTTGCTAACAACCATCTTGGTAGTCAAGATAACCCCACAATTAACTGTTAGTTTTTGCAGCAATGAGCTCACAGATGTTTATATTCACTTTCTTTGATGTAAGCTAATTGGCTTGCTTTGGTGTTATCCTTATCTGAGGTTGGGGGGCTGGGCTCTGAGCCCAGAAATGGGAACTATCTGTAAGATTTGGGTATTTGCCACCTATGCCCTCACCTAGGCAGGGGAAATGACATACGCTGTTTTCTGTATAAAGAATATTTGCATGTTTGCAAACCATCTCCTTGGTGCAGTGTCTGTTGTGCGTCTGCAAAGGCTGCTTTGCTGCAAGTCTGCACCTTCTTAATAAAGCACTAGAACTGGTCATTCTGATGTTTTTGGCATCCTTCTTTGGTATCCCTGCACCCAACCACTCCTACGAGTACTCCCTTGGGCCTGTGGTTCAGAACACTTCTGGCACTGCTATTTATTTTATTTTTGGCATCAGGCAAAAATGCTTTTAACGCTTACATTGCTGTAGTGGTTTTAACAAGCTTGGGGGGGCAGTTAATATCTGAAGGCAGCCCTGTATAGGGAAGTTTTTAATGTTTGATGTTTTATTGTGTTTTTAATATTCGGTTGGGAGCTGCCCAGAGTGGCTGGGACAACCCAGTCAGATGAGCAGCATATAAATAATAAAATTATTCTTATTAAACTATATTTGTAATATGCATTCCTTATTCTGTTTTTTTATGTAGACTGTTGTGGAAGTGTGGTTAAAACGTGCTGCATAAACTTTGTAAATCAAGAAAATAAGGTGTGGTACAACTTGGCATAGGAAATCTCCTGCATCAGGTTGGCCACTAGTTGGAAATGGAATGCTGGACCTTGGTCTGAGCCAGCAAGGCAATCCTTATGTCAACATTCCACCTTGGATCTTGCGCTTAGCTGTACTGTTGCCCCCAGTTGCTGTGCAGACATGCAGCACATCAGGATGGATAGATGACCCAACGGCCAGGCACTGGTTATACCAAATTAGTGCATGTAATTTACAAGTAACCAAGCCAGTTTGATATTATAGATGGCAATGATAAATGGTCAGGTTTAAACCTTGCCTCTGATACATCATGAATGTACTAGCTAACTTTGCATAGGTCACTGCTTCAGCCGTGTCCACCCATTTGAATGATTTATATATTTATATAAATATATTTAAGCCACTTTGCTAGAAAAGATTGATAGGAAAGAGGAAATGCATCCTTGCAAAGGATTTCAGACCCTCCAAGTGTCTTGATTTCCCAGGGACAATCCCGGAGTTATAGGAGTCGTCTTGTTTTACCTTTGGACGTTCCTGTCTTCAGCAGAGAAATGTTGGAGGGGATGAAATAAGATGTCCTTCTTTTCAGCAGAGAAATGGAGGGGATGCAACAGGACGTCCCTATTTTCACAAGGGAAATGTTGGAGGGGAGGGGATTTGCACAAAAAATGCATATGCTAATTTTTATATATAGATACACATTTTGAAGTAGTTATTGCATCTTAACTAGAAATACAGTAAAGGTAAAGGTAAAGGTACCCCTGCCCGTACAGGCCAGTCTTGACAGACTCTAGGGTTGTGCGCTCATCTCACTCTAGAGGCCGGGGGCCAGCGCTGTCTGCAGACACTTCCGGGTCACATGGCCAGCGTGATGAAGCTGCTCTGGCGAACCGGCACCAGAGCAGCACACGGAAACGCCATTTACCTTCCCGCTATAAAGCGGTACATATTTATCTACTTGCACTTAAGGGTGCTTTCGAACTGCTAGGTGGGCAGGAGCTGGGACCAAAAACGGGAGCTCACCCCGCCACGGGGATTCGAACCGCCGACCATGTGATCGGCAAGTCCTAGGCGCTGAGGTTTTACCCACAGCGCCGCCCGCGTCCCATTGAAATACAGTACATGTGGCCAGATGGTAACCTATATTTCTCCACAATCTGCTCTCAAGTTGCCATCACTTGCTGGGCACTTCAAAGCCCCGGCTCTCACTTCTTATTGTTGTTCATCTTTAAACTGGACTTGCACTAGATAGCCCCTGGAGATTGTCAAACAGACGGTTGTTCTCTGTAAAGTAGGAAACATGGCTGTCATGGCAAGAGCCAATGGATTCATGGGTAACAGGTGTCTATGCCACAGGCATGCAAAACCAGACTGAGTCCCTGGATGCTTTCCTGAGAAGTTACACCAGGCATAGGCAAACTCGGCCCTCCAGATGTTTTGGGACTACAACTCCCATCATCCTTAGCTAAAAGGGCCGGTCATCAGGGATGATGGGAGTTGTAGTCCCAAAACATCTGGAGGGCCAAGTTTGCATACGCTGTTACACCTATTCAGGAATAATGAAACAGGAGAACCTCTTTCAAGCAAAGAAAGGGAAACTGAAAGTTGAAGTGGCTGGGAGCCACTGACAAAAGGAAAGGAAAGATTTGGGGGGGAGATCAGTTTTATGAACCCCATGGGTGCATTAAGCATGTTTACCAATCTTCATCTGAGTGTGAGGAGCTCGTCCTACACTCGAGTAGGACCCTGGCAGAGACACATACCCAACTGGCATATTCTCTCCCTCCTGGTTGATTGTTTGGGAGCTTCAAAAGGTTTCTTCAGCCCAAACATCACAGCGACCGATGCCAACAGACATCGGCACACTTAGGGATCCGTAGAGTCTTTGCAGCTTGCATAACAGACCTCAGCAACTCAGCATTTTGGCTAATCTACTTTATTTACATATAAACACACACGGAGCACTGCAACATGGCTCCCTCTCTCTCTAGCATCAGACAGCAAGGAGAAAAAGCAAAAGACAATAGTCCCACTTCGCGGAACACAGTAACACAAACATCCTGTCTCCGTCACTTCCCACACTTCCCACACATACACCGTCATGTGAAAGACGACAATCCCATGACTGCAGTCATGGAGCACCCCAGGGAATTGTGGGAGCTAGAGTGCAAGGCTATTGCTTTCTGTCCATCCACAGGCCCCAAACCTGGGCCCTCCAGGTATAGCAGTTGTCTAACTACTTCACATTTCATTTGTGTAGAGAATCTAAACACTTGTGGTTTATGTGGGTGGAACTGTTTTGAAATTCAAGGATGGGAGTTAACTTTCTGTTTGCTGAGTAAGGAGCAGGTGGCGAGTGCTTGTGGATCTGCAGAAATGTCATATATTCGTTCTAAAGAGCAACACACTTTTAAAGGTAAAATATGAATCAGTAAAAAAAAAAAAAGCAGCAGAGAGACACTGAGCTAGTGCTACCACTACAGCCTTGTTTAGCAAACTACGGTACTACTTCTTGGTTTAGTGGCGTTACAAGGCCGGCTCAGATGAACTGCGGCTGAAAAGGAGGAGGCTATGACCACACCAGACCTTTCAACCACATCCCCACCCTGTGAAGAATTGCGGGTACTGGCTGGGGCTGATGAGAGTGGTGGTCCAAAACATCTAGAGGGCACCAGGTTTGTGAAGGGTAGTGTGGTTGCTAAGCAAAACTTGCATGCATGTTGACTCCACAATAAACTGCTCTGTGGAACCACCCATTGTCATCTGTCTTGAAAAATAGGGTAAAAGTGGCTGAGCTCTTAAATATTGGCACTTTAAAGGTAAATCCCCAGGCTTCTGCTGGTTAAAAATTGTGCATTTTGAAGCCATCAATTACGAAGAGGCAAATCTCCTGTTTCCCTAGGCAATGGATTTTAACCAGGTGTAAATCAATGTGGCAGCTGCTTGGGAGAATGTGTGACCAAAAACGAACCTGAGCTAAGTGACTCATTATATGTACCGCATGAGAGCTGGAGGGGAGAGGAACATCAAACAGATCTGTGCAGGGGAGCATGTGTGAATCATGCATTGCTCAGGAAGAATAGCAATACTCCATTCATCTTCAAATGTGGAGGTGCAAGTTGAAAGTTGGAGATGCTGTCAGCCAGCCAAGGAACTGAATGTGTGAACCTTGTGTGGACCTTGAACCAATAAAGAGCAACACTCTATTTATTATTTCCATTCCCATTAATGTAACAGTCCCTTTTACTACAAATCACAAACTTGTAGATACAAAAATCACAGGCTTGGCTGGAACGCAAATACCGTATTTTTCGCTCCATTGGACGCACCGGACCATAGGACGCTCCGGCTCATAGGAGGGGGAGAACAGGGAAAAAATTTTTTTTCTTGTTCTCTCCCTCTAAAACAAGGTGCGTTCAAGGTACCTAATTTTTTTTGTTGGGGGGGAAATAAAGAAAAAAAAAAATCCCTCCCCAGGCACGGGGAAGGCGCGGGGGAAGCCCGAGCTTCCCCCGACCTCAGCCCCCAGAACAGCCTGCTATCCGCAAGCCTAGGGAACCGAGCCTGTCTCCCCAGGCTTGTGGAGTGGTGCGTGAAGCCCGGGCGCGCTCTTCAGTGCGCACCAGGCTTCGGAATGCAGGCAGCTCTGCGCTATTCTCCGGAGCCCCGCGCGGCTTCGCGCTGGGATCGGGAGGGTGGCGCGGAGCTGCAGGAAGCCCTGGAGCGCAGGCAGCTCCGTGCCACCCTCCGCAGCCCCGCGCGGCTTCGCGCCGGGATCTGGAGGGTGGCGCGGAGCTGCAAGAAGCCCTGGAGCGCAGGCAGCTCCGCGCCACCCTCCGGAGCCCCGCGCGGCTTCGCGCCGGGATCGGGAGGGTGGCGCGGAGCTGCAGGAAGCCCTGGAGCGCAGGCAGCTCCGCGCCACCCTCCGGAGCCCCGCGCGGCTTCGCGCCGGGATCCGGAGGGTGGCGCCGAGCTGCAGGAAGCCCTGGAGCGCCGGCAGCTCTGCGCTACTCTCCGGAGCCCCGCGCGGCTTCACGCCGGGATCAGGAGGGTGGCGCGGAGCTGCAGGAAGCCCTGGAGCGCAGGCAGCTCCGCGCTACCCTACGGAGCCCCGCGCGGCTTCGCGCCGGGATCGGGAGGGTGGCGCGGAGCTGCAGGAAGCCCGGGAAAGCCTGCATTCGCTCCATAGGACGCACACACATTTCCCCTTCATTTTTGGAGGGGAAAAAGTGCGTCCTATAGAGCGAAAAATACGGTACATCACCCAAATCAACCTACCAGCCCTATAACAATACCAAACTGAGGGTTCTTCCAGGTGAACCTGATTGTGGAACATTCTGATTTGTTTCCCCGGGAGATTGGATGACATTGACTATTTACTGAGCATTCATCTTGAATCAGTTTGCAGAGGGATCCGATGACATTGCGTTAAAGCAAGTATTATCCTGCATTTCCATCACATTTTCTTGGAAAATCAGATCTTTGGGGGAAGTAGGTTCGTTGTGCGAGATTTCCAAGCAACTATAATTACCAGCCTGAATTTGCCAATATGTGATTGAATCCCACCCCAAAATAGTGACAGTCTGGAAGCGTCCTAACTCCATAGAGATGCAGTTTGGGGAAATAACCAAACACAAATAACCAAACATCTAATTATGGTGTCCCACTTGTGCAACCGATGTCTGCTTGTGCAAACCTGCATGTCCAAAAATCTGCTCTGGAAGGTCAGGGGACTATCTGAAGTGGATTGGGGCAAAAGCTGCAGATGGAAATCGAAGAAGGGGAAATCTCATCATGTCCAGTGTTCTGATGTTCAAATTCCCCCATAAATCTTAACTCTTCTTGATTAATTTTTAAGCATTAAAGGTAAGTGTGAATAATTAAATATTATGAACAATGAACTATGAGTTATCAGTTAAATTAAACTGAAGTGGCAAAGCATATCGTTGCAGTTCATAGATTGGCAGTTGATAGACTGTGTATGTACTTAAATATGGCTTTAGCTAACCATATAATTCTCAATTTCAGTTTCCAGTTCCAAGTACTGTAGTCAGTCATCTTTCAGATAGCAGCTGGCTTTCTTCCAAACACTTGATCAGCAATACATTAACATTTTTACCCTAGATAATACAAAATATATATATCCCTTCCCCCAGCAAACTGGGATGTCAGGAATAAGAGTTCTGCTTTGCCATCAGCCTATATTGTATTTTGTATACAGTGGTACCACGGGTTAAGTACTTAATTCGTTCCAGAGGTCCGTTCTTAACCTGAAACTGTTCTTAACCTGAAGCACCACTTTAGCTAATAAGGCCTCCTCCTGCTGCTGCGCCGCCGGAGCACGATTTCTGTTCTCATCCTGAAGCAAAGTTCTTAACCCGAGGTACTATTTCTGGGTTAGCGGAGTCTGTAACCTGAAGCGTATATAACCCGAGGTACCACTGTATGTTTCAACACCACCCATTGATAAATATGATATGCATCCCTATATGCAGCCAGAAATAGGGGTGTTCAGAAGAAAGCTTTACCACTTGATTCTGCTGGCTGTATAAACTGGCCCTTAATTGTACAGAGTGAAACTCTCATTTGCATACATTCATGTTAGACCATGGAGAATCCATTCAGCTTGTAAGAAAAACAAAATAAAGGCCTATTGATGTGAGCCATATAAAGTCTTGAACTGGAGAACCTACCAAATTAGTGGTGATTGATAGATGCTTTTGTATGTCTAAAACTGAGGTGAGCCCCTGTGCTAGTTGGCTTTCTTCCAGGGAATTCAAATTTCCGCCTGCAAACAGTGACACAATGCTTTATTGAATTATTGGATTTACAGTCAGTCACACTTCTAAGTAGACATGCATATGATTCCACGGTTAATAACTTTAAAAATCAGTGATATAGGCTGGACTCTATCTCATTTGCATGAGTCTTCTAAACATTTCTGTACATGCATCATATCGTCAGTAATTTTCTCTTTTTATTGCATTATTTCTTGCTATTTTTTAGGGTGACACAGGAGAGTGTTATAAGAAAGGTTTTAGGGTGCTCTTGGTTCATAATCATGCTCAGGAGTCTTATAGACCACATGAGCATGAAAAGGGGGGAAATTGAAATATAGTTATGTATTATGCTTAAGTTTCTTTTGGGTTTCTTGTCTACGAACCTCTTAAAAAAAATTCCAACAACAGAGGAGGGTGTTATAAAAAAAGAAACCTTTGGAAGCCTTGGGGCTCATACAAATCTCTCATATGGCTTTTGGAGTTTGGCCACACATGTACTTGCTTGCAAGAACAAAATGGTATTACCTGCGTTTGGGCTCCACGGGATGAATATTAAGTTGTGCTCCATGATTATAAAAATGACTGGAAGAGCCACAACCTCATCCATGCTTTTGATTTCATTTGGCATGACTGAATGGGCCATATTTGGCCACATCTCGACTCATACTGTTGACATGCTGCTTTCCTATCTGACAAAGAATGTTGTTGACTTTACAGTATTTGACAGTGATTGAGTTCTTCTGAGACAGGTCTGTTGGTTCTGTTTTTAGGAAACCGGGTGGAAAATAAGATGTCAAGAACGCATCTGTGTTGTTTGCACGGTGCTCATGATGAAGGAATTCTTGTTTGCCAAGAATGCAAAGAGTGATAGAAAGGTCACACATCCCTTGACAAAGCCAATGGAAACTGGAAATAAAGAAAAAAAGAGCAGTTATTCTATGTGTGTGTAGTGCTTTTTGTGACGGTATTCATTGTTATGGAGTACTTTCACCTCCATTTTTGGCTGCCCAGGCTAATCACTTTGTGCTGGCACCCACAACACTTTTATAAAGATAGGAATACTGGCACCTTTTTTAAAAACAAAAAGAAAGTGTTCTTTCTCACTGTGTGTGTGTATCTAGCCACCACCTTGTTGAATTAAAGACTAATTCTGAATGAAATCTGACTGATGTCCTAGGACTTTCACCCCACTATTGCACATGTAAGTAACCTGGATAGTACACTGAGTGTTGTGCACCACTGTTGCTATAGTGACATACCGTGCAAGGCTGTCTTTCTGCTTCAAACAGCTTACTCCATGATTTGTAGGAAAATGAGATAACGGGACTTTAACAACAACAACAATGTAGATAGACAATTTGAGATTCCGGATAGAACTGTTTTATGGAGGGGCCCCTGTGTTACTGTGATAAACCAGTCATGTTGTATTCGAGCTCCTACTGCTCATGATGCTAAGTGGGGAGCTGGACTTCTGCCTCCAGAGTCCTGCCTGAGTCCTTTCCCCTAATGCTGTGGTTTCCAATTGGTGGTCCGTGGACCCAAGGGGATCCACACAGCCCACCTAGGGTGTCCATGGCACCATTCACATAACCACAATTACCATGGAGGTATTACAATGTTCAAAAGTAGAGGGGTCCATTGCTTGGCTTTTGAAAAACGGAGTCTGCAGTGCTTAGCTAATTGGGAACCACTGCCCTAATGTCTTGAAGTAAAGGGAAACTCAGTGAAGCAAACCAATAGTGAAGGAAATGTACTCTTCACCTGCTCAACAGTACCTACATCTTTCTTTTTGCAAAACAAATTGAGATTTTTTTTTTCTAGTGTGCATGGGAAACACTGAGATTGAATGAAAGTGCTCATGCATGGATAAATGTGCACAAAAGCACATATGAAAAAAGTGAATCCATGTGACCCATGTGCACTTTGGTGCACCTATGGGTGGGTAACCCTGACTTTCTGTCTTTGTAGAATTGGATTTGCTGTACTGCGGTTTGTTTTTGTTTTTAAAACGATGGCCAATCTGTTTCAGTGTTCTGTAATAAAGCTGCCTTGTTACTATTTAATCAATGGCAGGGTATGGTGTTTTAAAAACAAACAAATGTTTTCAGCATAGCATGACGCAGAATAATGAGTCACTACGCTCCTTCTGTCAGAGCCAGGCAATGAACGCTGTGGGAAGGGAGGCTGGCGAAGCACGCCATCAGTCTATTTTTTATTAAAAAATACAAATAATATTTCAAGGCGGCTTACAAAAACATATCCACCAAAATGCAAAATGCAGTATAATAAACTGGGAGCCAGCAGATTAAACAGATTTAAAAAAAAAAAACGAAACAAAAACACCACTTATGGCAATAAATAAATAAATCCCCAAATAAAACGGCGGGGGGCGGGGACCGGCGCGTTTTGTTTCCTGCAATATACAGCTGCTGTCGCGGAGGGTGGGAAACAACATCCACTTTAGCCGCCGCTGGCTTCCTCTCGCTCGCCGCGCTGCAGAAGCCGGCAGCCGGGGATTCCCTCCTCCCTCCAACTTGAAAAAGCAGCGCGCTCGTTGAGGGGATTCCCCCTTTCGCCGCTCTCCGAACGTTCGGGATTGTTCCGAGTGACGTCACGCGAGGGGGCCGCTGCTCGCGGGCTGGTGCGCCTTCAGCCGAAGCAGCGCCGCGCAAGCGAAGGTGTTGGGAGGAGGAGAAAGGTGGCGTTTCGGAGCGCGGGGGTTCCACGAAACCTCTCCTTTCGGGGGGCCCTTAAAACCTCCGCGCGCGTTCTGTCGTATGTGTCTCGTCGTTGGAGTTCTCCGCTTCGCACAATCTTCTCCCTCTCCCTCCCTCGCACATGTACACAGTGTCGTAGAACGTCGGGCGCTCGCGCGCTCCCTCCCGCCCCCAACACAAGCCCAACCTCGTCTAGCTGCTCGTGGCGGCTGTTGGCGGCGAACTCTCGCGAGGCTTGGGCGCAGGGCATCGCTGCTGCGGCTCGGAGCGGCGCCATTTTGGGGCTGACTGACTGACTGGAGCGAGGAGTTGTGCGCGCGGCGGGGGAGAAGCGGCGGCAAAAAGGAGCTTTCAAATCCGGGACCCCGCAGGAGCTGCTGTGCTTGGCCGGGACTTGGCTGGCAGGTTAGAGCCGCGGTACGCTGGCGCCGCCGCCGCCTCCTCCTTCCTCCATGCCACCCCCTCGCCGGTCGGTCGGTCTGAGGGAAGAGGTGGCGGAGGAAACAATGTTTGCGTGTGCGGAGCGTGGGGTTCCGGAGCCAGGCAGGCGAGCGGGCCCGTCCCCGGGGGAGAAGAGGCAGGAGAAGCGCGGCTCTGAGGCTCCGCGGCTGCGAAGGATCCTCGGCCGGAGCGCGGCTCCCGTAGTTCGGTCTCTTCCCCCCGCCCCCCGGCCTGCATCGAGCCCTGGGCATGTGGCCTCTCCGTCCTTTCTCCGTCTCCCTTCCTCTTCCAAGCGGCGGGGGGGGGGGGGAATAAACGGGACACCAGCTCTGTTGGGCCCCGGCTTGGTCGAGGGGTGGCAGTTGGAGGCAGCAGCTTCGAACCCCCTGCGGGCGGATTGCGAGCGAGCGAGGGTGTAAATATGACAATCTCCAGCGGGAGGACTCGTCCCCGACTTTACCTGGCCATGAAATGGGACGGGAGGAGGAGGAGGGAGAGCGAAACCTGGGCAGGAAACGCGTGCGCACTCCCGTAGGTTAGACGCTCTTCGCGCCCCTCCTACTTTCCTCGGGTCGCGGATCCGAGATTGCCACCTGGGGGGGGGGTCCTATCGTGTGTTTACTCGGAAGTAAGCCCCGCGGCGCGGAGTGGGGACTTCTCCCGACTAACTATGCCTAGGGGTTGCAGCTGCAAGTCCTCCCGTTTCACCGATCTTCCTTTTGTTCGGTTGGTTCGCTGTAGCTTTATCTTTATTCTTTCTTTTCTTTTTTCTTTTTTGGTACGAAATTGGGCCAAGGAACGTGCTTGGTGGGAGTTTTTAATTCTTCCGGTTTTCTTCGCGCCTGCCTCCCATGATAGTACTCTTACGCCAACCGCCGTTTCACCCTGGCGTAGGACCTTCTCCCCTCCCCTTTTCGCTGCTGACTCTAGCATATGCTTCCAGCGCAATCCGCGTGGATTTCGTTGCATGTCCTTATTTGAAGGCTTCCTTGTTCACAAGTACATGGTGTTCATTATTCTTAAGAGAGCAGATTCATAATGTTGCAGATTTCCGAGATGTCTCGAGAAAGGAACATTAATTTCAGTATGTCTTGTCTCTTTTTCCCAGCCTCCTACCCCACTTCTAGGTGATCTGGATTCTGAACATGAGCTTGGATATTTTGCAACCTGTTGCCTCAGCTTGTGAAAAAAAGGTAGCTGGATGCTGACCTGCAGAGTCTGCTTCGATTGAAAGGGAAAACGTTGACTAAAAAGGGAATTGGGATTATAACCTGTTCAGTTGCTTTTCCACTTCAAACACTTCTGAAGCCTGCAGAACCCGGTTTATGAACTTTTGAGATTCTTCTTCTGCTTCCCCTTAAATTCAGGATATCATCTTGGACTATTTTTCCCCCATATGGAATGGATAATTGTATAAACTTCTTAAGTTCTGCATGCTACTTTCAAGAACTGTTTTTGCTTTCTAGTTCAAACATTTCAGTCAAAACAGAGATTGACTTGATTTGTCAACTAAGTCTAGAAGATTATATTAAATGTAGCTCCCAATTTTTCTAATATTGATGTAGAATTTATGGCAAATATTGCTTTCATTTTTTAGGCAATTTGGAATTACTTTTTACAATGATGTCTGTTTCCTAAATGAAGAGACAAAGAGCTTTATTTTTCATTTTTTAGTGGGGTTTTTTTGTAGTGTTCTGAAGAAGCAATATGGGAATATCCAGATAGCTGCTGTGTGTGGATGTCTGAATCGACTCTTAGAAATGAACTTCATTTTGAATGCAGACTTTGACTTCTCAGTTCTATTCTTTATGTCATAAAAGGTGTATTTATTTCTTTTGGAACTGATGTTTATGATAGTAAGATATATGCGGAATAGGAAAGTGAAGAAGTGTCAGAAGATAAGACAGGCTGTTAAAACCAGACTTGTCTGACTTTTTTGAAAATAACTTTTTGGAGTACCTTAAATGTGAAGAATGGGTAGCTGATTTCCAATAATCAGCCCTTGTATTGCATAGCTACGGATGTAGTATCTTTAAGGAACTCGGATCATTACTGCAAGGGAAGCAAACTGGAAAACGCAAATCACGGAGAGTTAATGCCAATCTGTGCAGTTCTCTTGGATTTTGTAAGTATTGCCTGAAACTACAATTGTTACAAATATTATTGTAAGTGAGGTAAACTGTTGAAGATGTTCCTTTTTTGTTTTGCTTGTGTTAATATTTTTCTATTATCAAAAGTATGAGAGGCATTTTAACACACGAAAATCTATTTTAGCTATATCGGAACTTACTTGAATTCTAAGGAAGTTTATACTTATTACTTAAATTTGCAGTTTCAGCTGATTCATGACTACTTGAAAATGAATCTGATTGAACTTAAATGGACTTGCATCCTATTTAGGATTTGAACCATGTGCAGAAGTGATCATTAGGTCAGTGCCAGGCATCTTGATAGTGCTGTGATGATAGTTTTTTGGACCAGGATTAAGCCTTATTTGTCTTTCTCCTCTACACCCCCCCCACCTGATTTTAGTACTAATATCTTAGTTTCATGTAAGGTCTGAACCAGAAAACTGGTTAGCTTAATCCAAGATAGCTGTATTAAAACTTGGCACAAGAGGATTGCAACTAGCTACTAAATATAAAATTGATTGTGAGCTGTCTAGATAGAATTCTCATTCTGTTTAGTCTCTTATGTGTATGTATTAGATATAGTAGTTTTGGTATAGAAACACTTCTGTGAACGTGGAATGCTCTTCCCAGGGAGACCTGCCTGGTGCCCTCATCTTAAGGCACCAGGCAAAAGCATTCCCATTCTCCCAGACCTTTGTTTAATTAGACAGGCCTTTATTTACCCTGCCTATGGCCTTTTAAACTGTGTGTTTGAGTGGGATTATTGTTTTTATTTGTTACTATGGTATCTATGTATGTACATACTATGGTATGTATGTTATTATGGTATACGTTTATATGTTGTAAACTGCCCTGTGATCCTTGGATGAAGGGTGGTATAGAAATTAAATAAATAATAATATGATAGTCCATAGCCACTTGGAACAATTTTAGATTATTAAAATGGAACCCTGATCCTACTCAGATCTTCACCTGATATCAATATTTTTTTTTTACAAGAGGATACTGGCATATCCCGTCCCCCAGTGCAGATATGTGATGCTTTGCTTCTTTTGCCTCTAAATGCCCATTAACCTTGTACACAATTTGTTTTGATATTTTACAGAAAGCATTTTTAAAGCCCTAGCTGCCAATATATACAGTGGAAACTTGGTTGTCGAATGCTTCGGAAGTCAAACGATTCGGAATGCTTCCGTTTTCGAACATGCTTTGGAAGTCGTATGGCTTCTGAGGCGTGTTTCCCCACTTTTTCAATGGATTTTGCCAACTGGCAATTGTGCCTCAGTTGTCGAACCTTTTGGAAGTCAAATGGTCTTCTGGAACGGATTACGTTAGACAACTGAGGTTCCACTGTATATGATTCTGAAATGATTTTGGTGCCACTTTCCAAAGATGTTGTCTACCACAAAAAATGAGGTGCATTGGCTCCCATGTTGGCCTGGTTAATAGTAGGCCATAAACTACAGCACTTGTGGTTCATTTAACTCAAGAAGCCAAGGTTTGTTCTTTGCTTATAGTTTCTAGTTTGTTTTGGAAATGCTAAGCTTGGTTTGCTTCTTTATAGTATGCACAAGAAGAGAGGAGCAGGCACACTTGATCCATGTGTGCTAGCACACTACTTGTTTGTGGTGAGATGTGGTTTGTTTTACACCATGATTTACTGCTAACATTCAAACTGGCCAACATCAACTTAATATTTTTGATTATTCGTTGTTATATTTCATCTCCAGAAAAAGCACATACAGAGAGTTGTTTATGCCAAGCAACTGCTGGTGTCTGGTGATGTATAGCTGAGCATTTGTTAATTTTGTTGACAAGCCAGTGACAATGGAAAAGATACAACTCATAAATTAGAAGCAATCCTCTTTAGAAGTTAGAGTGGAGAAACAGAAGAGAAAGTAAAACAGAAACTCAATATGCACAGGAGAAATACTGGACTCGTAACAGGAGAGAAAATAAAATAGAAACCAAAAATACCTAGCTGAAATACTGGGCTTATAGTAAAGTTGCATAGTTCTTTATCTAGTTGTATAGTTAAATAGTTCTTTACGCTAAGATAAAGCCCAACTTGAAGAAGAATTCACCCCCTTGAGCTGGGTTAGCCTAAATATTGCCCTCCTATTATTCCAGATAATTAGCCATGCGGTCTTAGACTGGTAGCAGTTATACTCCAGTGTTTGAGAGCTACCATGTTGAATAATATTTACCCCAGGGTCAAATGAGCCTTTGCAGTACAGTAGGGTTGCATCTTATGCAGAGGTTTGGTTCCAGTGGTTCTGCAAATATCCAAACCCAAATGGATAGCAGATGGGGAGGGTGGAGGAGAGAGAGAAAGAATTCCTAGTACTCCTGGAGCCGGCACACTCAGCAGGCCTTGCTTAGCAGGCAAGGTGGAGTGCTTGAAAATTATTTTTGCTGGGTAACCCAAGTGGACCCGGCATGAAAAGAACTTTTAATCTCTTTTCTTTGCTTGGATTTCACTTGCACTTATGTGGTGTGTGGTTGAAATCAACACAAGTTAAATGTGCTTGAAATGTGACTGTACTGTACTTTGCAGTGGCTTGTTACTAAACACACATTTGATAGTTTCATTTTCCTGCTCATTTCAATTGGGATAAATTGGACCCCTGCTATGTTAGGCAGTAATCCTAGCCCCTCTTACTAGAACTAAGTACCATGGAATTCAGTAGAACTTGCTTCTGAGTAGACACAGGCTCAGACACTGTTAGTTGTTGTTTTTTTAAAACGAAGATGCTGGAATATTGAAATGGTATAAGAGAACTTCCCTAATAATATTTGAGGGGTGCAGAAAGCAAAGGCATTCAAGAGCATACTGCAATTTATGAAATTGTTCAGGCATGCTAAAATATATATTTCAAAATACTTCAAACACCTGCTAGGGTCCACAGCAATCCCACTGGCTTGGGATTTAAAACACATTTTTGCTAGTGTATTTATGCAGTATGGCTGTGCTAAAGATGTGAAACCCCTTTTGATGATGTTGGGTGCCTTAGTGCTTATGCAGTAATGGTGGCGGCTGGTCTGCACTAGACCAAGGGCTTGATGTCACTCTATACATGATAGGATGGGCAAAAGGTTTTTCTATACCAAATAGGATTGGTCTCTTACGCTTTAGTTTGGCTACAGAATGTTCTGTTTTAGTTGGCTGTTTAGATCCTCCGTTTTAATTTCTTCTCCAGCAGAATACTTGAGTCAACAGAGTAGATTAACTACTTCTAAATTTATCTTGCTCTGTACTTTATTAGAAGTAAAACTTGGATAGCTTCATTAGGGCAATGAGAATACAGTTGTGTTTAATTATATTTTAAATTTCCTGCAGGTTTATTTTCAACAGAATCCAGTGCTGCCTCAAAAAATATATAAGATGGACAAAACAACCTAGTTACAAAGTAAGTGACTGATATTTGGCACTATTCAAATCACTAAGCTCCAGCATTTTTACATATGTTAATTCCCCCCCCCCCCCCCAAAATTTGACAATTTAAAACCTTAAATCCGAGATTAAAGTGAAGCCTGGGAATGAAGATTCTTCAGTGAATAAACAATTCTTTTGATCTCTGTTGATATTTTGACTTGGACTACTTATCTTTGAAAACTCTGTTTAGTTAGCTTTTAGTCTGCAGATATGACAGTGAATCTCCCCTTTCCTTGTACAGCATGCTCGGTTGAGAGCTCAGTGCAGACATTTCCCATCTTTCCTAAAAGTGCTTGAAGAAATCCCCTGACGATTCTGTGGATCTTTGGCTAGAGGTCTAAAATGTTGGCATCAATAAGAGTTTTTGTACAATTTCTGTACAGAAGTGAAGGAAATCTTCATACCTGTGCATGCTAAAATGATTAGCAAGAATTTCAGACTTAATTCAGGCATCAAAAGTAAGAATTTGAATTATATAGTACAGTATGTATATAATGTATGCAGTTTCTTACTATGTAGGTCTTTAGTTTTAATTGCAGCTTGAAGTAGAACCAGCTACATAGATTGTATCTTGGTCCCGAACAGGATATTCTGTAATTTTCCTTCCACAGAAGCATTAAAAAGTGTGCCTCAGAATGTGTGCCACATCTTACAATGATGACAAATCCTGATAGAAGTCATAGAATGATAGTTTCTGATTATGCAACTGAAACTTTTGTATTGTGTAGAAACAATTCTATGCAAGTTATCTGTCTTAGCCTGAGTTATTGTGCCCACTTCTCCGGAAGTAAGCCCCATTGCGTTCAGTGAGTTCATGTGGTTGCTTTTACAGTATTAGAATCCCAATGTATGTAAAAACAATTGTTTTCTGGTGTGTATTTTGTAGGCCATGTTGCTTTAGTTATATAGTTTCCAATTTGTTTCTGGGCCCAATTAAATGAGCTAATGTTGACCTATAAAACAGTAAATGACTTGAGGCCAGGGTTTGAAAGGCCACCTCCTCCTTTGTGAATCCACTTGTAGAATATAGTCTTCTGAGACTTTGTTTTATGTACCACCACCTAAAGAATAAAAGTTGGTGGAAGCATGGCACAAAGCATTCCAGTTGTGGAATTTCCACTTAAGAAAGGTGAGATTGGCCCTATACAGTGGTACTTCGGTTTTCAAATGTAATCAGTTCCGGAAGTCTGTTCAAGTTCCAAAATATTCAAAAAACAAAAACTGAAAGCGAAGCCTCAAAGTGGAAAACTCAAAATGGAAGCTGCATTTCCTGTTCAACTTCTGAGGCGCATTCGAAAACCGAGGCATTTACTTTCGGGTTTTCGGTGTTCCAAAATCATAGCATGTTCTCCATTGGGGTTTGTAGTTAATTCCTGCAGGTTGTCTCTTTGTCCCGAATTGAGTGCATACATGATAAATTGGTCATCCAGCACTTCACAGTATATGCGGCTCCTAACATTGCAAATGGTACTTTAGAAATGTTAGGCATTGTAAGGATCTTTGTATGCAGTACATTGATGAGATGACTGTTGTTCATTCTAGGATGGTGTAGTTGTGGATCGATAATTAAAAATGTTACGATTAATTGCTTTATTCTTGGGAAATGTGAAACTCCTACTATAGCTAAATTCAGCACACCCAAGGAGCTATGATTTTTATTATAAGTGCATTCTTGTTTCTTACTGACAAAAAAAAGACAGTTTTGAAACTGCACAATTTGGCCAAGTCTTCTATATATGCATGGTATGCTTATAAGTGAGTCCTGCTGCTAATCATGATGAAGACACTGCAAATGACAACTGATGCACGACAAGTGCTATAGAGTGCAAGTCTGTAGCCTGTGAGGTGTCCCCAAACAAAATAGTGGTGCCAACCTTGGTTTAGCTCCGTTGTCTTGCACATTTGCATGATCCTATCACGCCATGTGGTGCAAATGAGGCGCACAAGCCTGAAGAGTTGAATAATCGTGATTCTTTTTCTACTTTGGATATCTTTTCAGGGCTGTTTCACCTTGTTCTAGCCCTGGAGCAAATTAAGTGTACATGGTATGGTCATAAGCCAGGCTCTCCATTGCTCTAGTGTTCTCTTCTATTTCTTTGAACTGCATTTCCTTTCTTATGCAACCCCTAAGACTTGATGGTGATGCATTTCTTCTTAATTCTTAGTAACATAACTGTTGAAAGTAATCAATTCAGGGTGATAAGTACCTGGGTACTCCATATCCTGAAATTTCTATCTCTGCCCCTCCCTCCCTCTCCCTCTCTCTCTCTCTCTCTCTCTCTCTCTCTCTCTCACACACACACACGTGTAATATGGGCTCACCCTATTCTTCTGATTATAAATAGTTTTTTATAGTTTTGTAAACCGCTCTGCAAATTCAGTTAATAGTTATAGAAATTAACTCATGCAGTCATTAACAGCTTTTAAGTGCTTTTCAACATAGACTTGGAAACACATCAAATATAGCTTGCTGCTTACAAGATGTTAGGGCCCTCGCGCTCCACTGACAACATCCATGCCATTAGATAGATACTTAATAGAAAACCCCCTCCACTCTTGCTTTTGAATTGTGTAGTGTAGCTGGTATGATGACATGACTGAGCTGTAGTATTTTCCGGAAAGTGGTGACCTTCAACTCTAGAGCTGTGAGATGCAGTTTAAATGATTGCACCCATGATTGTATGGATTGATGTGGAATAAAATTAAACTTGGGCGACATTTTATTGGGTTGTCAACTTTGATTGTAACCTGATATGCTCACTCTCCCTAGAGTTTACAGTTTCTAATGATGAGGACTGTTTTATTTCAAACTAGAAATAAAAGCAACAAAAAAAATTTAAAACTGTTTTTGTTTATACTAGGTTAGATCCAGACTTGATTTTCTGTGAATGGAAAGCTTGCAGAAGGGACTGGATGCAGTGACTGCCCTTAAGAATATGAAGGGTGGGAAGCAACCTGGTTGTCAAATGACTGTATACTGGGGTGCATTTTAGCCTATGCTTGTATTAAAACTACTACATGAGCTTGGCCTTGGCATAGCGAGGTGTGAGATAGTGGCATAGTGAAAATGAGTGCAGATTTTACTTTTTGTCAGTTGGCCAGAGAAACTCCCTTGTAAAACTTCCATATTATACATGAAATCCATAATTAATGAAGTGCTGAAGATGAAGATGGCTATCAGATATTCAGCAACTGAATATGAACTGAACTGAAAAGGAACTGTCACATACTGTTGCTCAGCAGTTAAGATCATTGTAGCCTGTAAAAGGGCTGAGCAACTTTGTTCAGTATTGAGGGTCACATAAAAATGGAAGTTGGAATACATACAGTATCTGAAGATTCAGAAAACTGTTAAATGCTAGATATGATGTATATATAGATTACGGTAATACCAAGCACTTACTCTGGGGTAGTCAGGAATTGGTACTGTCATTTGAAAATCCTCATTTTCCAATGATAGAAGGGAATGTTCTTCACTGAGTTGCTGCAAAACTGACTTGTGACATGCCTTTTGTGGTAGACAGCATGCCTCTCTTCAGTCTTTCTGCCTTTAACCTAGCAGACAGGCTAAGCTCAAAATATATCTGCCCATATAATAAAAATGTAATAATCTCACACTGCAGTTTGCTTGACTATAGATAAGTGGCAATCCAAAATACAGTGTATTGGGAGGTGATGGATATGTAGCTCATAGAGGGATTCCCAGAACAGGCTGCAGTGGTCTTCCAGCCCTGCTAGCTTCTTCACCTGTCAGTCTCAGGGCCCAGGATCCAGATCCACAGGCCAGCTGGTGCTGCTACTGGCCACTTTCCTTGTCTGTGGCTGATGTTGAAATCTGGTGCCATGGATTGCTATAAAGAGTGGCAGGAGGAACTGTTTCCGCTTGCTTCTGAATTTGTGGTAGCAATAACAGCACCAGGAGGTGAAAAGCAAGGAGGAAGGCACACAGAAGCAGTGGCTTCTTACGGAACTTACAGAGAAATCCTAACTCTTTGTTTCCTTACAGGCGAGTCCTGCTGAATTAAGTGGGACTTTCCCAGGTAAGTGTGGTTAGAATTGCTGTCTAAGACATTAACATTGCTGGTGTTAAAATCTTCACTGACTCCCAGTTTATTTCAGTGCTTTTCCAAGTACACTTGGTGAATAGCTCTTTAAATTTGTGTTTGTGTAGCTGTGATTCTTGAATGTTATTGTGGTTCTTTTCACTTGTTAAGTTTATTTTGGGATATTAAAGTCTTACTGCAAGATATGTGATTAAAAATATATATCCTATATTTCCCTTCTCTGATAGGTATTTGCCATGAGGTGTTGAAGCCTTGTTTTCACTGATTTGGAGAGACTGGACCTAAATGGCGCAGCATGACTTTGCTCCAGCCTGGCTTAATTTTCCTACTCCACCATCATCATCAAAGGTCTGTTCTTACAGTTCATTATGAGTATCAGCACCAACTTACCGTTCACCTTTGAAATTAGCAGAGGTTGTGTAAACCATTCATTAGTATACTAGACTCAGTAATGCAGCTACTGTTAGATCCTGGACTTAATGATGTAATGACTCCAACCCTTCTCCCATCCTCCCCCCCCCCATGCTTTTCAAAGGTTTTTATATTCAAGAGATATTAGAACAAAAATCTCAAAGAAAAACTTTTCCAAAAGGGAGACTAAATTTCGCAATTTAAACAGATCATGCCATCATGATAGTTATTACTATTTATTAAATTTGTATACTGCCCTATGCCCGTAGGTCTCAGGGCGGTTGACTGCAGCAATCAAATGTAATTTGCCTCTGCTGCCCTAATAGTAAACACCACAATTAACTTGGGAATAATCACCAAAAGTGCATGCCTGGCTCACCTCCTTTTGACTGTAAAATTCATTTAAAATAAGCAAGCAAGCAAACAGGCAAGAAAAGTGGTCAGCTGGTGCTGACCCTATCTTCTTCCAGATTTTTCTGGGTTTTTTTGTTTAAAATCCTATTGGTGTATGCCTCTCTTTGTAAAAATAGCCTAGTTTAAATGAAACATTATTATGATACAAGCATGTTAATAGAACTTTGCCTTCCTCGCTTCCACCCCTGCAGCTCTCCACACATCCTCAAAACCCGCTCTAGCGGGTTGGGGAACTCTGGAGCAGATTTTGGGAACGCAAAGCCCCATTCTGTTAGCAGCAGTCCATTCATGTAATGCTCAGATCTGCCCAATAATTTATTGCTCTTTTTTATATCATTGTTTCGCAGTAACAGCTATGTAATTTGGGGTTTTGTGGTGTGTGTGTGTGTGTGTGTGTGTGTGTGGTTGGCATAAGTGTCAACCCTGTTTATCTCATCGGCTTGGATCCAGAGATTATTTTTTTTTGCACAAGTGGAAATTGCTTCCCCTTGAACAAAGTAGATCTGCCTGATTTGTCCAGTTTCCCTTTCCTGACTCCTTTGTCCCATTCCACTCCGTTCCAGGGGTCTATCAATCTTCAGTCAAAACATTTGGGTCTAGGGAGGAGCCAGAAAAACTGATGTGTGAGCAGAGTTCCACTCCATTGTCTCTGGATCTTACCCATAGTGTTTTGCTGGGAAAATACTTGATAATTGCCGTATTTTTCCATGTATAAGACTATATTTCCCCCCTATTTTTTCAAGTTTAAAATTGGGGGGGGGGGTCATAAAATTGGGGGGGGGGGGTCATCTTATACACGGACCGAGCATATGGGAGATTTCTTTATTTGGAGTCCCAAAAAATAGGACTCGTGTTATACATGGGGGTGTGTTATACATGGAAAAATATGGTACTTGACTGGTCAAATGCCCCCAAAAGATCACCATGGTTTAAAAGAATAAGTCATATGTTGTGTTAATGTGGACTTTGCAGTGGACCTGACATCCATTTAGAGACAAAGCTCACTATGTTCTCGTCCTGCTTATACTTGCCATTTACATGCAATTGAAAATGAGTAAATTCTCTAACTATGAATAATCAAACTCTACGGGACGCAGGTGGTGCTGTGGGTTAAACCACAGAGCCTAGGACTTGCCGATCAGAAGGTTGGCGGTTCGAATCCCCGCGACGGAGTGAGCGCCCGTTGCTCGGTCCCTGCTCCTGCCAACCTAGCAGTTTGAAAGCACATCAAAGTGCAAGTAGATAAATAGGTACCGCTCAGGCGGGAAGGTAAACAGCGTTTCTGTGCAGTGCTCTGGTTCGCCAGAAGTGGCTTAGTCATGCTGGCCACATGACCCGGAAGCTGTACGCCGGCTCCCTCGGCCAATAAAGCGAGATGAGCGCCGCAACCCCGGAGTCGGCCACGACTACCGTATTTTTCGCCCTATAGGACGCACTTTTTCCCCTCCAAAAATGAAGGGGAAATCTATGTGCGTCCTATGGGGCGAATACAGGCTTTCGCTGAAGCTTGGAGAGCGAGAGGGGTCGGTGCGCACCGACCCCGCTCGCTCTCCAGGCTTCAGGAAGCTATCAGCAAGCCTGGGGAGCCCGCTGGAGTTCCCGCAGGGCTCCCCAGGCTGCGGATAGCAGCCTGTCGCCCGGTGCGTGGGGCGCCCTGAAGCTGAGCGCCCCGCGCGCCGGGCAGACATCCACAGCGTGGGGAGCCCTGTGGATAGCAGCCTGCCGCCTGGCGCGCAGGGCGCCCTTAAGCAGAGCGTCCCTCGCGCCGGGCAGACATCGGCCAGCCCCACAAGCTCGGGGGACAGCTGGGAGGCACAGCACTGCCATACCGCTGTTCCCCGACCTGGTTTTGGGGGGGAAATAAAGGAACCCCCTCAAAAAACTAGGTGCGTCCTATGGGACGGAGCGTCCTATGGGACGAAAAATACGGTAGCCCTAATGATCAGGGGTCCCTTTACCTTTACCTTTACCTACAAATCATGCAGCATGGATGACTTGTAGAGAAATCATTTTGCCTAGCCTTCATTTCTTGACATTTATTGGAGCTTGAACCTGTGCACACTTACTGAAATGTGGGACTTATTTGAAAAGTAAATGTACATTTTAAATCTGGTGTTCATCACATTGGGCAGAATCCAACTTTGTACAAGTGGAGCTCTACTCATGCAGTGGGATTTCTGCCTTCCTCTCCTCCTGCAGCCTTCTATCTGCACCCTCAAGTCGGCTTCAGGACCCTCTGGAGCAAAATTTGAGGGGCCTGTAAGAGGAAGTAGAGGAGGTGAAGTCTGATGTGTGAGTGGCTTTGAATGTAATGTATTGTTTTTATTCACTCTGACTTGTTCTGGACATGAGTTCTTGGTATTTGGTCTGACTGCAAAACGACATCAACTGCATTATTACAGTACAGGCAATGGATGATTTTTGTGTGTCCAATTGATGTGCATCCGTACACACACACATTGTGGCAACCTGGACGTGGCCATTGCACCCAATGACCTGGAATGCAACCCCCATGCAAATCAGGGGTGGGGGCTGTGTCACTCAAGTGACTGGTGAATGTAAATATATGTTTTGTAGTGCTCATTTGTTTCTCATTGACCTTATCTTAACATTCATGTAAAACCTCAGGCGGGAATGGGTGAAGCAAACTGGAAATATATGTAGAGTAGTTTTAGCTAAAAATGACTTTCTGGTTGCAACTTACCTACTTCGAAATATGTGTGGTGTGTAAAGAAACAACCCCCCCAACAAAACCCAGAAAAGATCTTGCTGTGTAAACCTTTAAGTGAAAATGCCACCTAGATTCTGTTTGCAAGATGTAATACTTCTCTGCCCCCGTTCTTTGGTAGCAACTTGTTTTCTACCTTGCAATAGTGTAAAGATCAATAATAGCTTGAAAGCTTGAAATCAACCAAACTTTTAACAACTCACTTTGCAATATCAGCATTCTTGATGGAACACTAGCTCCACCATGTGCTGAAATTGCAGACTGCATGTTTGCACTTAGGTGCAAGATTTCATGAAACTTGTATCAAAATAGTAACACAAGGTAGCAGATCTTTCAGTGACTTGAACAGTTGTACCTTGGTTGATGAACACCTTAGCAGTTGAATGTTTTGGGTCCCGAACGCCGCAAACCCGGAAGTGGGTGTTCTGGTTTGCGAACATTCTTTTGGAAGCTGAATATCTGACGGGGCTTCCGCAGCTTCCGATTGGCTGCAGGAAGCTCCTGCAGCCAGTCGGAAGCTGCACCTTGGAAGTCAAACGTTTTGGAAGTTTAACGGACTTCTGGAACGGCTTCCATTTGGCTTCCAAGGTATGCCTGTATAGGACATACCTGAAAGAATAGGTGGTCATGAGGATGAAAATGCAGGAGGTTACAAATAGTTGGCAGTCTTAGCTGGTACAGTGGTACCTTGGTTTAAGAACAGATTAATTTATGAACAACTTGAATTAAGAATGCTGCAAACCTGGAAGTAGGTGTTTTGGTTTGTGAACTTTGCCTTGGAATAAGAACATGTTTCGCTTCCTGTTGAGTGTGTTCCATTTGTAAATTGAGTCCTCCACTACTATGGGAAAGCACACCGTGGTTTAAGAATGCTTTGGTTTAAGAACGGACTTCTGGAACGGATTAAGTTCGTAAACCAAGGTACCACTGTATAGCTTTGTATAGCGATAACAAAGAACGGTGCCATAGCAGTATGACTTTGCTACTGTTTAATTTGCCCTGGCTCACAGTTTCTTTTAGAGGTAAATTAAATTTTGTCATTATCTTTAAAAGCCTTTACAGTTTCGGACCCAGTTGTTTCAAAAGATTCTTTAGCTTGCCAGGTGAGATAATAAGTTAGAGACCCTGTGCTTTGTCTCATCATCATTGTGTAGGTGAGGCTATATGGTAGGACCTTTTTGATAGTGGAGCCTAGGCTTTCAAACTTGCTCACCTAGGAAACCAGTTTGCTGCTCATCTTACAGATACTGTATTCTAATAGTTTAAAATTGTGCTTTGTGAGATGTTTTTACTGTAGAGCAGTTTCATTCTTCTGGTTTGTTGTGCTTATTAGGTTTTTTTTGCTGCTTATTTTTATTTAAATACATGTATATACTTACAATGCATTTTAATGAAGTTTCTTTATCTGTATACTGCCTTAGAGGCTTTTTGAAGAAAAGCAGTGATAAATAAATATATGTAAATACAGACATGCAAGTACAGACAAATATATTTCATGACAGTTATACCTGGCAGCTACAGAACGCAGGTAAAATGGCAGAGTGCTGCTTGTCAGTTGCTCTGGAAGTTTATAATGACTTTATCCCACCTTTACTCTTGCCCTTTTAAAATGTGGTTTTTTGGGGGGGCGCTATTGGGTTGTTTTTATTTTGATTATGTATTTTGTGGTTTTATATTTTGATTTTATTCTTAAAGCCGCCCTGAGACCCCCGGGTATAGGGTGGTATATAAATGAAGATGATTTATTTAGTGTTGCTGTTGTAGACCTCACATAATATTTGTGTTTACTTTTAGTCATCACTGAATTTTGAGAAGCATTCCGACAGCTTTTCATGGACAGAGAACCGTTATGAAGTTAACCGTAGGCGACACAATTCTTCTGATGGATTTGATCCTAGTAGTGGTCGTTCAAATGGAGGTTTGTATGTGTTTAATCCTCCAGATACAGTGTAACCCTATTTTATTTTTACTGTTTTTTAAGTGTTGAGCCGCTCCTAGTTCATAAACCCTTTGAACAGTTCACTGTGTAAGCTGAAATTGATATGGGTGACTGTATTGGCTAAACTGAAAACTCCATGCAGCACAACTACAGAATTGCTCTTTGGATGAAGAGTCATAGATTGTGCATTATCCTCTGTAGTATAGCTATAGGAGGGTGAGCGACACTTGGATGTATTTTATAAAATTACCACCCCAAATTTACTTTCCAGTATTTGTATATTGCATATTACTACACCAAGAAAAAACAAACTTTTTCAAAGTTGCGATGAGTTTTTTTGCATGTTCATTGTCCCTTCTCTAATAGTTTAAAGAAAATTTATACATTAAAATCCTGTGCTGGATTGCCTATTTCCATTCTTTTATGGGTGATAAAAAGGTACCCCTGCCCGTACGGGCCAGTCGTGTCCGACTCTAGGGTTGTGCGCCCATCTCACTTAAGAGGCCAGGGGCCAGCGCTGTCCAGGAGACACTTCCGGGTCACGTGGCCAGCGTGACGAAGCTGCTCTGGCGAGCCAGCACCAGTGCAGCACACGGAAACACCATTTACCTTCCCGCTATAAGGCGGTACCTATTTATCTACTTGCACTTAAGGGTGCTTTCAAACTGCTAGGTGGGCAGGAGCTGGGACCGAAAGCTATGGGTGATAGCTTCTGTTTATTCTTTTGAAATTAATACTTCTGCTGCAGTTCACTTATTACACAACATACTTTTGTCTTTTTTCAACACTACTCCTCTTAGATTTTCTGAGTGACTAACCATGGGATCTTATTCTAATTTTTAATATCATCAATCATTTCAATTATTTCAGTTCCTAATTTACAGTTCCACCAAACTTCAGTTATTTTTAGTGTGCTGCATTTTTATTTTTTTCTGCAAAGTAAATTTTTTGGAAACTGCTTGTAACTTTGCCATTTTAAAATCCAAGGGCATTTGGGAAGAAAAGAGAGAAATGGCTGGCGTTCACAAGGTAGAAATGGCACTGAAAACACACATCACAGAGTGGGATATCATAGCGGAGGTTCACGTGCTCGCGCCAGTAGCTTTCAGTCTGGAAAAAGCCAAGGGTTGCATGAAAAAAATGCACCGGAAAGTGAGACTCTGAAAAAGGAAGACAAGGAAGAACCCAAACAATTTGAAGCCGAAGATTTTGTAAGTTAATCATAATGAACTCATTTACTCGCAGAAGTGAATCATTTATGTGCTTTCATTGAGCTTTAATCAAGACCTCCATTGGTAGAAGTGCACTCCTGACCTTTACTTGACAATGGGAATTTGGTGTCAGTGCTGATAGGTGCTGAGAGCAAGTCCTCACTGGGATCAGCTACAGTAGGGAGTTCCCATTTGGGAACTTCTTAGTACAGCCAATCTGGTGAAAGCAGGGGCTTGCAGTCAGCACTGAGCCCTACTTTCAACAGGGATCTTAATTTTCAGCCTGGGTTGAGTTATTATTTCAGGGAGGTTCCAGATGATTAACAGGTGAGTGGCCTTGCCAGCCTGTGAAAATGGCCTGTGTGGTGTAGGTGACATCAGGATCTGGTCTGCCAGTGGGATTCTGTTCCCAAACCCTGCTTTACAGCCTCCCTGGAGTGAGATGGAAAGTAAAGATAGCATTGGATATTGCATAGTGATGACTTTGAACCCCATATCCTTGGGTGACCTCTATTGGTGGTTTTATGTAGATTTCATTTTGTTAGGTTTCATTGAGTGATGCTGAAATAAGACTCAGCACCCTCATTGGTAAACATCATTTGCCAGATCTGAATCATCTCTCTAAATTGTAATATTTATGATCTGGCACGTTAAATTTTAAATATTGGATATTTTCCAGCAGCTCTTAAATCAAACTGTATTTTGTTTCCCCCCTTCTTTTCAGCCATCCCTGAATCCTGAATATGAGAGAGAACCAAACCAGAATAAATCATTAGCTGCTGGTGTTTGGGGTAAGAGCATTGGGCTTTAAATTTCAGTAAAGCTTTTTGTGTGTCATTTTGTTAGAAAGTGCCTTTGAAGTGATATTTATTGTTGTACTTTAAGTCAGCTATACTTTGTGATGCTGTTTGATTTTTGTGATGCATTTATTGAGCATTGAAAACTATCAGAATAATGTGGCTGTGCTGCTTATAAGGAGTTATAATGTGTGCACAAAAAATAGCCACCACGTGTTAGTGTTCCTGAAACCATGATGGCTGTGCATTGATAGCGAAAATTTCTGATGCAAGTGGGGCCTGCAGCAGAATGTTACAGTATATGTATGCCACCTAACAAGAATTAGGTGTCAGCCAGCTGTGCCCTCCCAGGATAGTCCATTCCGTGCTCCATTCTGTTTTTATTTTCTAACTATCATGCAGCATCACATGGCTACTAAGCATGCTTGGTTATTCTTGGGCCATGATTTGGGTTTTTTCTCACCTTAGGTTTTGTATTTAATTTTTTTTGTACTTCACAAAGACTTTGGGGTTCCTTCAAGTATGCTGATGCCTCCCTCTTTTTAAAATCATTTTGTTTTGTTTCATGTCCTGCTGGCAGTCTTTTTTGGTGGGGTCAAGATGATGTTCTGTGCCTAAAACTGTTGGGACTGTTTTAAATACTGTCTCTTCTTAGGTCAGACGGCTTCTTTCAGTTTCATGGTACCTGGTTATAAACATGAACACTTGTTTTGCTATGATGATCTACAGAGTGTAAGGAGAACTGTACCACCTGAGCCTCTTCAGTGTTTTCCTCCTGAATTAAAAAATATCAAAGCAATATATAAGATTAAACTTTTGTTTCTTTGCAGAATATCCTCTGAACCCAAAATCTAGATCTCCACGAATGCTGGTTATAAAAAAAGGCAGTACGAAAGATTTACAGATATCTGGATTCCCTGTAGCAGGAAATATTCATTCACAGTCAGTCAAGAATGGAACTGGTACAAGTGTCTATAAAGGTTTAGTTCCTAAACCGGTCATTCCACCTGCAAAGGTAAGATGCGTATAAGTAACGTGTCTTGGAGGAGGGGATTGCAGATTGTTTTGTAATGTTTTTCATTTTCTGTGTTAAAGCATCACATGTAAGACACATATTAAACCAAAATAAATGCAACCCTGTTTACTCATTTATCTCTTGTACCTCTCTCTGTTTCTCATTGCCTTCTCTTTTTCAAAATTTAGATTCCAAGCTTCTCAAGGAAGGGGCCAACCCTTCTCTTCAATTATTATTATTATTATTATTTGCATATATTGTCGTGTAGACTGTTGGTGCTATATAAACATGTTCAGGTTCTTGTCATAAACATTAAATAATGTAAAGAATTTAGTTTATTAACCTGGTCAAAATTATTCATCATTTTGATTTATTTAGACAACACAGTGGAAAAGCCAAACAAAAGACAACAAACTTGGCCCTCCATTTCCTCATGATTCTCCATACGGTATTGGAAACTTTAGTGCTTTCAAATCTACTGCTAAGGCTGTTGGATCACAGAATTCAGTGAAAGAGGTAGAAAAAAATTGGTTACTTCTTTTATTTGGGGTATTTCTAGTTTTGAGAAGCTATGTTTCATGAACTTGTGATTTTTGAGAATTAAATGGAAACCTGAAACTATATTTAAATAAAACAGAAATACTGGCAGCTGAACAAAATGAAAGATTGCCATGAAGTGTTTCTTCATCTCAGTGTTGTGTGTTTTTCCACCTTAGTGTAATCGATCAAATTCCTCATCTCCAGTTGATAAACTTGGCCAGCCTCGCTTAACCAAATTGACTCGAATGCGCACTGATAAGAAGAGTGAATTCTTGAAGACACTGAAACGGGATCGAGTGGAAGAGGAGCATGATGGGCAAGAAAAGGTACTGTACTGCAAATTTTGTACAGAGGGTCATGTGTGTTTCATTTTTTACAACAGATGACTTTCAGCTTACGTGGGGGCTGCTTTCTGAGGATAGTGCATAAAGCCAAAATTGTCTATAGTCAATGGGTTCAGTGGTGGGTGGGATTGCCAGCATCTTCTTTAAGGCTTGTGATGCCATGTTGATCATAAAGAGTGACGTAAAATGTAGATAAGGATTGTCTTATATTGGGAATCTACTTAAAGGAATATCTTCCATAGTGAGCTTAGCATATGTTGGTCATCAGAACTTACTGACTCTATCTTATGTAGCTTAAAATTAAGCTGTTTTAGTGAGTCCTGTACCACACACCAAAAGTAAACAAAGGTACTTTGTGCTTCACAATTCAGAGGTAACAGTCTCATTAGTCACAATGTCTATATGCTCTCCCCAGAATTGGAGGCAGTGTGCCCCTGAAAGACACTTGCTTGGGTGGGAGCAACAGCAGCAGAGTTCCGTTGCACTCATGTCTTGCTTGTGGGTTTCTCAGAGACATCTATGGCTTCTGTGGAAAATGGAATGCTGGACAAGCTCTAGCAGTGCTCTTCTACGGGCTTAACTTCCAGTGGGATGCAATATGTAGGCTTGTTGTGTCTTTTTATATTCATGCAAATCATGGACAATTTTTTTTGGAATTTACTCAAATATGTGACTTCTTTAACAGGATGATGATGATGAATTTAATTTACATAACAGCAACAATGGTCACGAAGAGAGGGACATAAACCGAAACTTTGAAAATGAAATTCCTCAAGAAAATAGAAATGCTATAATGATGTCTCAGCAGATCATTCGGTCTTCAACATTTCCGCAGACCGATGTCCTTTCAAGCTCACTTGAAGCAGAGCATCGGTATGTATTTTTCCAATTATTGACATGGTTTTAACCTGTTGAAAAATACTGCTTGCTGGAAGGATAGGTATACAGCAGCGGCAGGGAAATGTTTTGACCTGGTGGAGCAGAACCTTGTCTGTCCATGGGCCAACTTTTGACAGGTAGGCGGGACAACCTGTCAGTCGACTGACATCAATTCCCAGTGGAACTCAGTCATGCAGTTGATCCAGTAGGCTTGAACTCAGCTGATGGGCAGTGACTTCATCTTGGTTTTCTGCAAGGATCAGCTATGCTATCATGTTTCTCGGGCAGAACAGCATAGCTGATTAAGCCATACTTCCACCTGCCCCACACCTGATGTCACATGATGACAGGTGTAGGGCAGGTGTCTCTGGTTTGGGGAAAATAGTATCATGGGCAAAATTTAGCCCCTTGCCTGGCCAAATTTGACTTGAGGGCTGAAGGGTCCCCACCCCTTGTATACAAGGTTAAGTTGGCTTACAATAGGAATTAACTTGATCGTTTTGATCCAGTATTTCACATACTGCATATAAATAGTATGTTCAGTTTCTTGAATGGAGTTATTGTAATTCAGCTGTATGATCCTTGAAGTGTTGTTTTATTTATATTGTTTTAAGTTGAATATTTGCCTCTGTTGTATCCTAAAGAATGGGTTAGAAATACATTTAAATAAGCATCCATGTACAGACCCCTTTCGTGCACTGGGTTTTCTGATGTATTGATGTGCCACTGTTCTTTCTCGACTGGGAAGAAGAGAGGCATGAAGAAAAAATGGGCAGGGAAGTGAAGCAAACCTTTTGCTTTTTCAATCACTTTCTCCAAAAAGTCTTAAGAATGCAAGGTTGTGAGAGCTGGCCAGAAGATGGATTAAATTGCACCCTTCAGAGCAATTAGATTGGGTCTGGAGAATGAAAGTTGCTGATCTTTTTATAAATGTACACATTTTTATTTCCTTTGTAAAGATTGTTAAAGGAGATGGGTTGGCAGGAAGACAGTGAAAACGATGAGACCTGTGCTCCGCTAACTGAGGATGAAATGAGGGAATTTCAGGTCATTAGTGAACAGGTGAGAGCGAAAGCTAGCCCTACATAACTTGAGTTTGTTATGTTTCAAGTGAAATATTCTATTGAGCTGGATAGAAGATGGACATCTTTCTTACATTCCATATTGAAGCATTTCAGTGTTAAAATGATCAACTAGTACCTTCTTAATGCCTGAGAGAGCCGATAGCTCATATAAGCCTCCATATTTTTGTGCTGCCCGCACAACTATTTATGGTGGCAATGGGAATCTTGTTTTCCTATAAGAGCCTGTTTGTTAGATACACATTGGTGAGTGTTTTAAATTACAAGGGCAAGAGGTTTCTTACTGTTGGTTGACCTCTTATTTAAACTTTTCGCATCCTGTTCCATCCCTTAGATTTGAGCCTTGAATATTGCAGGGGGAATTTCCAATATTTAGTCTGAGGAAATATTTTGTAAATCTACTGGTTCAGAGATACAGGAGGGGAAGATGGGTATCTAGAAACTAGGTAATTCCTATAAGACCATAGACCCCTATTTGAAGGGATGTTTGAACTATTTGAATTGGGTTTGAAATGGGGTTCAGCTTACTAATGGCTGCAGAAAGTTTTGTGTATTCATATTAAAGTAGCCTCCCCCCTTTATCCAGTTCAGCTTTATAGAATCAGGGTTGTGGCAGTAGAGACAACTTACTGTATATATGCAAACAATATGTAAACCACACTCAGTTTATGGGAAATGGAATTGTAACTAGAGATTTACATCTATGTTCATGGCTCTCTTTAACCTCATACTTTGACTTGAGATCTAATGACAGGAATCTAATTACATGCTTATTTTCATGTTTGTTACTAAAAAAACCCCAAAAACCCCTGGAAATGCAAGCATCTACAAAACATAGTACTAATGCCATTGTTGAATCTTGCGAAGTTAATTTTTGTTACCAAACGTGAAATATACACATGCTTAACACCTTGTACAAAAATAAATGCTTTTCATTCTGCCATTTTCAGATAGCTAAATTGATTTGTGCTTTAAATTTCAGTTACAAAAAAATGGCCTTAGGAAAAATGGTATTCTAAAAAACGGCCTCATCTGTGACTTCAAATTCAGTCCCTGGAAAAACAGCACTTTCAAACCAACAATTGAGAATGAAGACACGGAGACAAGCAGCAGTGACACATCAGATGATGATGATGTGTGAAGATTGCTAGAGGATGTCTGCCTTGCATCTTGTGCAGTTTGAGAATGAATCGTTCAAAAGAGGGGAGAACTATAATTTTACATAGTGACATGCCCCCTTAGAGGAAGGATCTTTTGGACTCCTCGTGAAGGAACCTAAGAATGTTGTGTTGATGAGCTGTGTTGAACATGACTATAATTTCTGTAAATGAATGTTGTAGAAATGAGGACTTTGCCCCAACATTGACTTTCTTCATCACTGCAGCATTTCTCTGACGAGCAATGTGACAATGTAAGAGAATGAGATTTTCTCATTTAATAATAATAAAAAGATTATGTAATGTTTGGCAAAGTTTTTGTCTTAAGACTGCAGGTCTAAGGGAGAAAAGGGCAGCTTGACACAGTGTGTTGCTTACTGAGACGGATTTCTTCTACAGTGGGAATCTACAGTTTTCACTTTGTGCACAGACAATAGACAATATAGCATGTTTGCTAAACAAAAAAAATATGACATAAGTGCACTAAGACATCCATTTCCTGAACTGTTGTAATTGTTCCACATACCAGTAATTCTCTAGCAGTTTGTACTACAGTAATTATGAAAAGACTTGCTTCAATTCTAAACTTCACAGAACTGGTGTAAATCAAAAGCTTTATTTGGATGCTGCAAGACCCAGGAATCTGGATCCTCCACAATGAGTGCTGATTCTTTGTGGGGAAAATAAACATTATTTTGATAAATTATTCAGATGCAGAAAGCTTATTTCTCTGACTGGATCCATCTTAACACATGCAAAATAAAATGTCTTCACTTAATATATTGGAAGATACCATTGAAGATACTTGTGTATACCTTGTGGTTCTTTTAATTATCCAGGGTTGCTGCCTCCACACTTCTGAGAATTAATTCTAACTTCTGGTTTGTGTTTCTGCACAAGGTTTTGAATATGAAATCTTATTTATTTAATGTACACATGGTTAAATAATTGTATGGAATTTGGCTGTGGCCATATTCACACTAATCTTCTCCTATGCAAATAATAATAATAATAATAAATTTATTATTTATACCCCAAGCATTTCATTAAAGTTAGCTTTTAACTATGTAGGTTTTCAAGTTTAGTGTTGACTAACTAGTTTTAAAGCAGGATTGTTGACAAAACACCTAGACTCTTAGAGTGTTCCTTTGGACTTCTCAGATGGATATGCTTACACCCCATGCCATCTTACCAATGGTGCTTTAAAGGTGTTGCTTTGGATGATCTTTGGAAACGGATTTGGTTTGTATTCACTTTGGAAGAGCCAGGCTATAAATATTGTAAATATTACAAGTGAACGTCGCCATGCGCCTCTAATTCAGTATGACGCACTTACCATTACATTTGTTTTGATAGGATTTTATCTTGAACTAGAGATGATACTTGCCTGGTGAAAGTAATCACTGGTAGTACTCAGCTAAAGCATAGCTAGCCCATGGGTGCCCCCAACCCTCTGGAGCAGACTATGACTCAGTGGGAAGAGGTAAAGGTAAAGGGACCCCTGACCATTAGGTCCATTCGTGACCGACTCTGGGGTTGCGGCGCTCATCTTGCTTTATTGGCCAAGGGAGCCACCATACAGCTTCCGGGTCATGTGGCCAGCATGACTAAGCCGCTTCTGGCGAACCAGAGCAGTGCACGGAAATGCTGTTTACCTTCCCACCAGAGCAGTACCTATTTATCTACTTGCACTTTGACATGCTTTCGAACTGCTAGGTTGGCAGGAGTTGGGACAGCAACAGGAGCTCACTCTGTTGCAGGGATTCGAACCGCCGATCTTCTGATCAGCAAGCCCTAGGCTCTGTAATTTAACCCACAGCACCACCCGTGTCTCCAGTGAGGAGAGGAGAGGGTGGCAAAGTTACCTTGTGCAGCCAAGAGTTATTGCACTAGTCAAAGTTGAATGCTGCCTAATATTCTAGTCTCCAAATCAAGAGTTGCCAGAAGGGGAAGGAGCAAAGTGAAACAAGTAGAACACACTGAACACTTTTACCCTTAGTGTGGATGCTGTGAAGTGTATTACTTCATTGTGCTAAACTAAAAACTGGATGTGTTTTCAGATCAAGATGTGGGTTATCTCCACCCACTGCACAGGACAGACAGGTTCATGTAATGCAGCCTTATAGGTGTAGGCAGGCAGAGGAAGAATTGGGCGGTGAGGGGCATAGGAAGATGTATCAGTAGGCTCCTTGAATTGCACTAAGCGTGGGTGGCTACATTTTCTCTCAAGTATCCTAAAATGCCAGGTGTGCAGGAAGCTTGCACTTTCGTGATTTTTTGCGGGGTTTGTTCTGTTACTGGGATGGCGAAACTTTGGCTCTTTTTTTTGTCTAGCTCTGTTTTGCCAACCAGTTGTAAAAGGTAAAGGTAAAGGACCCCTGGGTGGTGAGTCCAGTCAAAGGCAACTATGGGGTTCCGGCACTCATTTTGCTTTCAGGCCGAGGGAACCGGTGTTTGTCCACATGTGGCCAGCTTTCTGGGTCATGTGGCCAGCATGACTAAACCACTTCTGGCGTAACAGAACACCGTGACGGTAGCCAGAGTGCACATAAACGCCATTTACCTTTCTGACACAGCAGTTCCTATTTATCTATTTGCACTGGCATGCTTTCAAACTGCTAGGTTGGCAGGACAATCAGTTGTAGGAATGGTGTGGGTGTATGCGTGCTTATATCATGAACCAGGAGAGGTGCTCCCGTGGCATAACTCTAACCGCACATTGAATATAGTCTGATGCCAGGTGAAGGAGAGAGAGAGACTGACTTGCCGCCCCACCTTTGTACGCTGTAAGGACTACAGACGCTACAATCCAGCTTTTATCTCAACATTCCATTTCTAAATGATACACGTTCCCTTTTGCAGCCAATGTGTACCTTTGCAAGATGTGCTAGTTGATGGTGAATGAGTCTCGCTAACCACCAGGTGGTGCTGAAGTTGTTCTTTTGTAAAATGTGTTTTTATTCTGGCTCTCGGCAGACCTGGCTCTGATTCTGTATTACTGTACAATAACAGCTGCCAATGGAGGCTGCTGCCCATTGGGACCGGGAGGGCAGAAGACGGAAAGGCCAATAATACGTGGAGCCAACTAATTTTGGTTTTGTCCTCCTTCCTGCTGAATTCGGCAAGGATGATGCTGAGAAAGGAGGAGGAAGCCGACAGCCAATACCTCCCCCTAGACCAGTAGTAAGTATATCAGGAGAGAAGCAGGCTGAGGGCAGACTGGGCTTGGTGGGGCAGTGCTGGGCATGTCCTAACAGACCAGCCTCTGCTGGTTCAGCTGCTGTTGTTCAAATTGCTCTTTGTCCCACTGTTTCGTCAGCCGGTTGCAGGGTTGGTATTGGTGACTGAGAGAATACACCGTAAGCCAGAGGAAGAAGATTCTTGGGACGTAACTCTGCCACTGCAGAGGCTACAATATGGTGAATTGGGTAGGGAGCCCTGTTCAGCTGGAGGGCCACATTTCTTCCTTCTAGGGGCCACATGCCACAGTGGTGGGCAGAGCAACAAATATAATTTCAAGCGAGTCTCTATATGCACTGCCACACAGCCCCCTGTCCTCTATCCAGGCAAACAAGGGGCAGGATCTGTGTTCAGGGACACATTCTAGCCAGGCGAGAGCACTCAGGGAGGGTGTGAAGCAGGGCTGGTGAGGTGTGTGTCTGGCAAGAGTCTTAAGGGATAAATAAAGAGGCCTATTTGAGCTCTGGGCCTGAGGTTCCCGATCCCTGTGGTCAATCATGGCTTGTAGGCTTCAATATTATTATTATTATTATTATTATTATTATTATTATTAAATAAAATAAAAATAAAAATGCCACAACACCACTCTCTTTTAGATGAGAATCCCACAAGTTCTTGAAAGATTAACATAAATAACACTGTTCTATGCCCAACCCCACAACAGGTTAAAATAGATGGTTCAGACAGTTATGGATTTTCCTGCTGAGTCCAAAACGGCCAGAAGATGTCAGCGCAGTAGTAGCCTCTTCACAGAAATAATATCCAGGAAGTATTTTGGTTGCCTTTGTGACTATTTGAGAACTTGGTTTATTTCTAACACACACACACTTGCAGTTTAGATTTTGAAGTGCTGACGTTCCTGACAATCTCTTTAGCCAATTTTCTTCTTGTCTCATAATATTTCTTCTGCTCTACTTTCTCTCCCCGCCCCCTTATGCTGAGATTTATACCCTCAGTTGTAATCACTCTTCATTGCCTATGCTTTGGAAGAAGATGGCCAAAGGATGTCATAAAAAAAAGTTCGGGGAGATGTGGGGGTGGGGAAATGTTTCAAGTCAGCATTTTCAAGTGTCTGAAATCCATGTCAGGATCTAAATGTTTTGTGAGTTCTTTGGGAGAAACTTCTTCAGCAATCTTGCAGTAGGTGCATAAGAACATAAGAAATGGTGTGATGGATTAAGCCAAGAGCCCATCTAGTCCAGCAGTCTGTTCTCACAGTGGCCACCAAGATGCTCATGCAGATTCTAAACACAATAGCGCAATCTCCACCTTGATCTCCAGCGACTGGTAGTCAAAGGCATTCTGCCACCAACACCATGGAGTAAGGCATGCATGTACAGTTCTGCTAATTCTTGGCGTGGAATCACAAACCACCAGACCCATATGATGAGCTATTTGTGCATGGCTTGTGCACAGAGGGAACCCTCCACACAGTCTTATTTCAAGAAGCAACACTGAACAGTTTTCTCTTGCACAGAAATACTTGGGTGAAGCTGGAACAGCTGTAGGCATCAGCTCTGAACTCTGAATGCTGGTGCAAGCAGATGCAAAACTGGTATAATTAGAATGATTGCTTTGCCTAAATTAACCTTAAACCACTGCACAGTTTACTTGTAGGCGTTTTAGTAAACAGTGCAGTGGTTGAAAGAGCTATATCCTGTTTATACTTCAAAGCAAGGTGATTCATAGATGGTCCTATGGCAGAGTCTGTAATCATACAACATTAAAAGCCATTTCACCTCCC